TCACCCATGTTTACAAATAAACACAGTGAAAAAAATATGGGAAAATTAGCAACCAGAATTACCTGAAAATTGTACAAAGTATAAAAACAAGGCAAAAAAAAAACATAAAAAAAAACTATTAATAAAAGCTGTTGAACATGCAGTGAGTTAATAATTAACATCAACATGTATATAAATATAAGATACTACACATCAGAGCCTCCATTTCAAACACTTCTGCCACTTGGGTTTCCATGGTAATGACCTTCACCTTCCCATTATTATGCACAATAACCTCTTAGTTTTATCTTTAGGAGCAGAAAAGTAGGACGTTAAACTCCATTTCATTTCATTTCTTAGTTTTATCTGCACCAACTGGGCTAATGAAGACAGCCATATATCATACAGTGTCGGCCTATACAGGAGCATGGTTTTCCGTGTCATCTGAACGACTAGGCGCCCTCTGTAACGCACCACTGACAAGAGGACACCAGGTCCCCGTCTTCATTAGCCCAGTTTAGGAGCAGAACAGTAGGACGTTAAACCCCATTTCATTTCATTTCATTTTCGTCCGAATCCAAAATTTACCACTGACAATAGGGGAAACCACACCGAATAATATCCAAGGTTATTTTCTCTGCCAACCTCAGAAATGAACCTGGGACTCTCTAAGCCACCGTAGACTTCCACCCTGTGATATAGTCCCTCTGATGACACAATATGGCTAAAGGAGGAAAACAGAGAGGGTTTAATCTTGACTCCACTTGACACAAACTGGTTCAATTCTATTTCAATAATTTGCTTTGACATAGGCTTCTGTACTAGTGGAAGGAAACTCAATGAGTTTAGACAGGAGACCCTACTCCTTGTCACGTACAAGGGGAATCAAAGCCACGCCACGTGACTCGATGACAGACATAATGATTTCATGCGCACAAGACCACCCTGTCCACCTAAATGAGTGAATCAAAATCATGACCAATCATTGAGAGAGAGAAACCGGGTTTAACGTCCACTCAACACAAACTAGGTCATTTTGGAACTAACATATGGTTCAATTTTATTTTAATAATTCACTTGCGCATAGGGGTCTTTCGCAGTGGGAAGACCTGAGAAAACACTGGCGACCCTACTCCTTGTCACATACAACCGGGGAATCGAAACCCTGTCAGTTGACTCAATGACAGACCTTACGATATAAAGCACACGCTCTAACCATTCGGCCATTCAGCTCCACCTGAACGATCATTAAACTAGTGAATGGATCATAAAGTGTTGGCATTAGATTATGGTGGCAAACTAATGTGATGTTGCTTTCACTGTTCGTTTTGTGGACTCTACAACATCACAGCTGGAAATCTGGATGCTCATGTTCAAAATAAAATGAAATGGGGTTTAACGTCCTACTGTTTTGCTCCAAACTGGGCTCATGAAGACAGGCATACACCATACAGAGTGCTATGAGGGAAATTTTGCCCGGACAGCATCACGTACTATGGCCTACTCTTATATCGAATTCCAACAGTCAAGGGATCTTTTACGTGCATGCCAATGTGTACACGGGACCTTAGTTTTTCGTCTCATCCGAATGACTAGACAGCTGTCCTTGTCAGGCCCTCCGTCCTCCATCACTGACAATGGGGAACCACGTCGGAAAATCTGGATGAACTTTCTCGGCCAAAGCGAGCCAGTGTCTTACCCATATAGCCACCATGACACCCTTGTAAAAAAGACCACGTAGCTGTTTGAAATGAGAGCTCTGGAACATATACACATGTGTCTATAATATAACCAACCTATGGATAATAACATATATTCCTGAAGCATTCACAATGGGGTTTAACAGCCATTTGACACAAACTAGGTCATTTCTGGACTAACTTATGGGTCAATTTTATTTCAATGATTCCCTTGTGCATAGGAATCTTTAACAGTGGGAGGAAACATGGAAGACCAATGTGAGATTTGGCAGGTAACCTTGTATAGTATATACATGTAAAAGCTGGGATTCAAATCCAACCATGCCACTTGACACAATGGCAAAACTTAAGATCTAAAATGGACGAATTTGACCTTTCGGCCACCCTACACCACTCTTACTTCATATTAATTCAAGTTGATGTATGAACTTTCAAAAAAACAACCCAAAAAGCATGTTTCTTCAACTCAATTATCCATAGATTGATTCTTCTTATATGAAAGTTATCAATCTGATTAAAACACAGATCCTATTTCGTTTCGGTTTTTATAGTTCAAAATTTCGTTTTACTTGTCTTTACTTCACTAGGATCTGGAAGCGTTGTTATCATTAATGTGCTCTGGATGATGTGAGGGATTAGCCAATGAAACAGTCTGTTACAGCAAGCTTTTGGCATGTGGTGCACGGAACTGTGAATAATCCACTAGAAACATCAAGGCTGATTGGTTGATCAAATGGCTGACGTCAGAGGGTCAAAAGTCACTTGTATGACCTCAGATGCGACCTATCACTACAACAAGTCATATCTTCATGTAGTGTAGGCCATCAAAAGTATAAAACAAGAGTTTTCAAAGTGATCAAGGGCCATAACTCTGGCAGTAATTATCGGAAATCGATGAAAATCAAAAGGATTCTTCATCTCATGACCTTAAACACTGTGTATAAATTTAAAGTCAATCGGATATTAACTTTAGCCTCTAGAGCGTCCACAAGATTTTTTAAAGTGATCAAGGGCCATAACTCTGGCAGTAATTATCGAAAATCGCTGAAAATCAATAGGCTTCTTCGTCTTATGACCTTAAACACGGGGCGACAATGAAACATGGATTTGTATTTTAATCAGATTGGGAAGTTATAAAACAGAGAAGCTTGGTCACCTTTCACCAAATGTTAAATAACAAGAGTGTATTAATAAAGATACATATCTAAATCTACGTTGCGTTTTCTCTGACAGACAAAAACATTAAGTACGGTACTATAAGACAGACGGCACTCCCTTGAACAATAAAAAAGGGGTCATGCTTGGGTCGGTGAAGAATAGTTTGATTACATATATATATATATATATATGAACATATGAACAATCAGAAGTAAAAGCGGTGGTGATTACTGATGGGAAACGCGGGAAGAGGATGATCAAAGGCGATATACAAGTAGACAAATATATTAAAATTAACGTTTCAAAATCCCCATTGATTTTAAACTACAAGAACAGTGTGGGAAATTAAGCTTGAAGACAAAGACCTAAACCAATTCTGTTCTAACATAGACCTACTTTTTGCGTCAGCCCTATAGAGACATAAATAAATGAAATGAAATGGAATTTAACGTACTACTGTTCTGCTCCGACTGGGCTAATGAAGACGGGCATACGCCATACAGTGTGCTATAAGGGAAATTTTGCCCGGACAGTGGCATTATGTCCTACATTTATATCGAATTCCAAATGTAAAGGGATCTTTTAAGTGCATGCCAGTGTATACACGGGACCTTCCATCTGAGCGACTTGACAGCTGTTCTTGTCATGCCCACCGTCCTGCACCAATGACAAAGCGAAACCACGTCGGAAAATCCTGATGAACTGTCTTGGTCAATGCATAGAGCGAACACGAGACCTCCAGGATAGCGAGCCAGCTTCCTACCCACTTAGCCACCGTGGCTCCCTATTCAAATAAATCTGTTATCAGTAATATACAATCCATCACTGCTTTGATTTCAGGTAAAACTGTGCTGTACAAATACAGGAATATAGTGTTGGTGTATTTTTACTTTGGTATTCCATGATTATGATAAATTACTAACAATGAAATAGAGAGAGAGAGAAATGGGGTTTAACGTCCACTCGACACAAACTAGGTCATTTCGGGACTAACATATGGTTCAATTTTATTTCCATAATTCGCTTGCACGTAGGGGTTTTTAGCTGTGGGAGGAAACCAGAGGACACGGAGAAAACCCACAAGGTTGGACAGGCAACCCTACTCCTTGTCACGTACAACCGGGGATTCGAAACCACACCAGTTGACTCAATGTCAGGCCTTATGATATAGCAGACACGTGCTAATCATTCGGCCATCCAACTCCCCCAATGAAATAACAATTGGGTCTAGTTGGATCAGGGGTCTCCTTTCAGTTACTTTCACCGGTCATGACTGGCAGGGTGTGAAACTGACCAATTACTGATTTCAATTTACAGGCTATAAAATTAGAATTTCAAAGAATTTAACTTTAAAACACAATAAATAAAGTTGGATTTATTCCTTTCATGTAAAATTCATAAAATAATTGGGACAAAATTTTTTTTTTGCCAATTTGAAGTAAAAAAAAAATAAGTGATAAATTAACGGACTGGCAAAATAAGTAAAAGCCCTGCCTTACACAGTTTTACACAATATGGTCTATGGGTCTAGCATTAATTTCACACACTGATAATAAAACGGACAAAGGTATCAAAGACTGAAGATACAATGCAACAAACTGTTGCAACAGATGTAACACATGACCTCTTAAGTAAAAGTAGACAAGTCCTTAATACATGAACTCTAAAGTAAAAGTAGACAAGTCCTTATTTGATAAACTCTAAAATAAAAGTAGTCCCTGTCCTTAAAATCATGATACACAAATCACTATGTGGCATGCATAAAATGTCATCTGTATGAAAATTAAATTCTTGTTGTTCATTGGCTACTGTTTTAAGATTTCATTTTAGTAGGGCGTACGAAACAAAATCATGTCCGACTCAAACATGCCTAATGTTCTATAAGATTCAACAATTGTGGTATTTACCAGGATGGATTACGAGATCTATAATGACCAGCGATTTGTTCATCATAATATTTCAGACAAGACTAATAATATACAAACCTAGTCACAGCAGATGTAGCGGAGCAGCAGACTACTAAAGACTAACTGGGTAAGCAATAGTCCCAACTAGAAATAAACAAGCAGACTTTCGGACTAGAACATAAACAATGTAATTCTTAACTTTTTCCTTTAAAAATGACCTTTTGACCTTTTGTATCACATGTCATATGACCCTCACCTTTTGTATATTGTGCATTTCTTCCATACGAGTGATTTCATCACGAAGCTGCTGCCACCTTCTGGCCATTTCTTCCTGCTCTTTTTTAACGTCTTCATCAAACTTATTTTTATCTTTTAATAAAGTTTGTTGTAAATCGGCCAGTTCTTTTTGTTTTTGTTCAATTTCTGCTGATTTTTTAACGATGTCTTCTCTGAGTTCCCGTAAAGAATCTCGTTCGCGACAAACTTCCTGATGAATTGTGTTGATTTCGTTAATTCTTTCACTGAAATACATCTCCAGGGATTCAGAGACACTCTGATAGTCGTTCTTTAATGAACTTTTGATATTTTCTAAAATGGTATCTGAAAATTGGAAAACAATTTCTGATTTAACATGCATTATGTAAGAGCTAAATCTGCCTATTTCAGGTCTTTCTTTAGGCCTGAAATGTTATCTAAATTGTTAATTAGACATTAATTAACTGATCAAGGCCATAATCAACTCTTTGTTAGTTATGATGATTGGGGCTAGCCGACAACTTAATTGTTAATATCTTGGTTCAAAGTGACGCAATTTGGCTGAAATTTTCAGCATTTTCATTATCTATTTCTTTAAATATTATTGTGAGAATTGTCAGCTCTTTATCTAATCTTACCTAAAGCCACTTTAAAGGATATGCCCTATATATATTTTTGGTTAGATAAGCTGTCCCATATATTTTATGTTTAAAAAGCCACGTCAGAGATTCAAAAGGGGTATTTCTGCATTAATGATACCGTCTTATTTAAGTGACTCCTGAGTGTATGCAACCTGATTAAAACACAGATCCTAATTCGTCTCAATTTTTACAGTTCAAAATTTCGTTTTACTTGTCTTTACTATACTAGGATCTGAAAGTGTTAGTATATAATCCGCGTTCTGAATGATGTGAGGGATTAGCCAATAAAATGTTCTGTTGCAGAGAGTTCTTGACATGCGATGCACGGAACTGTGGGTATTCCACTAGGAATATCAACGCTGACCTCCCACAACAACTGGTCAGATCTTCATGTACATGTAGTAGAAGCCATCGAAAGTATAAAAAAAACGAAACAAGATATAGATCTGTATTTTAATCAGATTGGAGTATGAGAAGCAGAATGTTAATTTTATATGGCCTTAGAATGCTCCCAACCAGTCCTTGTGAGTCAAAAAAACTCACCTCAATCAACAAATTGAAAAAATCGCTCCCCTAAAAAAAGCTCTCCCAGTATCGATAAGAAGAGTGATTTAGAAATTAAGGCAAGTGATCTGATATTAAGGAGAGTGATTAGTTGTGTGTATGGGAAATGGTTCTGAAGATCAATAACTGCATGTTAGGGGGTCATTCCTGGTTTCATAAAGGAGAGTGATTAGTTGTGTGTATGGGAAATAGTTCTGAAGATCAATAACTGCATGTAATGGGGTCATTCCTGGTTTCATAAATGATTATAAACCCTCAATGACTTTGTAAAGGAGTGTGATTTTCAATTTTAAGGGGAGTGAAAAAACCTCACCTCTAGAGAGATCACTCGCCTTAAAAAACAACGACTGTCCCAACCAAACCTACCTAATTTTGCATTGATGTTTACGTTTCCATGGTTATCGTTGCTACCAGATGGGGCTTCCTCTCGCTGCTCTCCACCATCACAAAGATGAACGCCAGATTCGTTAGAGTTCTGGAGAACATCTCCACAAATAAAACAAAGTTCCTGCTCTTCCTCGTTGTCCGTTAAGGGACGCCTCCTTCCAACGATCATATTTCTACGTCGTCCACGACTGTTTGGACGAACTACTTGAATAGTTAAATTATTATAGAATGGGGTGTTCCAAGTTATATTCACTCGAAAATTAACGGGAATATTTCTCGGGCAGACGGGTGGCCCGTTAAATACTGGTGCTCTAAACCACTGATTAGCCTGCACTGGTTGTCCTGGAAATGGAGTTCCCAATGGAAATTGTTGATTTAATCGTCGGTCGTAAAATAAAGGTCCGTTTTGTGACCAATGGGGTCTACCTTGATGATAAACAAAAACTTGACGTATTCCACTAGGAGGTATATTCATACTGTCTGAAACGAGAGGATAAAATATTGAGGGTTAGCTTTTACATGAGAAAGGTGTAGTAAAAAAATAATCACGACCTAACCCTAACCAAGAGTTATTTCCCTTACATATCAATTGCAAAAACTGACAAATTCTGTAATCTTATTTTATTAAGTGGATGGTGTCCTTTAAATTAGTTACAAACCCGCTTTTACAATAATCAGAGAAAATATCAGCCTTGTTTACTCAGAAGAAAAAAAAATTTCAATTTACACCGCAATTTAAATTCAAGATTTTCAAAGGAATGTGAACTCGATCCTTTTGAAATTTGCAAACAGAATCACTCTTACCTAAATCAATTTCATTTTTGAAAATTCCATGATTTAAACTAAAATAATTTGTTTCCGATCGCTCTCTCAAAATTCTTATTCAATAATTTATAAAAACAGATTGACATGCTATTAATCATTTGATAAAAAATATATAAAAATTTCACGAATATAAATGGTTGCTGATTGATGTGCTATTCAACACTGGCTAATGAATGAATTGTGACAAAATGGTTCGTACAGATTTTTCAAGGCCTTTTTAAGGCCCCTTTTCTTGGTATGCTTTTCTCACTATAATTAAGATTAATTAAAAAATTATCCGTTTACATGTGACAGTACATTTGAAAGAAATGACCCTAATCTGCTGTCAAATTTCATTTCCTACGGACCCATTAAATCCCTTCACATTTATTAAACTGAATAATAACCGAGGACCTTTAATGAAAATTGAAGGTTGTAGATCATTCTAAAGGCCCTGGACATTTTGATGGCATATTAAAGTATCTGTGCGAACCATATAAAAAACTAATAACATAACGTCACTGAGGAGTCAAAAAGTTGTATCCAAGTTTTACCAAATTGTCCATGAGGAATAAAAAAAGTACCGACTTCCCCCATAATGTGTCGACTCCCCAAAACGTGTTGACTCCTCACCAACGATAGTCAATATTACGTTATACTATGTGTCAATCATGTTACAAAAATAGCTTTATAAATACTTGTATTAATAGCCACTCCCAGATCTAACTTGACCAATCAATGAGATTTATCCATGATCAATTGATTTCTACATAAAGATCTCGTGACATGAATTCAATATTTCACAAATTCATCTCAAAAGTTGTTGTTGCCAAGATAGTTGTTCTTATTTTATTTAAAAGATTTTTTTTGTTAGACAACAGGAATTTGTAAAATTTTGATTTAAACTTTAAACATACATTATTCAAGAGTTAAATCTGCCTATTGCAGGTCTTTCTTTAGACCTGAATTGTTATCTAAATTATTAATTAGACATTAATTAACTTATTCAGACCATAATCAACTCTCGATGGCACCGCTAGCCTGTGATGTTTATTGGATTATGTTCCAATTTGCTCTTCCACTTCCATTCATAATTAAATCAAAAAATGGATAATCAAGACTATGTTTTTTTATCGGATCAACTTTAGTAATGATGATTGAGGCTAGCCCCAATATTCAATCGCTAAAATATTGGTTCATAGTGGATCAATTTGACTGAAATTTTCAGCAAATTCCCTTTACATTATCTAGTTTTTATCTATCATAGTGAGGCCTGCCAGCTCTTTATCTAATCTCCTATAATGTATCATTAAGTTTTGGTCATCTTTAGTACACATTTTGGTATTGATATTTCTAATTTGGTCCTATGACATCATCTTCAGCAGACATTTTGATATTGATAATTGTTGATATTTGGCAATAAAAATTCATGGTCTGATATTTCAATTCTCAAGCACCTCAAATGAATCAATGATTGATATTTATCAAAAGATTCAAATAACATCAAAGACTACAATAATTAAATATACCATATATGCATCCCTTCTTATTTCAGACCAAAATGAAAGTAGACCCAATTTTTTTTTATTCAAAATCCAAAGAACATAATTACATCTATTAATTTTCTCAAATTGCTAATAGAAATTGGGTTGCTTTTTGGAAAATTTGACGCAAATTGTATGACTTTTGTTAATTTTCATGAGTTACCTCAGGCCAGTGTCGTGGGGTGTTGTTTACATTTCTGACCTGTAGGCCTACATGTCTGCCAAAAATAAATTCTATCAAAGATATCTCAAAATTGATAAAAACCAAAAGTAACATTTCTGAAATTGAACCTTTTACTGGTGAATAACTCTCATGTTCATCAAATTGCACTATTCAGATTTGCTGCAAGTCACAAATTTCAGCATGCCAAGCACCAATACTACATTTACCTCTTAGGATTTCTTACAAGTTGGTTAGCAATATGGACCTTGATTTAGTGTTTTAAAAGACTTTTAATCATGGACGCTGTTTCGTCCGTGCAAGTTGACAAAAGTCTGACCAGGAATATGCCTAATCGGACACCAAGATATCTGGGAATGGCAGTAATTGGTTTCATTAATGAATATAACTGGGAATGGCAGTAATTGGTTTTATTAATGAATATATCTGGGAATGGCAGTAATTGGTTTTATTAATGAATATATCTTGGAATGGCAATAATTGGTTTTATTAATGAATATATCTGGGAATGGCAGTAATTGGTTTTATTAATGAATATATCTTGGAATGGCAGTAATTGGTTTTATTAATGAATATATCTGGGAATGGCAATAATTGGTAAGTTTGAATAAGTGACCCGTGAATGAGTTCAAACACAAAGAAAAAATAAAAAGTCTCCACACTCAACACCTCTATATAGATCTATAAATAGAACATGATGAAACAGTATTACAATATTAATTTTACAATTAAAAATAAAATACAATTAATTACCTCTGACCATTAAAATCTTGAAATTTATAAAGTTTACAAAGAAGCTTATTTAACCTTGATTCTCAGTCGACCAGATTATACCCCCTACAACTTCACTCACGAACATGCAGCTTTTTTTTTCTGTTCTGATTTGAAAGACAATTTCAAGATTAAAAGCAGGTTCTGGTTTTATCTCTTAAAAAATATTGGATTTTTTTTTTTTTCTTCCATGAGTAAACCGAAAAAGCTGGAATTGTGATCTTTGGTGGAATTATGGTGTAAAAGAAACACCTGGGTCACCTTATTGAACAAACGTTTCAACTAGGTACTGAAAATTAAATACAGCCTGAAATAAGCACCAGACCACAACCAGTCTTCGTTAGTAAATTAAATGATAGCATACTGTCAACAGAATTGGAAAACGCTGATGTCAATGCAAAATTGCTTGACAAAGAGATAGAGAAATGGGGTTAAATGTCCACTTGACACAAATTAGGTCATTTCAGGACTAACATACAGTATGTTGCAATTTTTTTATTTCAATAATTTGTTTGCATGTACATGTAGGGATCTTTAGCAGTGGGAAGAAACTGGAAGACCCAGAAAAAACACACACAAGGTCGGACAGCTACCCTACTCCTTGTCACGCACAAGCGGTGAATCAAATCCACCCCACCTTGACTTAATAGCAGACCTTATGATTCAGGGTGCACAAGTTAACCATTCCCCCTCCCCCCCCCCCCCACTTGATAAAGACCAGAGAGAGAGAGAAAGAGACAGATGGGCTTTAACATCCACTCGACACAAACTAGGTCATTTTGGGACTAAAATATGGTTCAATTTCAATAATTTGCTTGTGCGTAGGGGTCTTTAGCAGTTGGAGGAAACCGGAGAATCCAAAAAAAACCCAAGAGGTTGAAAAGGCGATCCTACTCCTTGTCAAATACAACCGGGGAATCGAAACCCTGCCATTTTAATCAATGACAGACGTTATGATACAGTGGCACGTACTAACCATTCGACCATCCAACAACCCCTATATCAATAGAATTGTATCCATATTTTAGTGAAGCCGTAGGCAGGATATTTTGGTTTACTGAGAATAACTCTCCCATTACCTCAACTCAAAAAAATTATCTAACGTTAATTACATGCGCAAAAAAAGGGAGAATTAAAGTACCTTTGCTGGATATTAATAATTCTAATAGTAGCCTATAACATGAGGATTCAAAATACTCATTTAACATTTAATTAAACATACATTATTCAAGAGCTAAATCTGCCTATTGTAAGTCTTTCTTTAGGCCTGAAATGTTATATAAATTATAAATTTAACGAAATTTGACTTAAACATACATTATGCAAGAGGTAAATCTGCCTATTGCAGGTCTTTCTTTAGGCCTGAAATGTTATCTAAATTATTAATTAGACATTAATTAACTTATCCAGACCATAATCAACTCTTGATGTCATCGCTAGCCTGCGATGTTTCTTGGATTGGGTTCCGATTTGCTGTTCGACTTCCATTCATAATTTAATCATGAAATGTATAATCAAGACTATGTTTTTTATCGTACCGACTTTAGTAATGATGATCGAGGCTAGGCCGAAAATTCAATTGCTAAAATCTTGGTTTAGGGTGGATGAATTTGACTGAAATTTTCAGCAAATTGGCTTTACATTATCTAGTTTTTAACTATTATAGTGAGAACTGTCAGCTCTTTATCTAATCTCCTATAATGTATCTTTAATTAAATATAGTATTCAGTTGACAATACTGAATACCAGTGAAACTCTAGTTTACAATTAATTAACTTGTTCAAATAAGAAACAACCAAAGTTTTTGTTTTGTTTTTAGTTTTGACATCATCCATTATAAACAGTCAGCACATATTACAATATATAGGTCAAGTCACTCTACTTCTCTCAAGGTTTTTTTTGTAAGTTTATAACACACCCTGACTTCAAAGCAATTTCCTTATTCTTAATGTTTAACTTATCCATTAACACTAACAGTAATTGTTTTAATTTTAAATGTCTCTTAAAACTTTTATATTTAAAAACAATAAGCAGGTACTTGTACATAGACGAAACAGCAACCATATGGACCCAAGCAAAGCTGTCTTTTATTAGAATAAATGTTATAAACATACATTATGTAAGATCTAAATCTGCCTATTGTAGGGTTTTTTTTAGGCCTGAAATGTTATCTAAATTATTAATTAGACATTAATTAACTTATCCAGGCTATAATCAACTCTCGATGTCATCGCTAGCCTCCGAAATATTTACTGGATTGGAATCCGATCTGCTGCTCAACGCTTATTGATGATTAAATCAAAAAATGGATAATCGAGACTATGTATTTATTGTACTGACTTTAGTAGCCTAATGATGGTCGAGGCTAGGCCTAAAATTCAATAGCTAAATTCTCGGTTCAGAGTGGATCAATTTGTTTGAAATTTTCAGCAAATTTCCTTTACATTATCTAGTTTTTAACTGTTATCTAATCTCCCATGTAATGTATTTTTAAAGCAGGCCTACATGTATATGCTTGCAGAGCTACAGTGCAATATGGAGCGATTGTCATTATGGTTAAACATGTAATCAAAGATTATTCATTAATCCAAATGATCTATTTAATCCAGGCAAGGTTTTAAAATGACCTAATCTTTGTTTAGCATTAAACAACCTTTTCTATTGTCTTATTGATTATTTGACAACATATGCTTTCCGATTCAAATTTACAGGTGTGTGCATCTGTCAAATATTGATTGACCTGCTGATAGGCGATCTAAAATTGCTGATCCAAGTGGAAACAGCTGACAGCTGATGGCTTATCAATTTTTTTTCATAAGGTCAACTCTACTGTATCCTAATAAGTTAGTATAATATCAATAAATAGCCACCATATATTTACATTTGTAACCTATATTATCATTGTAAACATATTCTATAAATAGCCCACTGCTTACCTATCAACCCAAATATACAGAAAATCCTCTACGTAACATTCTTGATAAAAATAAACATTGGACAATAATAAACAGGTGATATAGTTAATAAAATTGAAATGAAAACTAAAATAAAACAACATATACAAATTGAGACGAATAAAAAGCTTTGTATTGTGGTAGGTCTAAGAATGAAAACAGCAGGAAAATATACAAGCTACATGTAGCAGACTTCAGTTAGAACTTCTTCATGCGATCTGGGGCTCGCGTTGACCTCGCTCAACCCACAGATGTAAACAATCGCTCATTTACCGTTATTTCGTCAAAAGCGGCGACAAACGTCACTTACGAATAACCCCAAGTTGTTGTTAGTGTCCATAAGCAGACATTTCACCACATCTGGCAAGAATACGTGGCTCCAGATTCCAGAAATTGAAGTGAAAATCTGCGTCTATCAGCTCTCTGTTGACACTTATTTGCAACTGATACGTCACAGAATAATCCCGAACGAGAAAAATGTGCCAAATAATTAATGCTCGGTTATTTCCGTAAACACGAACTGTCATTCGCGTTAATGGGGAAGTAACTCTAACTATATCCTGAATGGCGCTGCGATCACTGAGGCCATTTTATCAACAAACACATTGTGAGACTGAATCAGTTCTTAAAAATAGAAAAGTTGAATTACATACGATAGTTCAATATGGACAAATTAAAAAAGGCTCTAAGTGGCGATGATGCGGATGAAGAAAGTGGAATTGTCACTCAGGTAATAGCAGAGAATCGCAAGTGGTCGTATCCCAAAATTTCGTTTCATTTTCCCGTATGAATTTCAACAAGAAGTTTTCTACAAGTACAAATCACACCCCCTCCAATTCCCTTCAAGATTTTTTTTTAAAAAAAGTTAAATAAGCGTCCGATACATAGCCTGGAAAGTTAAATGGGTTATTTAGTTCTGTAGTTCTTTTTTGTTTTACATAACAAGAATACTGCCATAGTCATGTGATCATCTTGTGTAACTTTCATGATAGACATGTAATTGTAATGATGTATGGTGATGGATCATGGTGGTGGTGGGATCTAATCAGGCATGAAGTCTCTCTGAAGTGGCTAAAGTGCTACAGTTAAAAAATGTTCCATTTATTATAATGGTTCATGTCAATTCTTGAGTTAACTTCTAATTGATGTACTAATTTGATGATTGATAAATTGACAGAAAAATATTCATTTCAGTTTTAAAGGAATAAAATCAATAATCAATACTTGACGAATAACTTTGATCAACTCAAGTTTAGTAGAATATTGCACAGTTGTCTGTGTAGCCTACTAAACTTATATTAGATTACATCCTGCTCTTGAAGTGTTACCAATATACAACAGCTGGAACAACAATTACAGACACAAATGGAAATGAGGCGTAATATTGATATTATTTGATAATCACACATGCTTTATCCAGGGCAGAATATTACAAAAAACTGACATGCATACATGTATGTGCAGTGTTTTTGCCCAATATTATTCAACAGTCAATAAATAATGTGACCTTGTTGTTTAAGTCTGTGGTAGCTCAAATTGACTTATTAATCTCGGAGATAAAGAAATCATGACAAATTGTAGTAAATTTTCATTTAAAATTAATTTAGTTTTTCAAAACGTTAATTTGAGATTTGACTTCCCACCACCGTAAGGCCATGTTGTATACTATGTATCTAATACTTATAAATCATGATCAATCTATTCATTTAATAAATTAAAAAACAAAATAGTTTTCAGTGTATCTCGACAACCAGTGACGTACATAACAATGGACAACACTAATGTACATGTTTAAAAAAATTTACATTCAGGCCTGGAAATAACAGTTTTAGATGTACCTGACAAAGTGTCAGGCACTAATGAAATAGTACCTGACATTTTCAACTTAGTGCTGGACATGTATTAATAATATCAATAAAAAAAGACAAATCAGTGCCTGACAAAATGACAGGCACCAGAGGCTTGTGCCAAACAAAGCCTGAATCTGTGCCTGACATTGTGACAGTTGTTTGTTTACAATACATTATTGTACCATATTAAATATAAATCTTATATCTCAGCACACATGTATAAATTTACTTATGAATTGCTGGCCACAGTCATTCCGGTCAATACATTATTACGACGCATCACAAAAAACACAAGTTCGAAAGAATTGGTGTACGTCTTTTGAACACCCAATGCATGTTTTGATATTGCACGATATTCATCAGACCTGGAAATAATGATGTAAGTTTCCCCTGAACAAAATCTCTGTTACTACAGACGATGTACACGTACGTTACTTTCTGAAATTTTTGCTGGACAGGGAAGTTACACAGCTATTCAATTTCACTGGCAGTCACCAACGGGAGGCCTGAACCTTATATCACTTTTATTCGATTACTTTTTGAAATTTTTGCTGGGTATGTGTTACTGGAAAAATATCAATACATATACGGAGAAGTAATGACAAGCACCAACTGAATTTCTGCTTCACATTGTCAGTGAAGATTGCCTTAATTCCAGGCTTGATACACGTAGGTACAGGTAAATTTACAGTGTATTTTTAAGAGTACAGCACCGGCAATGCATGGAGGGATAGTGATTTTTTTTATAATTTTGTTGGTTATTTTTGTATTCATATTATTAGTCACAGTTTATCTCAATTATTATTTTTTTTATATTTTTATGGAGATAGCATCTTAATTATAATTGTACAATGTATTATATTTTTATGGAGATAGCAATAAATTGTAATAGAAATTTGACAGACCCTTTATTAAAAAAGACCAGTAGTAATTTTTTTTTATATTCTTTGAATTCAGTTATTATTTTGTTTGTGAAATCTTTTTATTTTGTTGTGATCTAGTTAATTTAAAGATACATTCCCGGGTACAAACTAGGTGATTTGATGATATATTTGGACTAAAAACATATTCAAACTAATTAATTTATCATAATTTTCCTTCAAATCCTTCTCAAAACATTGCAATTGTCAGGAAATAGCCGGCTATAAAAAATCGATCAAAAGAGGTCATGTTTAATGTCACGTTACTCAACGGGTGCAAAGTCTTAGGAGAATTCATTGCACACACAAGACGATGTTGCATTTATCGCTGACTTTTACAAATATCGAAGCCTAATTAAATTCTCGGATTATCCACTGCCCGCATCTTTTTCCGTGATTTTTATCTCTGAAAGTGTTGTACGTCTAACTCTTCATTGGATCAGAAGGTTTGTCATTGAGTCATTTGGGGTGATTTTGATTCTGCGCATCGACGTGCTAATGAGGAGTTGGGTCATCTGTCCAACCTCGTGGGTTTTCTCCAAGTCCTCCAGTTTCCTCCCACTGCTAAAGACCCCTAAGCACACACAAATTATTGACATAAATTGAACTATATGTTAGTCCCGAAATGACCTAGTTTGTGTCGAGTGGACGTTAATCCCCATTTCTCTCTCTAAAGAATGTGCCAATATTTTCCATGATTCAAATTCAACTTTTAAAATGTTTTAAGGCATAAAAACTATGAATTTAATTGAAATTCGAATTTTATGGACCCGGTATTTAAATTGAAGGCACAGAGAAGTTGCACAGCTAGTTGGTTTTACTGGCAGTCAGTTAACAAGAGCCCTGAATCTTATTTCGCTTTATTAAGCAGATGTCGACTAGTTGAAATATTTTTTATCGTGCACGTGAAATCGCAAGGTCTGTCATTGGAGTCAAGTGGTGTCTATTCCAATCCCCACTTGAACATAACAAGGAGTAGGGTCGTCTGTCCAACCTCTTTTCTCCAGGCCCTCTGGTTATCTCCCACTGTTAAAGACCTACATATACGCAAATGAATTATTAAAATTAAACCATATGTTAGTTCCAAAATGAACAAGCTTGTGTTGAGTGGATGTGAAACCCTCTCTCTCTCTCTCTCTCTCTCTCTCTCTCTCTCATTATTATTTTGTAGCTTTAAGTATCAAAATCAAAGCTGTCTAGTTATTTTGAATCTAAAGCATGTATTAGACTAACTATCAATTTATTATTCAAGCACGCCACACTAAAAATCATTTTCACCGGGTTTGAAATAAAATCATTGTAGGGCATGATAAATTACCTTACATTGACTTACATCAGAATATACAAGAATTAATTAGTGGGGGGGGGGGGGGAGGTTGTGCTGCATGGTTTAAGATCTTATTCTTTGTTTCTTGAAAATTATTTGTATCCAGGGAAAGTTTGAATATATGAACATTTATTAAGTTATAGCATGAGTGTTGACATTTTGGTGTGACAATCAAATGTTACACTCTATAAAGCGATACATGTACATATACCAGTTATTCTTAGTTTTTATACGCCCACATTTAAATGTGGTCGTATATTGTCGTCGCCCCCATCCGTCGGTCCGGCATCCACAATTGCTTGTGGACGCTCTAGAGGCCAAAGTTAATATCTGATTGACTTTAAATTTATAGACAGTGTTTAAGGTCTTGAGATGAAGAAGCCTGTTGATTTTCAGCGATTTCCGATTATTATTGCCAGAGTTATGGCCCTTGATCACTTTGAAAAATCTTGTGAATGCTCTAGAGGCCAAAGTTAATATCCGATTGACCTAAAATTTATACACAGTGTTTAAGGTTTTGAGACGAAGAAGCCTATGTATTTTCGGTGATTTCTGATTATTACTGTCAGAGTTATGGCCCTTGATCACTTTGAAAAATCTTGTGGACGCTCTAGAAGCCAAAGTTAATATCTGATTGACTTTAAATTTATACACAGTGTTTAAGGTCATGAGACGAAGAATCCTATTGATTTTCAATGATTTCCGATAATTACTGCCAGAGTTATGGCCCTTGATCACTTAAAAAAATCTTGTGGACGCTCTAAAGGCCAAAGTTAATATCCGATTGACTTTAAATTTATACACAGTGTTTAAGGTCATGAGACGAAGAATTCTATTGATTTTCAATGATTTCCGATAATTACTGCCAAAGTTATGGCCCTTGATCACTTTGTGATGCAATAAAGGCTAAAGTTATCATACGATTGACTTCAGATTGATACACAGAGTTTAAGATCTTGAGACGAACAAGTATATTGATTTTCAATGGATTTTTATGTCTTGAACAGCTAAATCCATGATATTAAAAGTTTTGTATACAAAACGTTAGCATGGGGCAGAACTTTATACAAACAAACAAATTCTAATGGTTTTCTGATAATTACTTCATGAGTTGTTGCTCTTAATCAGATTTTAGTGTATTATAAATGTTTCATTACCAAAAAAAGTAAAAATGTGCAACAACTCTTGTTGACTGCCCGGACGATTTAGCTGTTGTGGGCGTATGTTTCATTGCCTGGCCAGCTATCTTTATAACATTTGATCCCCCCCAAAAAAATATCCCCCAGCACTAATTAATATTATACCTTCTATTGTTTGGTTTCCGTTGTGGAAATTGTAATTTAAAAACAAAAAGTATACATATAAATAATATTGAAATATTCAACACTCACCCACAGCACATCCTTTTCATTCTTCTTCTTGAATATTTATGTATGTGGTAGCTATAACTTGCTATATGGAGAAGACTGAACGTTAGAGACTACATATTGTAGACATGGTCAGTCAGGTTAATTTATATCCTGTGAACTACTAATTCTTATCTTTAACATGTGTAATACATGTGTAATCAGTAACTAGTGTCCTGATAATGATTGTTCATAATAAATAGATTTAATCTGTTTGGATAAACGATCATCCGTATGACAATATTTTGTTAAAATTTACAATATTATTAGGGTCTTATCTAGATGTTATTGTTCCAAGTTGTTAATCCGTTGGGGGTGGGAATGGTGGGGGGTGTTGGATTGCCAAATGGTCCGTCCTGCATCACTGACAAGGGGAATCATGCCGGAGAATCTGGATGAACTTTCTCGGTCAATGCAGGGATTGAACACGCAACCTCCTGGCTAGCGAGCCAGCATCTTACCCACTTAGCCACCATCTTACCCACTTAGCCACCATGACCCCCTCATTACTATAACAATTTGTATCAAATTTGTTTGAATAATAAATTTTCTTAATATAATTGAGTGTATTTTAATAAAGGGTCTGGAAGATATTTCTAAGATAATTTGTTGTTTTATTTCCAGCCTCTATTGGATTATGGCAGGGTAAGTCTATAATTAGATTCATCTTTTATCAGGTGCATGTTAAAGACCCCTTGACAGTTTGAATTTGATACAGAGTAGGGGAAAAAAACTGCTATCTGCACAAAATGTCCGTCTTCATTAACCTAGTTGTTGCAGTAAATCAGGGCCTTTATTCACGAAAACTTAACTGAGATAAAATCCAAATTTTAGTAATTTGATTGGATAATATTAGATTGGTTTTAGTGCTTAGCCAATCAAAATTGAGGTATCTACTAAAATTTCGATTTTATCTTAAGTTAAAATTTCGATTTTATCTTAAGTTAAAATTTCGATTTTATCTTAAGTTAAAATTTCGATTTTATCTTAAGTTAAAATTTCGATTTTATCTTAAGTTAAAATTTCGATTTTATCTTAGTTAAAATTTTGTGAAACAGGCCCCTGTACAACAACTGACTTCCACTTTTCAGCCAAATTAAGGTCAAATAAAGGGTACGATGAACGTATTTGTCTGGGAGGCCATTTCGGAAGGGCCTTGGTTTGATGTGACTGATCGTTTTTACCTGAAATTGATTGTTCCACAGAAAGCTTATACAATTTGTTACCAGATGGCGCCGTTAACTGTGGTTTGTTGAAAAAAGTGACTTAGATTGTTTTTCCCCGGGGCTCTTCAATTATGATAAATCCCATTTCATTTCTTTAGCTGGGATTGTTCCGTCATCATCAAAGGGTAATTTTTTTTTAATGCTAAATAAAATGACTTTTTTTTTATATTTTAGTTTTCTGATGCAACAACACTAAGTTGGTCGACCCGAATCAAAGCTTTCATCGTTTGTTTTGTTGTTGGTGTGTCCATGTCCATCTTGGTAAGTAAATGATTGATCAGTAGGAACCAGGGAAAAGTAGCTGAGTCTCTAACTCGATATTATCCAAAGTCTTCCACATTGAAAACACAAATTATTTGTCAATTAAAATCAACATTGGTGTTGTTATCGTATCGTAAAGAGATGGACTTTAATCCAATATTTAAAACAAAATAAACATTTTATCATTGGTACACGTTTTAGCGCCATTTGTTCCAACAAGGGACTCAAAGAACGAGGCTAGACATATTCCACAAGTCATGTCAAGCCGTGACCCCATATTCCTATCTGGAGAGCATGCACAATAAATTCATTTCGGTGTAGACTGGAATAACCAGACGCTAGTGATATACCATTCGATTGAGGCATATATCGCCTAACAGAACTGATTAGAAATTACAGTAAAATCAGAAACAATTGAATGTAAATCAGTTTCATATTACATTATTTTACGCGTTGCGACCTATATGTGTCAATTTCTAGGTCCCAAACATTAGACATTTAGCTCCTTTAATCTAAATGTGAAACCTGTTTCATGCTTTGTAATTATTGAGTCACCGTAATAACCTATTTGTGTCAATTTCTTGATCCCAAATATATAAGATTTAGCTCCTTTAAACTTAGAGTGAGACCTGTTTCATGCAACGTAATTATTGAGACACGGTCACATTTTTGTTAGACACGGTCAGACACCAATTCACATTTGTTAGACACAATCCCTGTCTTGTCTGTCATTTTGTTCTGCACATATTTCTGTAATTTATTCATATGGTTAATACCAGTGATGGGATTTTTAAATTTTTCTTGTCGGAAATTTTTACCGAAAATAAAGGGACATAACTCTTATCATTATTTAAGAAGGCAGTTTTTAGACCACACACAAAAATCACATGTCAACAAAATATTCAAATTCGTACGTAATAAAAGATAGGTGGATCTCGTTATTTTTTATATATAAAATTCCCATACGATATTCAAATTTATGTCAGCAATATTCCTACAAAATTATGTGACAACGTGGGGGGTTGGATGGCTGAATGGTTAGCACATGCGTTCTGTATCATAAAGTCAGTCATTGAGTCAACTGGCGGGGTTTCGAATCCCTGGTTGTATGTGACAAGGAGTAGGGTCGCCTGTCCAACTTTGTGGGTTTTCTCCAGGTCCCCCGGTTTCCTCCCACTGCTAAAGACCCCTATGCGCAAGCGAATTGTGGAAATAAAATTGAACCATATGTTAGTCCCAAAATGACCCAGTTTGTGACGAGTGGAGTTAAACCCCATTTCTCTCTCTCTTCTTCTCTCTCTCTCTCACGTGACATAGTAATACATGGCCAGCACAGACTTCATAATGTCAAGTACCTGTTTAGTAGTGGCCAACATTTTGTTATATAGTAAACTTCGAATAAGTCGGATGTAAGTGAAGTGGACTGATTAATTTTATCCGAGTTACGCGAAGATCCGAGTTAGCCAAATTCAATCTTAGCTCAATTAGAAATAAACTGCAAGATCCGGATAATAATTGATTCAAAGGCACATTTCAATCTTTTGTTCATATGTGCGAATAGATAAATTCCGTTTTGGTGCAAGTAGATAACTTCCGTTTTGTCGCATCTTTGACAAATGTCCTAAATTTTCCCGGAAAGTGTCGTGTACATCAGACAGCGAGTTTCAAATTTTCCGTGAAAATTCTAATGTTGCGTCGCGTCAAATAGGCTGATTTGAGTCAAAATGATAGAGTAAAGTATTTTGGGTCTCTGTGCATGGAATACCTAACCGTGTTTTAGACCATCGGGATGAAACTGGCAGTCAAAGTCTGAATATAGTGCCGATCCGACTAAGACATGGGAAAAAAGACAGAATTAAATCAAATTGATGCGAGTTGAGCGAAGATCCGACTTAGGAAATCAAACTTACATGCAGAAATTTAATAAGAAAAACATGCAGGATCAATAAAAGGGTCCAAACGATTTTCTGCGAGTTGAGCGAAGATCTGACTTATGCGAGGTTTACTGTATTTGCTGGCCTGTCTTTAAAGTTACAATTTCATATTTTTAAGCTATATTTTTAAAATGTATTAAAATAAAGCCCTAAAATAGATGGTATCTATAAACAGTCCTACCTTGTTAAAGAATAATACTATTAATCCTATAATTCACTATTGCCAGTTGAGAAATTGGCAAAAATATCATTTTCAACTTCAAATTCAAACGTTTGAAGATAGCTATTTTATGGGGGGGAATATAAAAACAAGGGAGGTAATTATGTTATTATTTATTTCCGGGGTGAATGATTTTTAAGTGTGAGAAAGATAACCTATGATCGTATAATAGTGAGCTGACAACCTATTGAGCAAAAGACATAGAAATAATTATGTTTGGACTTTCTTAGAAAATATGAAATTGTAACTTTAAGACCTTCCATACCATATGCTATCAAAATTAGGACCAATTCACTGGTCTTTAATCACTGGACTGCAGACGCCTTGAAAGTTTTGCAACTTCTGTACTGAGTTCTTGGGATCAAGACGTCTAGCGTTGTGTGTGATGTAAATGTAAGGCCTGCATCTCTTGAAATTGAATCTGAAGCAACTGCCACATCTCGTGATGTCCCAGATCTTGTGATATCCCAGATCTCGTGATGTCCCCAGATCCCGTGATATCCCAGATCTTGTGATGTCCCCAGATCCTGTGATGTCCCCAGATCTCGTGATGTCCCAGATCTTGTGATGTCCCCAGATCTCGTGATGTCCCAGATCCCGTTTTTTTAGGACTTCGAATTTTGTCTAATGGTTTGGATTGTTCGTACTTGGTTTTATTTTATCTTGTGATGTCCCCAGATCTCGTGATATCCCAGATCTTTTGATGTCCCCAGATCTTGTGATATCAAGATGCCAGGAAACAAAATAATATTTAAAGATACATTATGGAAGATTAGATAAAGAGCTGGCAGTTCTCACTATAATCTGTTTAAAATCGTACACCTCAGATGGATTCGAGAGTTGATCATGATCTGGATAAGTTAATTAATGTCTAATTAATCATTTAGATAACATTTCAGGCCTAAAGAAAGACCTGCAATAGGCAGATTTAGCTCTTGTATAATGTATGTTTAACGTATATATGTGTTTTGTATTACAGGGAAGTTGTTTATTGTTTGCACCCAATGGTTTGGTTTTGTTCGGTGTTTTTTATACTCTAGGAAATGTATTATCATTATTAAGGTGAGATTTTAAACTTGAAATCGGCAGATTTTGAATCCTATCAAAACTACAGTGTTGTAAAAGTTTAATCTGTTAAATGAGCATCAGTCCAACCATGGTTGAATTCCGTTTTCAATAGGGGGGTTGGATGGCTGAATGGTTAGCATGTGCGTGCTGTATCATAAAGTCTGTCATTGAGTCAACTGGCTTGGTTTCAAATCCCCGGTTGTACGTGACAAGGAGTAGGGTCGCCTGTCCAACTTTGTGGATTTTCTCCAGGTGCTCCGGTTTCCTCCCACTGCTAAAGACCCCTACGTACAAGCGAATTGTGGAAATAAAATTGAACATAATATGTTAGTCCCGAAATGACCTAGTTTGTGTCGAGTGGACGTTAATCCCCATTTCTCTCTCTCTCTCTCTCTGTTTTCAATATACAATGAATTTTCTATTTGACTTCATTTAGCATTTTATAGATGATACAAAACAAACCACCGCCAACAAAAAGAGTTGCGTAACATCTTTTGTTGAATCAAAGCTCTAGTTGTTTGGATGGAACGAAAAGCGATGTCCCATGTACACATTGGCGTGCACGTAAAAGAATTCGATATAAGCTTAGGCCGTAGTGTATACCCATCTTCATTAGCCCAGTTCTGAGCAGAACAGTAGTATGTTAAGCTCCATTTCAATTGACTGTATTCAATAAGCTGATACCATACTGTTCTCTTTCAGTACCTGTTTCCTCATGGGTCCAATGAGTCAGTTAAAGAAAATGTTTGCCAAAACCAGAGTCATAGCCACCATCTTAGTTCTTGTAAGTTTCATTACTTGTCGAGGGGGGTGGGGGGGTGGATGGTCTAATGGTGGAATCACAAGGTCTGTCATTGAGTCAACTGGATTGGTTTCTATTCCAGGCTTGGACATGACAAGGAGTAGGGTCACCTGTTAAACCCCATGGGTTTTCTTCGGGTCCTCCGATTTCCTCCCACAGCTAAAGACTCCTAAGCGCAAGCAAATTATGAATCATATATTAGTCCTGAAACACTCTAGTTTGTGTCGAGTGGATGTTAAACCCCATTTTTATACGCCCACATGAAAATGAGTCGTATATTGCTGTCGCCCCGTTCTGTCCGTCCGTCACCGTTGTCCACAATTTCTTGTGAACACTCTACAGACTACATTTATCATCTGATTGTTTTGAAATTGAAATATGTTGTTTGCATTAGAGAGACGAAGAAGCCTATTTAATTTCAAGAACTGCTGTTAATTTCTTCTGGAGTTATGGCCCTTAATTCACTTTTTTGCACCTTGTGAACGCTCTAACGACAAAAGTTATCGACCGATCTATATGAAATTTATATGCATCATTTAAATTAGTCAAACAAAGAAGCCTATTGCATTTCAGCAATTATATCTAGAGTTATGGCCCATGTTTCACTTTGTTGAATCTTGTGAACGCTCAAATGACAACAGTTATCATCCGATCTGTTTGAAATTGATATGAATCATTTAAATTAGCCATTTCCTTTAATTACGCCGTGAGTTATGGCCCTTGTTTCACTTGGTTGTATCTTGTAAATGCTCTAACGGCAAAAGGTATTATCCGATCTGTATGAAATTTATATGCATCATTTAAATCAGTAAAGCAAAGAAATCTATTGAATTTCAGCAATTTCCATTACTTACATCTAGAGTTATGACCCTTGTTTCGCTTTGTTGAAGCTTGTGAACGCTTTAATGACAACAGTTATTATCCGATCTGTTTGAAATTGATATTTATCATTTAAATTAGTGCAACGAAGAATCCTATTGAATTTCAGCAATTTCCGTTAATTACGCCGGGAGTTATGGCCCTTGTTTCACTTTGTTGTACCTTGTGAATGCTCTAACAACAAAAGTTATTATCCAATCTGTATGAAATTTTTATGTATCGTTTAAATTAGTAAAACGAACAAGCCTATTGAGTTTCAGCAAATTTCCATTAATTACATCTAGAGTTATGGCCCTTGTTTCACTTTGTTGAATCTTGTGAAGGCTTGAAAGACAAAAGTTATCACCCAATCTGTATGAAATTCATATGCATTATTTGAAATAGTAAAACGAAAAAGCATGTCGAATTTCAACAATTTCTGTGGATTACTTCCAGAGTTACGGCCCTTGATTTAGTTTATAGAACCTTGTGAACCCTCAAACGAAGAAAACTATAATGTCATCTGTTTGAAATTGTCTATTAAATTCCCCTAATTACCTACAAAAGAATAAATATGCGACAAACCTTGTCGACCGCTCGGACGATTTAGCTGCTGTGGGTGTATGTTTTGTTGCCTGGCAACCTATCTTTCTCTCTTTCATTACTTGTGATAAAGCATGTATGTGCTGGTCTGCAAATAACGGTTTTAGATGTACCTGACAAAATGAAAGGCACTAATGAAATAGTACCCGACATTTTCAACTTGGTGCCGGACATGTATTAATAATATCAATAAAAAAGACAAATCAGTGCCTGACAAAATGACAGGCGCCACCAGAGGTTTTGTACCTGACAAAGCCTGAAGCTGTGCCTGACATTATCTGTGACAGGTGCCTTATTTCCAGGTTTGTGCATGTGCTAAATTGACACATAAAAACTGTAGATATATAACTTTGTTTATATAACAGGGGCCTGAATTGAACCGAATCATGACCTAAAACATTCACAGTGTCGTGCTGGTTAATTGGATATGGCAGTGGAGCAGGACAGCGTCTAGTCCATCTGATGTGATGACATAGATGCTGGCTCGCTAGCTGGAGGTCTGGTGTTCGATCCCTGCATTGGCCGAAAAAGTTCATCCAGATTTTCCAGCGTGGTTTCCCCTTGTCAGTAATGCAGGACGGAGGGCCTGACAAGGACAGCTGTCTAGTCGTTGGGATGGGACGGAAAAACGAGGTCCCGTGTACACATTGACGTGCATGTAAAAGATCCCTTGGCAGTTGGAATTCGATATAAGAGTAGGCCCGGGCAAAATTTCCCTCATAGCACACTGTATGGCGTATGCTCGTCTTCATTAGCCCAGTTTAGGAGCAGAACAATAGGACGTTAAACCCCATTTCATGATGACATAAACAACTAGGTCATGTGTACACATTGTCGTGAATACCACTTAAAGAACCATTGACAGTTGAAAATCAAACTAAGATTGGATTGTGGTGCCAATTCCTACTGTTCAGGGTTCTTTTATGTGCATGCCATTGTGTGCCTCGTTTTTTCGTCCATTCGAACAATATACATTATCCATTGCCAGGCCCTCTGTCCAACATCACTGACAAGGGAGAGCTACGATGGAATATACCGATATACTGTGTCACCCAATGCAAGGATCGAACAAGGGATCCCCTGGTTAGCGAGCCAATGTCCTACCCACTGAGCCACCAGGGCTGCTGTTGCCTGGATGTTAAACCCTATTGATATTATTTATATTTCAGGTTATGTTTGTATTAACATTAGTTTGTGCATTTGCTGTAAGTATATGTTTTAGTGCTATATATTTTTATGTGCTAAATGGTATAAATAAATTTTGTTACTTCTTCAATGGTTTGGAGTGGGGGTTGGATGGCCAAATGGTTAACGCCTGTATGTTGCATCATAAGACCTCTGGCATTGAGTCAGGTGATGTGGTTTCGATTCCCTCCTTGTACGTGACGAGGGACGAGGACCCCTCTGTGTGTGAGTGATTTATTGTAATAAAATTGAACCATATGTTTGTCCTGAAATGACCTAGTTTGCTCTCTCTCTCTCTCTCTCTCTCTCTCAATGATTTCAAGAAATAGGGGATTATTGAATGTATTCCTCTGTCGGTGGGCCTCTCTCTCTCTCTCTCTCTCTCTCTGGTTTCAACAAAGCAGGGGATTATTGACTTGTGTTCTTCTGTCTGTCCGTAGGCCTGTCTGTTACACATTTCGAATACAATAGCTCTGCATCCAATTGCACTGGAATTTTCAAACTTGGTATAGGTGTTCATTAGGTCAATGTCTTGACTGAATTTGATGATGAGCATTTTCTGCAATGATAAACAATATGATTTGTTGCTTTGGAGAACAATAACTGATTCTTATTTGGTTGACATTGGTGAAATTTGGTGTACCTAGTCATAATCTGCATTTTCTGTTAAAGGGACAATAACACCTTGCTGGCTTGACAGCTCCAGAAAATAAAAAATAGCCTCATATTAAGTACTAGATGTGTTAGTGTCTTACCTGTTGTGTAAATTATCCATTAAATCCTATTTTACTTGTCCAGAGGGTTCAAAAATATTTTTAAATCCAAGTCACATTTGAAAAGCTTTATGTCAGGCTTTTCAAATCATTTAGTTGAATTTTTCCAATTTTTTAAATTATGTGTGTTAAGATGAAATTTGTATCATTAATTAATTGGAATATTGTAAAATAGTAAAATTTGTTGACCAGAATAAAGATTGGGACATATTAGTCAGTTACAACAAGAGTGGTATTGAGCCTTTAACACCTCATGCAGAGTTATCAGCAATTTGATTGCTCGATGCTTTATTGAAAGATAAATGTGTAAGTGAAATAGGAGGCAGACCACCATTAAATTTCACCATCTCGGTTCCAACAAATTGTAGTTCGTCTATTTATAGCAATTCTCTGTCTGTCTATTTTCTCCCCTTTTGCGTGCCCATTTTTGTTGATTTTTGTGTCTAGAATGGATGAAGAGGGCTTGAATTAACATTTTCTGCCAGGTTTTGGTAAATATTCATGATTTTGAGGCGGAAGGATAATGGGGTTATCAGGTTGGCTACGACGATATGTACGGCAACTAGTTACATGTTTTTAGTATGCTTCTTCAAGTTTGTGTATCTTAAAAATTTTGGTGGTCAACCTCATACATATTTTAGTGCAAAGACATGACCATTTGTTCCTCTGTCGGTAGTGAAAAGCATTGAGCCCAACAAAAATTTGGGAAAAGTTGGAGATGGGCAAAGAGGCCAGAATTAACATTGAAGTCAATAGGGAAATTAATGGTGGTCTGCCTCCATAAAGGACTGCTTCAGTTACCTCCCCTTCACCATGTCATGTTATTATAATAGACTGGAGTTATATATTTTATATCTTCTTACAGATAAAGAATCCAGCTTTAACTATTGTTTGCTGTGTTTTACAATTTGTGGCTTTAACTTGGTATTCAATATCATATATTCCCTTTGCAAGGTAAGTTACATAATTATCATAACCTGGTATTCAATATCATCCCATTTGCAAGGTAAGGTACGTTAGGTAATGTGGCTCAGTGAAAGCGGTGCTGCCTCAATATATGGAAGATTCCAGCGTTTTCCGAGAAAGTTCCTTGGGATTTTTCAGCATTGCATCACACTTGTCAGTGTTGCAGGATGGAGATGTTGGCAATAAACAGCACCTAGTCATTCGGATGGGAAAAAAATGAAGTCAAATGTGCTTGTTGGTAAAGATAAGGCAGAAATGTTGCTGCCCTGGCAAAATTTCCCTCATAGCACACTGTATGGTGTATGCCCGTCTTCATTAGCCCAGTTGGAGCAGAAGAGTAGGATGTTAAACCCCATTTCGTTTCATTTCATTTATTATCTAGCACAACAATATATTGAGATTTACTAATTATTTTCTTATTTTTCAGAGATGCAGTGAAGAAATGTTTTGGATCTTGTTTGGAGTAGACAAGATGGATTATTATTATTATTATTGTTATAATTATCACCTCATTGCCATCAGGATTATATATATATAATAAACTTCATCTACATCAGAATTATATATGAAGAGTCCAGGGGAAGAACGATCGAAGTCACATTTTTGTCTTTTCGCATAAAAGGCAAAACAGACTTTTGGATGAGAATGCTTGACGCGAACAGAACAATGAGTGGGTTTAATTACAACTTCAAAATGATGTTTAATACGAATCATAATTACCAGTACAACAACTGACTTCCACTTTTCAGCCACATTATGGTCAAATAAAGGGTACGATGAACGTATTTGTCCTAGAGGCCATTTCAGAAGAGCCTTGGTTCGATGTGACTCTGATCTTTTTTACCTGAAATTGATTGTTCCACAGAAAGCTTATACAATTTGCTACCAGATGGCGCCATTAACTAGGGTTCGTTGAAAAAGTGACTTAGATCGTTCTTCCCTGGGGCACTTCATATATATATACTCTTCAAAAAAAGTAGGGGATGTTCAGAAACAATACAAAACTGCGGAAATGCACTGCTGTTTTGATTAGAGGTAACCAGTGTATGTTAATAACAGGCCATCTACACATGAACATAAACAGTTCATATGGGTGGCTTATCTGACGGCCCCATTTCACTCGCAAAGAGATACACCGTCAAAAGTGAAAATGAATGTTTTTGATTTTTGTCTTGATAATGAATTATTGCTCCACCAATCCTCAGACATTCAGCAATTCGTCGTGGCATGCTCCTAATCAACCATCCAACCATGGCCAATTCATGCAGTGTTGTCGGTTGACGTTGACGAACACATCTCCCGATGAAAATAAACGTAACACACTAAAGCCAAGATATGCTAAACAGTAAATCTTATGCAGGAACCGATAGGAATGCTAACATGGATAGATAAACCAGCACGCGACAGTTTTCATCAACCCTTCCTTGACGTGTCAAATTTGAAATTGAACCCCTCCCACGTGTATGGCACTATTGCATGTTGCATGTTCAGCTCAGTGGTTCTGTTGGGGCGATAAGTTCTTCATGTGTGAACAAACTCTCAAAGCATGTCAAGTGTCCATGACTATTTATCATATGACAACCTGCATAGGTATTTGCATTTCAATATCCCCTACTTTTTTTGAAGAGTATATATGATAAACTTCATCTACATCAAAGACCATAATACATTGTTATACAGATAGCGTTTTACCTTGCCTTGTGAAAATGATCAAAATTATTTTTTCATTTCCAAATTTATTTTGGTAGAATGGGTGTTTATTGGGAAATGATGAAATTTGATTCATTATTTTTTTGAACCAATCTTATTTCACAAAATAATTATAGGGTAATAAATATATGACAGATAGAATTAAAAACTTGTAATCAAATAAGTGACCTTTAACCCTTTTGGTTACCATAGTAATGTCTTAGTGTCTCCATTTCTATTACATAGTGTGTGACCACCCAGTGACCGGGTCATGGAGAAAGGTTACATAGTGTGTGACCACCGAATGACTGGGCCCTGGGGTTAGGTTACATAGTGTGTGACCACTCAGTGACTGGCCCCTGGGGAAGGTTACATAGTGTGTGACCACCCAATGACTGGCCCCTGGGATAAGGTTTCATAATGTGTGACCACCCAGTGACTGGCCCCTGGGGAAAGGTTACATAGTGTATGACCACCCAGTGACTGAGCCCCGCAATTTGAAAATGTTATCTGGTAAAGAATTGATTTTACATCTTGTTATACATGTTCAGTAATTTATTCAGTGCTTCAAATATGCTGTTAATTATTGCTTTATTTGCTTTGTATACATGCAGAGATGTTAGTTTCTCAGCCAAAAGAAAGCCAAAACATCTTTTAAAAATGATTGCTGATGAAATGGATAATTTTAGGGGTGCTCAACTGTCAGTACAAATTCCCCAAAATGTTAATTGTAGAGGGATCTTTAAAGCAATCTGATTAAAACACAGATCCTATTAGGTTTCGTTTTTTTTATAGTTCAAAATTTCGTTTTATTTGTCTAGGATCTGGAAGAGTTGTTATAAAACCCGCGTTCTGGATAATGTAAGGTATTAGCCAAAGAAACCATCTGTTACAGCGACTTCTTGCTGTGCGTTTCACAGAACTGTGGGTAAACTATTAGAAATATCAACGCTGACTGATTAATCTATGTCTGACGTCATATGGTCAAAAGCAGCTCGTACGAACCCTGACGCAACCTTTCAGTAAAATTGGTCAGATCTTTATGTAGTGTAGGCCATGGAAAGTATTAAAAAAAAAAATGAAACAAATTAAGATCTGTATTTTAATCAAGATTGCCTTTAAATAGAATAACAATTGGACTAGTTTGTGAAAGAGTAATACATGATGTATAAAAGGGACAAATTGACAGCTGTTTGAATTCTGTGAGTAAATATAATTATATTTTTATTTGAATTGAATTGTAAAATATTTATATTGTCATTATAACCAAATATCCCAGGTATTTTTTATCAAGAGGCAAATTTGGTCATGTCTATTACTGATTTACAAGATCTCACTTTTTGCTCTCGCATCTTTTGTCAAGTGGTTTGAATAAATCAGGGGGTAGGATGACTGTATGGTTAGTACATGCGCGCTGCATCATAAGGTCTGTCATTGAGTCAACTGGCGGGGTTTCGATTCCCTAGTTGAACGTGACAAGGAGTAGAGTCGCCTGTCCAACATCGTGGGTTTTCTCCGGGTCCTCTGGTTTCCTCCCACTGCTAAAGACCCCTACGCGCAAACGAATTATTGAAATAAAATTGAGCCATGTGTTAGTCCCGGAATGACTTAGTTTCTCTTTCTCTCTCTCTCTCTCTTTCTCTCTTGAATAAATCAGTCAGTTGTATTAGCCTACCAATGAACTGATTAAAATCAGTTCATTGGTAGGCTAATACAACTCTGATGTAATAAGAGAAGATTTTTACATTTTGTCACCTCGCTTGATTAAAGAACAGATCAATATTTGTTTGGTATGTTATTGCCCGTTGAAGAATCTTTGAGAATTAATTTAACATCTTTGTCGTCTTGCTTGTCAGTCTGATTATAATACAGATCATCTACTGGTACAACCAATCTATTGTCTGTCACTCTAATTAGCAGCAAGCCTGGAAATATAGCACCTGGCACAGACATCGTCCGGCATTATTCCTCTGATGGGGGGTGGCCAAATGGTTAGCACGTGCGCGCTGTATCATACGATCTGTCATTGAGTCAACTGGCATGGTTTCGATTCGCCGGTTGTATGTGACAACGAGTAGGGTCGCCTATCTAACCTCGTGGGTTTTGTCCGGGTCCTCCGGTTTCCTCCCACTGCTAAAGACCTCTACGTGCAAGCGAATTATTGAAATTATGAAATAAAATTGAACCATGTGTTAGTCCCGAAATCCTACTTTTTTGCTCTGGCTGGGTTAATGAAGACGGGCATATGCCATACAGTGTGCTATGAGGTACTACAGCCTACTGTTATATCGAATTCCAACTGACAAGGGATCTTTTACGTACACGCCAATGTGTACACGGGATCTCGGTTTTTCCTCCCATCCGAACGGCAAGACAGTTGTCCTTGCCAGGCCCCCCCCCTTCCGCATCACTGACAAGGGGGAACCATGCCGGAAAATTTGCATGAACTTTCACAGCCTATGCAGGGATCGAACACCCGACCTCCGGGCTAGCGAGCCAGTGTCTTACCCACTTAGCCACCTTGATCCCCTGGACAATGAGAGATAGATGATGAAATAGTTTGTACTCCTTTATCCTAGATTCCTGTGTTTATATAATTTATTGTGTTGAAGATGTTTGTATATATATTAAAATAGAACCATATATATATATATATATATATGCCTTAGTTGTATTGTTCACAGTTTAAATAGATAGAACTCAATGACCATTGAATACAGCTCGGGTTATTCAATGGTTCAAGAGAGTGTATCCCTGCGCAAATATGCGGCAGGGATACACTCGAGTGAACCATTGAATAACCCGAGCAGTATTCAATGGCCAATGAATTCTGTTTTTATTCTATAACTACATGTAAATCTCAAAATACACTGTACTATCAAGATTATCATCCAAAAACAAAATCACCAATAACGTTAAAATTCATCATAGCTTCCGCCCTTTTTTCTTTCTTTTTTTTTTTACAAAAATGGTATTTGCTAGTGGTGACGTCATTACAGTTTGACGTAATTCTGAAAGTGACGTCATTCTGGACAAAAGTAGTACGTGTTGAAGCCATTGAATACAACGATAGGTTATTCAATGGCTGTATTCAATGATATTTGCTTGTATTTGCATATAGTTATAGAATAAAATATATAATTATTGGTGCCTTATCAAAGATATTTTGGTGCATATATTTGTATTTCTGTTATTGGCTTGCTTGTTATGATCTCTCCATATAGCTAGGTCTAGATTCATATGTAAAGGATTCTTGCAGGCCCATAACTAAAGGGGGGAGGGGGGCTTTAAAAGTTCCCCCCCCCCCCCCCCCCCCCCCGCACTGTGAAAATATTGTCGACCATAAAAAACAATAGATATACATTGTCTGTCAATTTAACAGTCTGAGAAAACCTGAATGGTGACCCAACTCTTTAGAAAGTACAAGCATTGATACATTGACAGACGTAAAGCACACGTTTAAGACAACACGTGGATCTTCATTAGTCCATTTCTTTATATGAGAAATATTACTTTGTAGCAATCCAAGTTGTGTAGTGCACTGGATGATAGAGACTTTATATCAACGCATACTCATATAGACTTTGTATACCAGACATTTGTATGACTGTTTTAACAAATCTCCATCAAATTCACACCTTCCATACAGAATATTTTGAAGAAATCATATTTTTGACTATTTAAATTGCCAATATTGCTCATGTATGATAATTTTTGTAGCATTATTCATCTTGTATAATAAACTCTATATATTATGTTAAATATGATTCATTTTGTTGAATTTTTGGGGGAGGGGCAGGGGGCGAATGATGCGTGTTGGATCCGGCGGAGGTCTGTGGCGTGGTTTTGATTCCCGGGTTGTATGTAACAAGGAGTAGCGTTGCCTGTGCAACCTTGTGGGTTTTCTCCGGTTTCCTCCCATTGCTGGGGGTCACGGTGGCTTAGTGGGTAAGATGCTGACTCACTAGTCTGGAGGTCGGGTGTTCGATCCCTGCATTGGCTGAGAAAGTTCAACCAGATTTTCCGGGGTGGTTCCCCCTTGTCAGTGATGCAGGATGGAGGGCCTGACAAGGAAAGCTGTCTAGTCATTCGAATGAGACGAAAAAACGAGGTCCCGTGTACACATTGGCGTGCACGTAAAAGATCCCTTGACAGTTGGAATTAGATATAAGAGTAGGCCGTAGTGGCGGTGTCCGGGCAAAATTTCCCTCATAGCACACTATATGGCGTATGCCCGTCTTTATTAGCCCAGTATAGGAGCAGAACAGTAGGACGTTAAACCCCATTTCACAGCACGAAAAATTGAGCTGGCCTTATTATTTAGCAATAACCTTCATTAAAGGACAATGTTGGTGTCCGCTATTATCACATAAAATGTGATAGAACTAGTTAAACACATATAGAAGAAGTCTGTGCATTACAACTTATTATTAAGTAGACAATGTATAAAAACAAGGGAATTCACAGGCAGAGTTAAGCGGTGGACACATTAGCCGAATGATTCGGTCGAATCGATCAGCGTCGAAATTCGCGAAGTGTGTCCACTCTCATTCGAATTTCTATTCGGCCAAAATTCGCCCGAATCAAAAAGGTTTGATATATTCGGCCGAATTATATTCGCCTGGTGTGTCCGCTTCGCCGAAGCATTCGGCCGAATATAGAATTTATTAGCCAATCACCACTCATATCGAGAAGTCACGTGATGGTTTGAAGACATAGGCGCCGCCATGTTTAATCATGTGACGTGAAAGGTGATGCAATCGACTTTTGAATCGGGCGAAGCATTCGGCTAGTGTGTCCACCTGACTAGGCTTCTCTAGTCATTATCAACAGGTGCACCAGAACGGGTACCAAAAGATGGGCGGGGGGTGCGGAGAGAGAGAGAGAGAGAGAGATGGGGTTTAACGTCCACTCGACACAAACTAGGTCATTTCGGAACTAACACACAGTTCATTTTTTATTTCAATAATTCGCTTGCGCGTAGGGGTCTTTAGCAGTGGGAGGAAACCGGAGGACCCGGAGAAAAACCACAAGGTTGGACAGGCGACCTACTCCTAGTCACGTATAACCGGGAATCAAAACCCCGCCAGTTGACTCAATGACAGACCGTATGATACAGCGCGCACGTGCTAACCATTCGGCCATCCGCCCCCCCCCCCATATTCAGGAGCAAGTGTTGACGAGACACTATAATGAGACTATAATTAGGGCATGGGTATACATGTATACCCCAGAAAAGGGCAGGGTACCATTTGTATACCCTGGTACCCGGGTTCCGGCGCCCCTGATTATCAAGCAATGCTAAATTAATATGAATATATAACAAGATAATATATACATGTACACAATTGCAACAATATTTAGTTAATGCTGACCAACCAGAGATACCTTTTAATTACATATACCCAAAGAAGACCTAACTTAGTTAGGGATTATAAAAGTTTAATGCTAGTAACACCATTCAATAATGCATGTAGGCCACTTTAGCTGAAATTAACACAATTCATTAATGGAATACTTGTTGTGGAGTATACACAATGATTTTTCAGTTCCCCAGTTACCTCAGCCGCTGTGTTGAAGATACTCTTTGCATAAGGGTCCAGCATAACAGAAACGAGGAGCGCCGCTTATTCTCTCTCGCTGAGCAACAGCGTATTCAGCTCCAATCTATGCTGTTCCAAAACGATTACGAGACAGTAAGAGAAAAACAGATCAGTTCGAATGTCCTGTTGAATGAAACTATACAAAAGCGGCAGACAGATAAATTAATTTGATAACCCCAGAACTACAGCGCCCTGTTTTGAATAGTACCAGAAAATCGAGACAGTAGTCAACCTTAGTGATCGAGACTTAACTGATGACCAAATGACCAATTCTATCAAGGGGATTAAAGTTCGCACCGACCACAAAGCACCTCAACCATTGGGAAAGGATTACATCAATAATCTAAGGCACTAAATAACTGAGATACTAGCAAAGACCAACACCAAACAGCAGACGAGCAATGTTTGCCGTCAAGAAAGGAACGCCCTCAATGACCTCAAAGATGATAGGACTATCGCAATTGCTTCCGCCGATAAGGGAAAAGCAACAGTCATCATGAACACTGATGAGTACACCTCACCACGGTCAACAGTTTACTCCAAGATCCAGCAACATATAGAAGAATCCGCAAAGATCCCACAAACGCGCACAAGGCTGCCATGAAAACTTTCTTTATAAACTGAAAGAAGAAAAGCAGATCTCTGAAGCTCTCTACTATAAGCTCAGACCAAATCACCCTCGAAGATTCTGGTAAATTTTGTGAGAAACTGCAAAATATACAAAACCGGGGAGAACGGTCTCATATGATGTTAAAAGTTTAATTTAGAAATGTACCCAGGGAAGAGGCCCTGAAGAGTATAGGCAAGCGCATAGACCGTTTAGACAACCCACTGGAGACCTCCCTATCAACCGATAACATCCCACTCCTGTTGAAACAATGCATCAATGCATAAATTTTTAAATAAAACATCTAATTGTTCGCATGTATCACTATAGTACGGTGGCTGATAAGGGACATGAAAAATAATATAATTTGTTTTTTTTTAATATTCACCCAAGTCAATTTTAATATAATTTGTGTTTTACAATTTTCACCCAAGTCAATTTTGATATAATTTGATTTTTATAATTTTCACCCAAGAATTTCCACCTAGCGCGTGACGTCATCTCAATTAGCCTCGTTTCCAAAACACTAATGACCTCTCTCTCTCTCTCTCTCTCTCTCTCTCTCAAAGTTTGCGTACGAGGGGCGACAGTTTCGATCAGACTTTCAGAAAATTCGAACTCAATCATCATTAGGGCGTAACGGTGATATATTCAAACGTTTTTTGTTTTTTTTAAATCGGATACAAATTGTGACCTCTAGAGGGACCACAAGCTAAAAACGAGATTTTTCGTACAATACAGGGTCGTAATTCAGAAAGTTAAGATCCGATAAGCGCGAATATCGAAAGAAACCAGATGATAATTGTGACCTCTGGAGTGTCCACACGCTAAAAAAAAGTGACTTTTCGTACAATCAGGGGCTATAATTCATGAAGTTTCGATCCGATACATGCCAATATCGAAAGGAACCTAGATCTTTTTGGGATAAACCTATATTTCAAGTCTCGTCAAAATCGGATAAGAATTGTGACCTGTATAGTGTCCACAAACAAATTATGGATGGACGTCCGGACGGACAGGGGTGACGACAATATACGTCTATATGAAAATGTGGGCGTATAAAAATATCTATTTGATATAACATGATACATTGCAATCTGCTAATTACAGTATGAGAAGCATATAAAGCAGTGGACACATCAGCCGAATCGTTCGGCCGAATCAATCGGCGCCGAATTTTATTCGGCCGAATGGGTGGACACACTAGCCGAATGCTTCGCCCGATTCAACCTGTCGATTGCATCACCTTTCACGTCACACGATTAACCATGGCGGCCGAATATATCAAACCGAATGACAGTGGACACACTTGGCGAATTTCGACGCCGATTGATTCGGCCGAACGATTCGCCCGAATCATTCGGCTAGTGTGTCCACCGCTTAAGATAAAACATAATACATTACAATGGAAACGAGGCTAATTGAGATGACGTGACACGCTGGGTTGAAATTCTTGGGTGAAAATTATAAAAATCAAATTATATTAAAATTGACTTGGGTGAAAATTATAAAAAACAAATTATATTAAAACTGACTTGGGTGAAAATTATAAAAAACAAATTATATTAAAATTGACTTGGGTGGAAATTAAAATTGACTTGGGTGAAAATTATAAAAAAACAAATTATATTAAAATTGACTTGGGTGAAAATTAAAATTGACTTGGGTGAAAATTATAAAAAACAAATTATATTATTTTTCATATCCCTTATCAGCCAGCGTACTATAGGTAATAATGCCGTCAATGTACCCCTCACAATTTTGTAAATCGGCAAATAATTCCATTAACTAATCTTTGAAAGGTACATGGTGCATTTGTTATACCAAATGGCATTACTTAACATTAGAAATTACCATCTGATGTTTCAACAGATAATACACTTTTAGCCAATATCCCTTTAAAAATTTTATCAATACAATCGTCTATTCTAAGAATAGGAAATGCATCAGTTATTGAAACAGAATTAAAATCTGTATAAAGAGGATACGACTCATCAGACTTTGGTACTAACATGCACTAGGTTCAATAATGTCATTTTCCAACATGTACTTGACTTCATTTCTCAAATGTTCCAAGTTAAGTTTTGCAGTACCATCCACCGCATCATAATGATATATGGCCTCCGTTTTACTTGGAACATCAGGAAATAAATGTATGTATCGCTGTTTAAATTTTTTAACTCCTCTTTGTCGACATCACTTAAATGATTAAGTTTAGTATCTAAATTTGAAAGTATAACAGAATGCTTTAATTTAACATCACATTATATAGGTTATATGACCTCATGTTCATCACTTGACTGGACCGCAGATAAAATTAGTAACATGTCTACTAATATACCCCCCCCCCCAAAAAAAAAAAAAAAAAAATCAATTTTCCAGGTTTGCTTCAACAGTTTGCATAATAACTGTTTGTTGCCTTTTCATATATTATTTATATTTTCTTAAAGACAACGAACCATTCCATACACCCGGAACAAGATGTTAAGGAAATGAAACGGCTCCTCTTCCAGAAACTCAGATCAAATTATAAACGACCAACGTCCTGCATACTGAATTAATACATTTTTGATACGCCAGTAGCTAACATCAGAACATCGACGATAGGATATGTTCAAGTGCAGGGGCGGATCCAGGAATTTTTGCAGGAGGGGGTCTGCCAGGTTCCTAAGAATATGTACCACCCCCCCTCGGTTTCATTGAGCTTTTTAAACAGAGAAATCCAACATCCTGTTTGGCGTCAATTTTTATTATGAATTAATACGATGACATTGTGATTCAATTTTATTATTGATGCAAAGCATTAATTGTGATATAACATATGTTATATCATTATCTCGCGCTTTGAGTGCCCATCCTGTCGCACCATATGACGATAAAGGATAGAGAACAAAATGTCAAACGAACGGACTTGCGAACCTCAACGAATCTCCCTTGTGAGCGCCAAAGTAGCGAGTCCATTGGGGACCTCGCCATGAAAATTTGGAAAAATAGACTGTCGGAAATGCTCTACAACATGCAAGTTTATGACTGAGTGGGGATGTGGGATTTATTCACCGTAGAAGGTATTGATTACCGAAACGTATCACAAATACTTTTTTTATTTTCTAAAATTATTGGGGGGGGGGGGGGCAAACAGAGGGCAGACCAGATTAATGGGGGGGGGGGGGGGGGGCAAATCCCCCCCCCCCCTGGCGCCACCACTGATCTACCCCCTCCTCCACATATCTTCCTCCCTGACAATTTCCACCTCCTAGATGAAGGACTGATCGATCTTGCTGTAACGGTTCAAAAATAGTTAATAAAAATTGCAATCAGATTAAAATACCGATATTGTTGTCGTTCCGTTTTTTTTATACTTTCGATGGTCAACACTACACGAAGGTCTGGTCGGTTGTACTGGAAGGTCGAATCAGGGTTCAGACGAGTGACTTTTACCCTATGACGTCAGACCTTGATTAATCACAGCCAAGAACTCGCTGAAACAGACCGTTTCATTGGCTAATCCCCTTTACTCCTCAAATCACCGAAATGATTACCAATTTAAATCCTCAACATGACGCAATTAATACACTCTAACCAGACATAATTACAAACCCTGTCTAGCACCTCAAGTCGCCGAAATTACAACGCCTTCAAATCACCGAAATTATTACAAATTTAAATCCTCAACCTGACGCAATTAATACTCCCTCTTCTAGCTCCCCACATAATTACAAACCCTGTCTAGCTCCTCAAATCTCCGAATATAGTACCATCTCTAGATCGTCACATGACTACATATGGATAAAAAATATAATTCAATTCCATATTTTAATTTTTAAGAAGTAAAATTTTTTATTATCATAATTTACATACAAGAATTGGCCTACTTTTAATAAAAGGCCATTTTTACATATTGAGATGTAACAATTTCCCATATAGCACACGGTATGGCACAAGCCCATCTTCATTAGCCAAGGAGAACGTGAAATCTCATTTTATTTACTTTTGATTTGTCAGTTTATTGTTCCTATTGTCAAAATAATAAATATAAAATCCTTTTGGACCAGAAACTGATCCCAACCGGTCTCGTTCTTGGAGGCCATTTCTCTTTGAAAACAACCTAAGGCTCCGCAATTCAGGTAAGGTCACCATAAACATGGCATGATAGTACCTTGCAAACATGAGTATCGATTGACGAAGTTCCTGGTCCATGGTACGATTGTTCTTGTATTAACCTAGTAGCACTTAAAAACTTGGGTAGCCGGAAACTAATAGCAACTCAAGCGACCGGACTCACATGTATAGATGTCAACTATTTACAGCTTGGACAATCTGAGAATCGGTCGTCTTGATCGGTTTTCGGCTAGCCAAATATAATGTGATTCCTACTGTATTTATCCTGAAACCACCGAAACTACCTCCTCCTCTCTCTGGCACCTCAAACGGCCCGAGTCACCCCAATAGCTGTGTACTATTTATGAATCGTATACAGGTTCTGTGACTCGAGTAGTCTGGGTAGCAGAAGTCATGGGTGGTTTCAAAAAAAAAAAAAAATCATTTGGGGAGCAGTAGTAGCTTTGAACAACACAAATCAATGTGTAGAAAGTCCTGAGTAACTCTAGCGGTGTGGGCACGTGCGTTATCATGCTGGAGAAAGTCCCAAGTAACTCTAGCGGTGTGGCCATGCGCGTGTTATGCTAGGGAAAGTCCTGAGTAACTCTAACGGTGTGGGCACGCGCGTTATCATGCTCGAATGCCAAAAACACCTCTTTTGTGTTATTCAGGAAATCAGGATAGTCATTCTTTTAATGTCTAATACGATTACGTACCATGTATATTCAGAGTCTCATAATCTAGGACTGTGTTTAACAATAAGATTATTTTTATATCATATTTGTATTTTAATACATGTAAAATATCACACCTTGTATATTTAACACAATCTGTGAATGAAATGATTTTTACGGAACTTCTATAATCATATTATAGAAATAACAAGATATTAAAGAATTTTGGACAATTTCCCCGCCAAGAAATCAACGAAATTTATAATTTACAGGTCTTGGATTGGACAACTGCCCCCCAAGAAATTACCACTCTTTGACAACTGCCCCAAAGAACTTAATAATTTACGGGTCTTGGATTGGACAGCTTCCCCCCCCCCCCCAAAATGAATAGAGTCTAAGAACTCTGCCCCCAAGAGATTAACAAGGTCTTGTTTAGAATCTTGGACAACTCCCGAAATTAACAATGTTTTAAACATCCTGTGAAAAAAACCCCAACAGTTTCTGATCTTTAAATTTCTATCAGTAGATAAAATCAGGTTTCTAAACCAACGGAAATAAACAAGAATATGGCCTATATGTTATATTCACCATAATCAAATATACATTCAGTGTAAATCGCATTCTAGATATCCAATGTTTGGAGTTCGATTGGTTAATCGTCAAAATAAAACTATCAACATACATCAAGAGCCAAAAAAAAAAAAAAAAAAAAATAATAACAATTTTACTTTCAAAATTATGTCAATTTCACCTATATCTTCCTTGAGTGGCATTTAGTGATTGAGCACATTAAAAAACACAACACAATTTATATGGAATACAATCACTGGTTTATACACAATTTATATAGAAAACAATCACTGGTTTATACACACAGGGGGGGGGTTGGATGGCTGAATGGTTAGCATGCGCGCGCTGTATCATAAAGTCTGTCATTGAGTCGACTGGCGTTGTTTCGAATCCCCGGTTATACGTGACAAGGAGTAGGGTCGCCTGTCCAACCTCGTGGGTTTTCTCCGAGTCCTCCGGTTTCCCCCCACTGCTAAAGACCCCTACGCACAAGTGAATTATGTAAATAAAATTAAACCATATGTTAGTCCCGAAATGACCTAGTTTGTGTCGAGTGGACGTTAAACCCCATTTCTCTCTCTCTTTATACACACAGGTTTATAAAATACTTGATAACGTTAAGAGAATACTAGTCAAAACATCGCGCTATATGTGTGTAAACCAGTGATTGTTTTCCATATAAATTGTGCTGTGTTTTTTAACATATATCTTTATGTTTTTTGATGGAATACTGGCAAACCCAACCCAACACTGATGCTGTGCCTATGATCCATAATTATGTAACTGATCATGTGCACAACGTGAGATAAGTAGGTTGTGGTCGTATCCTGTATTACTTGTGTGTATTTTTCTATTCTTGACTTGTGATATCATCCAATGGTTGTCATAAAACGGCAGGATATGTCTCTAAATTATTTATTTATCTGAGTTTTCTGGTATCACTTTCACACCCCTTCTAATTTGACCCCAACCGATTAATCTGTAAATTAAAAGAAAATTCATTTAAAAAAATTCTCAAATTGTTTGAGACAAAAAAAAAACAACACAAAAATCCCGAACATCTGTCAAATACACAATCTGATTTAAATACAGACCTACATTTCGTTTCGTTTTTTTTTTATACTTTCGATGGCCTACACTACATGAAGATCTGACCGGTTGTAGCGATAGGTTGTGTCAGAGGTCATACGAGCGCTTTTTGGACCTATGATGTCAGACATTGATCCCAGTGTTGTGAAGACGAGTAAAACTAAATTTTGAACTATAAAAAATGGGGTTGAACACCTTACTCACTTAGACATTGAGGCAATCTAATTAGAATACAGATCTATGGTTTTTTTTTTATACTTTCGATGACCTACACTACATGTAGATCTAACAAGTTATAGTGGGAGTTCACGTTCTATGACGTCAGGTACCAAGCAAGCGACATTTGACCCGATTATGTCAGTCATTCGATTAACCAATTAGCGACCGCCATGTATTTTTTTTATCTACTTTTGCTTTGTTTTGATTTCTATTGCCGCTAATGTCTACCCACAGTTCCGCGCCAAAAAGGTAAAACGCTCGATTCGACAGACCATTTGATTGGCTGACCCCTCATTTCAAGCAGAACACGAGTTAAATAACAACGCTTCCAGATCCAAGTGTAGTAAAGACAAGTAAAATCAAAATTTTGAACTATAAAAACGAAACGAAATTGGATCTGTGTTTTAATTAGATTGATATCGAGGCTCACAATACAACAATCTGAATAAAACACAGATCCTATTTCGTTTCGTTTTTTATAGTTCAAAATTTCGTTTTACTCGTCTTTTACTACACTAGGATCTGGAAGAGTTGTTATATAATCCACGTTCTGGATATCGTGAGGGATTAGCCAATGAAATCATCTTGGCGTGCGACGTACGGAAATGTGGGTAAACCCCTCGAAAAGTCAACGCTGATTGATTAATCAATGTCAGACATGATAAGCCTACAAACGGAGAGATCTTCATGTAGTGTAGGCCATCGAAAGTATAAAAAAAACTAAACGAAATACAGATCTATATTTTAATCAGATTGCAAAAACAATTAAAAGATTGTCTAATAAATTTCCAATCTGGTTAAAACACAGATCCTATTTCGTTTCGTTTTTATAGTTCAAAATTTCGATTTTACTTGTCTTTACTACACTAGGATCTGGAAGAGTTGTTATTTAACTCCTGTTCTGAATGGTGTCAGGGATAAGCCAATGAAACGGTCTGTTACGGCGAGCTTTAGGCGTGTTTTTCACGGAACTGAGGGCAATCCACTAGTAACATCAATGCTGATTGGTTAATCAAATATCTGACATCATAGGGTCATAAGTCAGTCTTTTGACCCCTGACGTGACCTATCGCTATAACTTGTCAGATCTTCATGTAAGTGTAGGCCATCGAAAGTATAAATTAAATAAAAACGAAACGAAATATAGATCTGTATTGTAATCAGATTGATAAATTGCTTAATACAGTAATTTGTACAGGGCCCTTATTCACGAAATACTGCAATTCGATTGGCTGACCAATATGCAAATTGGATATATGCAAATTGATTTTACTGGTCAGCCTATCGAATTGCAGTATTTCTTAAAATTTCGATTGTATCTTAATTTAAGTTTTCGTGAATAAGGGCCCAGGAAATTAGGTGGTAAGACAAAATTTGCAATATAAAGAAAATGAACCTATGGACTAGGAAATATTAAATGTTTATAAATTTTACCTCCAGTGTTTTTCAACTCTCCTAGACAAAGCAATTTTTTCATTTATTTCTGTACATACTGGTGTCGTTAAACCTATTTTAGCTAAATCAGCTTTAACAGCCTGAACTCGACCTCCTGTAGATAATGATCCTATATTCACCATTAAAATTTCATTCTTCGCCAATTTTTGAACCTAAAATAAACCAAGTCAAACATATTCAAAGTCCACAGCATTCACAAGGGCCATGGGGGTTGGATGACAAAACGTCAATATCATATATTTTTAAAACTAGCAGAGGTCATAAAGTTCTATGTACATAAATGATCGTACAATTTGATGAAAGGTAAACATCACTTTGTCACACTAAGTGGGTAAGATGCTGGCTCGTTGGCTTGGAGGTCGCGGGTTTGATCCCTGCATTGGCTGAGAAAGCTCCTTGGCAGTTGGAATTCGATAAAAGGGTAGGCCATAGTGCCCGTCATAGCACACTGTATAACACATGGCCGTCTTCATTAGCCCAGCATAGGAGCAGAGCCCCATTTCATTTCCTCTATAAATGAAATGAAATGGGGTTTAACGTCCTACTGTTCTGCTCCTATACTGGGCTAATGAAGTCGGGCATACGCCATACAGTGTGCTATGAGGGAAATTTTGCCCGGACAGCGGCACTATCGCCTACTCTTATATCGAATTCCAACTGCCAAGGAATCTTTTACGTGCATTCCAATGTATACATGGGACCTCGGTTTTTCGTCTCATCTGAAGGACTAGACAACTGTCATTGTCAGGCCCTCCGTCCTGCATCACTGACAAGGGGGAACCACCATTTCGTCTATAAATGGAATAACTATGAAGTAGAATTGAAACTTACCTTAGCACCCTTTTTATCACCCTCTGTTTTTACCCCCAGTAGTCGACGTAACAGGAAGTAGGAGATTTCTAATTCTGTATAAATATCAGGTAAAGCGTTGACAGCCCCTAAAACTTGTCCCACCATTCGATCACCCCGGCATAACATAGGATCAATCTTTGTACCAACACCTAAAAACCACAAAAAATCTCGTACAAATTTAAAGAGAGAGAGAGAGAGAGAAATGGGGTTTAACGTCCACTCGACACAAACTAGGTCATTTCGGGACTAACATATGGTTCAATTTTATTTCCATAATTCGCTTGCGTGTAGGGGTCTTTAGCCATGGGAGGAAACCAGAGGACCCGGAGAAAACCCACGAGGTTGCACAGGCGACCATACTCCTTGTCGAATACAACCGGGGAATCGAAATTTTCATCATTAATCAGACCAGCCATTATTATTGTAAACTAATGTTTAGAATGTATAGAAAGTGGTTAGAAATTATACAGTTGTCATTAATTAGCAGGTGTGTAACTAGCTGTAAGAGAAGTTACTACTGGTGTAAAAGCATGACTATTTATAACACCCATCACTATTGAATACACAAACCTAAACAATAGAAATGAAATGAAATGGGGTTTAACGTCCTACTGTTCTGCTCCGAACTGGGCTAATGAAGATGGGCATACACCATACAGTGTGCTATGAGGGATATTTTTTCCAGACAGCGGCACTGCAGCCTACTCTTTTATCGAATTCAAACTGTCAAGGGATCTTTTACGTGCACGGCATTCTGTAAACGGGACCTCGTTTTTTTGTCCCATCCGAAAGACTAGACGGCTGCCCTTGCCAGGCCCTCCATCCTGCATCACTGACAAGGGTGGAACCACGCCGGCCAATGCAGGGATTGAACACCCGACCTCCAGGCTAGCGAACCATCGTGACCCCCAGCCGAACAATAGTGGTGTACATGTATATCATTCAATAGTCAGAGATTTAACACCTAATTAATGACCACTGCCTGGTTACTAGTGATCTGTCCATGTCATATATTTTCATTTATAAAAGTTATTTGTTCATAAGTTAACGATAACAACTTTATAATAAAATATCTCCTAGTTATCTGTGGGCAGAAAAGTTCTGGATACAATTCTTATGGTATTAGAAAACCAACGCGGTTGAATAGGTGACCCTACTCCTTGTAAAGCAGCCCACACACGCTTAATATAATTATCAATATTATCGATTTCAATTTTATTGAAGCAAATTTCGGTTTCCCACACATGTTCAATTATATTGTCTCAATATTCATTGCGAGGAAAGCAGCCATCATGGACAGAACTATTTGTTTATCACTAGCTATGGTAGCTCAAAGTCCTAAGAAAAGTAAAAGACGTGGGAAATGGTCAAAACGGTGGTACACCCAGTGGGAGAAGTTTGGGCACACACACCTACTTCGACGTCTTTGCGTGAAATGAAATATTGCATCAATATTATTGATGACGGCCACACACAGTCAATTGTTGCAAACAAATTGACGGTTCGTCAATAAAAAATCTACAGACTTTGGATTTCTTCAATCATATTGACATCAATTATTTCGAGCTTCAATATCGCATACACACGCTCAATATAATTGTCAATATCAAGTATTGACGATATTTATTGACAATTATATTGAGCATGTGTGGGCCGCTTAACGTACAACCAGGGGATCGAAACCACGCCAGTTGACTCAATGGTAGATCAAATGATACAATTTAGCCCCCCGACAAACCACCCTAATTAATTACTTTTCACAAAGCTAGACCGTTCAGTAAAACCAATCAACCTCCCAAATTAATTAAATTTTTCCAAAGCTTACCTATTAAGCCTCCAGGTACGGCATACTGTAGATCATTCTGTTCTGCAAAAAGGGAGATAATTCTTGATAAGATGGGACGACACGTTAATTTACCATCTTCATCTCTTGATACGATACCCGGTCGAACTTCTATCTCTTGTCCAACTTTTAACACCCCTCGTAAAATACTTCCACCTGCCACACCCCCTTTTATATCGTCCACTTCACACCCTGGTTTATTGACATCAAAAGATCGAATCACTGAAATATTCAACAGTAAATTACATATCAGATTTTACAGTTCAGGTGCATTTTACTAGGGCTGCAACTATATATCGCTTAGATTCAATACAATTAAAAATAGGGTAAACATTGGGGCTTCAAAATGGAATATTGGGTTTTCAAATGGAAAACTGGGTATCATCTGTAAAACCGGGGCCCTTATTCACGAACACTTAAACTTAGATACAATCGAAATTTTAAGAAATACTGCAATTTGATTGGCTGACCAGTAAAATCAATTTGCATATTGGTCAGCCAATCGAATTGCAGTATTTCTTAAAATTTCGATTGTATCTTAGTTTAAGTTTTCATGAATAAGGGCCCTGGTGTTTATATGTTATAACTCCTCAATAAGTATAAGATTCAGATCGATATGAGATTTTGCACAGGGATTGGAACTTTTAATGAGAGAGAGAGAGAAATGGGGTTTAACGTCCACTCGACACAAACTAGGTCATTTGGGACTAACATATGGTTCAATTTTATTTCAATAATTCGCTTGCGCGTAAGGATCTTTAACAGTGGGAGGAAACCGTAGGACCGGGAGAAAACCCACGAGGTTGGACAGGCGACCTTACTCCTTGTCACGTACAACAGGGGATTCGAAACCACACCAGTTGACTCAATGACAGACTTCATGATACAGCGCTCACACGCTAACCATTCAGCCATCCACCCCCCCCCCAGACCTTTTAATGAATATTGCATCTTTGTATAATATAACTCACCGATAAGACGAGGTTCCGAGGTAAAATCACGAATAGGTACTGGAATACGTTTAGTAATATATTCACATACAACGTCAATATTATATTTCAATTGTGCAGATACTGGTATAACAGGGGCTCCTTCAGCTACTGTACCTGGATAACAAAGACAATAATCATATTGAATTGGTTCTTTCATTCCTGTCTACTCGACACAAACTAGGTTATTTTGGGACTAACATATGGCTCAATTTCATTTTTATAATTCGCTAGTGCCTAGGGCTCTTTAGCAGTGGGAGGAAACCAGAGGACCAGGAGAAAACCCATGAGCAGGGATTCAAAACCACACCACTTAACTCAATGACAGACCTTGTGATCATATGCGCACGCGTTAATCATTCAGCCACCCAATCCCCCTATATACAAAGAACACACTGACAGACAGCCATCTTTGAAGAACTGGTCGACTATGGTCTCAGACTAACGTCTCAGAAAGTATAATTGTTAACAATCAGAATTGATATTGGACTAACATCTCAGAATTTATAATTTTTAACAATCGGGAAAAGTATAGCCTTCCACATGTATACAGCCAACTGTTTGACGTCCTACTTTTCTACAGCTGCCAGGCCAGTAAAGAAATGAAATGGGGGTTTAACGTCCTACTGTTCTGCTCCATCCCAGCTACAAAGACATACAGCATGCTATGAGAGACATCTTTCAACAACAGCAGCCTATTCTTATTTTGATTTCGGCTGTAAGGGGATCTTTAACGTGCACCCAATGGTATACACAGGACCAACTGTCAGGAGATCTTTAACGTACACCCAATGGTATACACAGGACCAACTGTCAGGAGATCTTTAACATGCACCCAATGGTATACACAGTGCCAACTGTCAGGGGATCTTTAACATGCACCCAGTGGTATACAGTGCCAACTGTCAGGACATCTTTAACATGCACCCAATGTTATATACAGGACCAACTGTCAAGGGATCATTAACAGGCTCCAAATGGTATATCCAGGATCTTTAATGTGCACTCAATGTTTTATACAGGGCCGACTGTCAAAGGATCTTTAACGAGCACCCAATGGTATATACAGGGCCGACTGTCAAGGGATCGTTAACAGGCTCCAAATGGTATATCCAGGATCTTTAAAGTGCACTCAATGGTTTATATTCAAAACTTTAAATCAATTTGCCCCAAGTATTAGTAAGTAATTTACCTTTGACAAAAGCCAGTATCTGTTCATACTGGTCTTTGGCTTGTGCTTCCTTAACTAAATCTATTTTATTTTGTAAGATTAAAATATGTTTTAATTTCATGATTTCTACAGCAGCTAAATGTTCTGATGTCTGTGGTTGTGGACAGGATTCATTTCCCGCTGTAAACACAAAAAATATAATGTTAAACTTTTGACATTTAAATTTAACAATAAATGAAACAAAGTTTAATGTCCTACTCTTGTCTATCAACCGCGAAATGGGGTTTAACTTCCTACTGTTCTGGGCCCTGTTTCTGGAAATCTTAACAAAAGATGAAATCCATATTTTAGTAGATACTTCAATTATGATTGGCTAAGCACTAAAATCAATCTAATGTTATCCAATCGAATTACTAAAATTTGAATTTTATCTTAGTTAAAGTTTCGTGAAACAGGCCCCTGCTCATACTTGGCTAATTCAGATGGGCATACGCCATACAGTGTCCTATGGGGGCCTTATCTTTATTTTAATTTCAATCACCCTCGCTAGCTAGCCTGGGGGTTGGGTGTTCGATCCCTGCATTGGCCAAGAAAGTTCACCCAGATTTTCTGGCGTGGTTCCCCATTGTCAGTGATGCAGGAAGGAGGGTCTGACAATGACAGCTGTCTAGTCATTCGGATGAGACAAAAAAAACGAGGTCCCGTGTACACATTGGCGTGCACATAAAAGATCCCTTGACAGTTGGAATTCGATATAAGAGTAGGCAATAGTGCCGCTGTCCGGGCAAAATTTCCCTCATAGCACACTGTATGGCGTATGCCTTTTCTCATTAGCCCAGTTCGGAGAGAAATGAAATGAAATGGGGTTTAACGTCCTACTGTTCTGCTCCTAACCTGGGCTAATGAAGACGGGCATACGCCATACAGTGTGCTATGGGGGAAATTTTGCCCGGACAGCGACACTACGGCCTACTCTTATATCGAATTCCAACTGCCAAGGGATCTTTTACGTTCACGCCAATGTGTACACGGGACCTCGGTTTTTCGTCCCATCCGAACGACTAGACAGCTTTCCTTGTCAGCCCCTCTGTCCTGCATCACTGACAAGGGAGAACCACGCCGGAAAATCTGGATGAACTTTCTCGGTCAATGCAGGGATCGAACACCCGACCTCCAGTAGCGAGCTAGCGTCTTACCCACTTAGCCACGTGATCCCCCCAGTTCGGAGCAAAACAGTAGGACATTAAACCCCATTACATTTCATATAGTGCAAGTATTTTAATTACAAAGTACCATTTTAATAAGATCACTGACCTATTAAAAGAAGTGCTGCATCCATGACAGCTGCTCCGTTCAACATGGTTGCCATAAGAATATCGTGACCGGGACAATCTACAAATGATACGTGCCTGAAATAGATCAAATTACATACATCATAAATACAGATGTTTAATTGTGTTTTATCACTTCAAATACAGAAGAAACTAGAATCGATGAATTTAAAGTGAGAGAATCAACAGTTCAGAATATTCGTCTACCTTTGTAATCTGAATTTTCCTGTACATCCAGGTCTGTCACACGGGAAGACATCTTCTTTACTACTTCCACAAGATCTGTAACATCCTGGTCTCTCACAATTTTCACCGTCACATTTAAATATCTGGGGAAAGAAATAATACACTTTATAACCCAACCCCTTATAACAACATACACTTTATAACCCAGTCCCTTATGACAACAAACACTTTATAACCCAGCCTCTTATAGCAACATACACTTCATATCCCAGCTCCTTATAGCAACAAACACTTTATAACCCAGCCTCTTATAGCAACATACACTTCATATCCCAGCTCCTTATAGCAACAAACACTTCATAACCCAGCCCCTTATAGCAACATACACGTCATAACCCAGCCCTTATGACAACATACACTTTATAACCCAGTCCCTTATAACAACATACACTTCATAACCCAGCCTCTTATGACAACATACACTTTATAACCCAGTCCCTTATGAAAACATACACTTTTTAACCCAGCCTCTTATAGCAACATACACTTTATAACCCAGTCCCAAATGACAACATACACTTAAGAAAAGCCCAATGGCTTGGGAAGGCCTAGTGGTCTAGAGTGTCACACTTGGCTGTTCACGTCTGGCTTGCAGTCGTGGTTTCGATCCGAAGTATACATTTGTTGAAAACACTAAAAATAAGACAACTTGTCTATGATATCACATTCACTGGAAGCGGACTCTGAACCCTATGAACAACAGCAACATACACTTTGTAATAAATTTCATACAATAAGAGAGACAGAAATGGGGTTTAACGTCCACTCAAAACAAACTAGGTCATTTCTGGACTAACATATGGTTCAATTTTATTTCAAATAATTCGCTTGCGTGTGGTGGGAAGAAACCAGAGGACCAAGAGAAAACCCACAAGGTTGGACAGGCGGCACTACTCCTTGTCACGTACAACCGAGGATTCGAAACCATGCCAGTTGACTCAATGACAGACCTTATGATACAGCGCGCACATGTTAACCATTCAGCCATCCAACCCCCCTTATACAATAAGAAATTCTGAATATAAATATAATAACTTATTTCACAGTCCGTTTTCAACTCACATCCTCAGTTATCTCAGAGAGCCATTTGTTCAATGTTTAAACAATCTGATTAAAACACAGATCTATAATTCGTTTCGCTTTTTTATACTTTCGATGGCCTCTACTACATGAAGATCTGACCAGTTGTAGTGGGAGATTTTGTCGGGGGTCACATGAGCAGCTTTAGACCTATGCAACAGATCGTTTCATTGACTATTCCATCAGATCAAGTAGAAAGCGGGTTATATAACAACTCTTCCAGATCCTAGTGTATTAAAAACAAGTAAAACGAAATTTTGAACATTAAAAAACGAAATGAAATAGTATCTGTGTTTTAATTAGATTGATGTTTGAACAGCAAGTAACAGTTTTTCTGTCAACAAGGAAAACTTTTAATGTGTTTAAAAGGAGCTGAATATCTTCTATATAATCTGAAATAAAGATTAAATATCGTTCCATTTGATACAATATTGATGTTGTTAACAATTTACTGAATTCAAACTCACCTTAGCATTTGCGTATCCTAACTTAATTGTAATATTTCTTTCTAACTCATTCTTAAAACGAACAGTCTGGAAAAAAAGGAGAGGCATTGAAATAAAAAACATTATGATTATGTGTCGAAGAGCATTTTGTAACGGTCTAATAACCCCCCATTTTGAATCTGAAATTGTGGAATTTTAATTGAGTGGTATGCTGTCAATGACGTGTGCCAAAATTTCCTGATCTGATCAAAAATCATACTACTGAAGCAATGGGCCGAGAAATCCCTCTCTGGCCATTGCAGGATCGGCTTCTGATACCTGAACTTTTGAGGGAGTTTGTCTATTCTTCCCATTCAATCAAATCTATCCAAAGTACAGCAACACGACAGCCCTTCATTTAAACTCGGGTAGTACCTAAAACTTTGGATGGTGATTTAAGGTACCGGTATTGAAAATGGTGAAAGTGTTGTTTGCTTCAAAACAGTATTGTTTACATTATATCCATGTTGATAGCCTCGTTTGTCACACAATTAGTTTTTCTGCAATATTCTTCTATGCACTGGTTAATTGGGCATAATAAAATCGTGAGTCATGATGTAACATTATGTAAACACATTTGGTTCAATTTGGAGCTCTGTTTAAAGCGTAATGATATTGTTACGCAGTTAGCTCTTGCCTGTTAACCGGACTATTGACCAGTCATAATTTGGAACAAGAATTTGCTTTCATTACAGCAGTGAGTAGTGGGATTAGCTCTAATCAAACGAAACACTGTGAGGAGTATGATCAAAAATAGGCTTTTGTTTCATTTCCTTGTCAGTCTGAAATTTTCAGGTAAAATTGTTATTGCATAGTATATAGGCCTAGTCAACAACTCTTGATAAAATTCTTCAACCCGTTAACTGCGTAGGGCGTTATATAACGTCCTGGATAACTGCTACTCACCATGTGTAGGATGTAATATAACGCCCTGGAGGTATTTTCCCCAACCTATTCTTCGAACATACGATCGCAGCATGTCTCGTCAAGGAAATCTAATTGAAGGGAGACAACTCTATCAACCGTTAGTTTTAATATGGTTTCAGACCACTATCATTTGTATTCAGGAATAAAAATGTCCAAAAATGACGTTTTTCGTCCAATTAATTACACAATAGGGGGTAGTTCACGTTTTAAAAACTACACAGTTAACGGGTTAAGAACTGGTTTGATAAATGTTGTGAAAGTGGTGAACAGGTTCCAGCTGGGGAGATATTTTGCCAACTATATTAAACCTCAATTTTCTATAACATTTAATGTCCGCGATCAGGATCCAGATCGTGTCTTTTTCAGGTGATTACTACTCACCTGTACACCTGATATAGCTTTAACTACTGTTGATTTACCGTGGGCTACATGGCCAATTGTACCTGAAAATATCAAAACATATCATACATCTGGGCTATATGACCAATTGCACCTGCAAAATATCATTTGAAATATATGATTCAAGAGAGTAAGAGAAATGGGGTTTAAAGTCAACTTGAGACAAACTAGGGCATTTCAGGACCTAGATATGCTTCAATTTTATTTCAATAATTCGCTTTTGCGTAGGGGTCTTTAGCAGTGAGAGGAAACCCATAAGGTTGGACAAATGACCCAACTACTTGTCACGTACAATCATTTAAGAAGTTCAAAACAATTTCCAGATATAAAGGCTACAAATAATTTACTGGAAAATACATTATGACCAAATAAAAAAATTAGGTCGGGAAAATATTGGATATAACATAATTCTTAGCGTAAATATAGACGGAATGTGAGAAAACAAAAATCCAGAGGGCGTTACATGTCCGCCGCACGAGGTACATGTAATTATATAATGCCCTGCACAGGTGTGAAGTCATGTTTTGATAATCAATTTACGGTATTACGGATATTTTAGAATCAGAATACAACAGCTCAATGGCGAAGTATTCAGTTTGGTACCACGATACTTATATTTGGTGGAATTCACTATGATACAGATTATAGAATTGCACGAATCTTCGTGTCGCTGAGCCAAAGCAGATTTGCAGGCTTGCAAGAAGTTTTAGGCCTTCTGATTTCGAAGAACTAAAACGGATTCATATTACGATATTCATATTGACTGCGGTGTACGTAAATTTAAGGGTGTTTGTGGTGACCTAATTCTGGACAAATTCCGTAATAATGGTGATATGTCAAAGTTTCCCAGTTTAACAAAATGCCGTAGTGACGAAAGTAAATTAAAAGTTTTGCCTTAGTGCACATCAAAACTGCCGTAGTGACGAAGGAATTACTGTGGCAATTTTTGAAAAAAATGTCTTCGTTCCAATTTCACGAATTTTAACCCCTGCCCTATATCATCCAGCTCTACCTAAATGTTAAATAAAATGGGGTAAAAACACCCTACAGTGTGCTACGAGTGAAATTTTGCCTGGACATCAGCGATACGGCTTACTCTTATATTGAACTACAACTACCAAGGGTTCTGTTACATGCACACCAATGTGTACCAAGGGACCTCAGTTTATCATCCTTTCCGAATGACTATATGTTGTTCTTTGCCAGGCTCTCTGGCCTGCAATCTGATTAAAATACAGATCCATATTTTGTTTTGTTTTTTTATACTTTCGATGGCCTACACTACATGAAGATCTGACAAGTTATAGCAATAGGTCACGTCAGGGGTCAAAAGACTGACTTATGACCCTATAATGTCAGACGTTTGATTAACCAATCAGCATTGATGTTACTAGTGGATTACCCACAGTTCCGTGCAAAACACGCCTAAAGCTTGCCGTAACAGACCGTTTCATTGGCTTATCCCTGACACCATTCAGAACACAAGTTAAATAACAACTCTTCCAGATCCAAGTGTAGTAAAGACAAGTAAAACGAAATTTTGAACTATAAAAACGAAACGAAATAGTATGTGTGTTTTAACCAGATTGTCTGGCCTGCACCACTGACAAGGCTGAACCCGATATAAATAAATTATGTGATTCATTACCTATATTAATTGTTGCTTGTCTGCTAATTACCTCCGGTGTCAGAGGTGTCAACTTTTTCACCTCCTGAAAAAATAAAATCAACCATTAATAAACCATAAATGAGAAAGGGAATAACATATGGCCACTTAGTCAAACAACATATCTACTATGTAGTAAATTTTAAGAGAGAGAGAGAGATAGAGAGAGAGGGGAGAGGAAGAGAGAGATGGGGTTAAACCTCCACTTGACACAAACTAGGTCATTTTATTTCAATAATTTGCTTGCGCGTGTGGGTCTTTAGCAGCAGGCGGAAATGGGGGAATCAAAAAAAACCTACGAGGATGGACAGACGACCCTACTCCATGTCACGTACAAACATGGAATCGAAACCACTACAGTTGACTCAATCCTAGACCTTATGATACAGCACGAGAAAGGGAATAAAAATAAGATATGGTCATTTAGTCAAAAAACAGTAAATTTTAAGTGGCATGGTAAACCAGATTATCCAGACAAGATGTACGATTTTTATCTCATAAAACCTGAGCAGATGTCTTGGTTCCAGCATGCAAGTGCAAAACTTTTAGGGGTTTGAGGTTCAAAGGGTTACCTGGGAGTGGGGTGTGTCGAGTGTGGGGCTACTGCAATGAACATATGGTGGAATAACAATAAGCATTCCACTTCCACAGCTGACATGGATCATGTTCAGAGAATGTGATTAAGATACAATATATTTTTAGTTGTTTTTAAAAATGCTCTCTCCAATTATTTCCTTTTTTATATATAAATGTTAACTGAACTAGTATATACGTAGTACAAACTCCCAAAACTAATTGTGTAGGCCTACCAGTAATTGGAAGACAACAATTACGGAATAATAAACATTGTGATCGTCACGTCCATTTTGATTCTCTATATCAAAATAACAAAACCCATCTCTAACAATACTCTCTATGATATTACTCCATTCAACAATTATTTCATCACAGTTTTTATTTCATATTTAGGCCTATTTGTGTCAAGACTAAAGAGTCAAATATCGTACCGGTACGATTACGAAGTGGAACAAGTTCACTCTGGAAATTTGGATTTTTTGACACCAGTTTGCATTAAGAGTGGATTTTACAAGTACGTCGGGGACGTGGCTTGTTCGAATTACTCACTAATGTGTTCAAATCTTGTTTAGATAAATGGGGTTGAAGATTTTTCACTTTTCCTTCTAATTCGTCACTCGCCATGCTGTTAGATTTCTGATGCAAGCTCTCGGTATCCCCAACTTTAATATCCACCAATCAAATTGTGTAAAGTATCAATAGCTTTATTTGAACCAATCAAATTGTCTGTTTATATTTTATCCAGATCTAATGTTGACCTAATTTACAGAGTAGTAATGTTCTACCAGACTGGAAAAGCAATAGAAAATAAAATAGTAAAAAAACATGACTTGAAGTGCGAGAGTACTCTTATGAGAGCAGCATGGTTGAATATCTTGACGAATTTTCGATATTTTAGCAACAACTTAGCAAGCAAATTCGATTTCATCAGAAGTTTGTCAATACATTGATCATTTTGCCACAAGCCTGTGATTAGTCATAATGGTTCGATCAAAATATCGAGTGACGTGTAGAAAATGAGGCAACAAATGGAAAGCATCATGCCTATTTTGGGGTTTTGTTTTGTTTTGAAATTGATAATATAGAATCCACACTGAAAATAAAAGTTGGGCTCGTTTGCAGTCCTATCCTAAAGACAGGTTGAGGAGGTGGTTGGAGAACCAGTGATGTTGCCCACAACATGGATAGCTTTAGTTCTTGGCTTCTGGTCAACTCTTTATCTTCTGGATGCATTCCTAAAGGTATAAATACATTATTGTTCAAATTGAAAAACACTAGAAATGAAATGAAATGGGGTTTAACTTCCTACTGTTCTGCTCCTATCTTCATAATATTGGGCTAATGAAGACGGGCATAGCCATACAGTGTGCTATGAGGGAAATTTTGTGCGGGCAGCGGCACTATAGCCTACTCTTATATCAAATTCCAACTGCCAAGGGATCTTTTATGTGCATTCTAATGTATACACGGGACCTCCGTTTTTTGTCTTATCCGAAGGACTAGACAGCTGTCCTTGTCAGACACTCCGTTTTTGCACCACCGACAAGGGGAAACCACGTCGGAAAATCCAGATGAACTTTCTCGACCAATGCAGGGATCGAACACCCGACCTCCAGGCTAGCGAAATTCACTAGAGACTGAGAGCTAAAAATACAGTTGATCATGGCGTTGAGGGCATTGCTAGCCTCGATCATCATTACTAAAGTGACGTCAGTATGATAAACAGCATAGTCTCGATTATCAATTTAAACGTTAAATCGTGAAGGAAAGTTATGGAGTAAATCGGCTCATAATCCACTAAAGATCGCAGGCTAGTGATGCCATCTAGAGTTGATTATGGTCTGGATAGGCTAATTAATGTCTAATTAATAATTTAGATAACATTTCAGACCTAAAGAAAGACCTGCAATAGACAGATTTAGCTCTTGTATAATGTATGTTTAAGTAAGCCAGTTGTTATCTTATGATATAAGAGATGAAATGGATAACACTATCTGAGTATTTCTCTATGCACCAAGCGGGAAAGTGAAGACGGGCATGCAAGCAAGTTGTTGGCTATGAAGGCAGCGGGGCAACAGTCTACACAGGATAATGCGTGCGTATGAAATCACAAGGCCTGTCACATAGCGCCACTGGGTCGAAGGACTTGGCAGGGAAGAACGTATAGTCATACGAATGGACAAAAACCGAGGTCCCGAGTACACTTGGTGTGCACCTAACAGAACCCTTCGCAGTTGGAATTTGATATAAGAGTAGATCCTAACCCGGGCAAAATTCCCTCATAGTACACAGCATGACATATGCCCATCTTCATTAGCCCAGTTGGATCAGAACAGTAGGACGTTAAACTCTTATTTCATTCAACATGTTTCCTATGTATACACAGAACCTAGTTTTTTTCGGGAAGCTCTCCACTCTGCACACTCTGCACCACTGATGAGGGGAGCTCACCAGCCCGCACCAATAGCGAGGGGAGCTCTCCACTCTGCACCACTGACGAGGGGAGCTCTCCACCCAGCACCACCAGCGAGGGTAGCTTTCCACTCTGTAACACGGACGAGGAGAGCTCTCCACCCAGCACCACTGACGAGGGGAAACTGGGATCGAAATAGTGAGAGAAAGGGAGGGTTTACTTTTAGAAATCATTCGACACAAACTCGACCATTTTGGGACTAACATATGGTTCAGTTGTATTTCAAATTTTCAATGATTCGGTTGCGTGTAGGGGTCTTTAGCAGTGGGAGGAAACCGGAGGACCCGGAGAAATCCCATGAGGTTGGACAGGCGACCCTACTCCTTGTCATGTACAACTGGGGAATCAAAACCACGCCAATTTGGGACTAACATATGATTCAATTTTATTTCAATAATTCGGTTACGCATAGGGGCCTTTAGCATAGGGACCTTTAGCAGTGGAAGGGAACCGGATGATCCAGAGAAATCCTCGAAAGTTGGATAGGCGACCCTACTCCTGGTCAAGTACATCGGGGAGTCGAAACCACGTCACTTGTCTCAATGACAGATGTCATGAGGGGGGGGGGATGGCTGAATGGTTAGCATGCGCGCCGCTGTATCATAAAGTCTGTCATTGAGTCAACTGGCGTGGTGTCGATTCCCTGGTTGTACATGGCAAGGAGTAGGGTCGCCAGTCCAACTTCGCGGGTTTTCTCCAGGTCTTCCGGTTTCCTCCCACTGCTAAAGACCCCTACGCGCAAGCGAATTATTGAAATAAAATTAAACCATATGTTAGTCCTGAAATGACCTAGTTTGTGTCGAGTGGACGTTAAACCCCCAGTTCTCTCTCTCTGTTTTTAAACCACTAGGATCCCCCTCTCGCACCCTTTATCTTTAAAAGAACTGTTATAATTTTTAAACATTTGTTGAAGACAAGTAGATTAATTACCTTTGAGTTGTTTTAAAACATGTATAAATATCCTTTTGAATTGACCGTCACACTGTAGATAATGTATAACTTCTTCTTCGCATTGACGACATGATTTTAACTTAATTTGAGCTGTATTAATTGTTAGTCGTACACTTTAAATGTTCATGTGAGCTGATGTAATTCTTGTACAATTACATGATGCAATAAAAGGCCTAAATAATGATCAGATTCAACTATAGGTTTATACTTTAAAGTCTGAGCGTCATTAACATTTTATCAAACAATTTCTAATTTCCCATGACTTAAAGGACTGTTTCTATTTTATTCGTGTTCTCTTATCTAATGACATTCAATTACTTTTTTGAAATTGTCAGATGTACTCTTACAGTCTCATATAAGAACTTTTGGTCTTCGAAGGAATTATTAGTGGGCAGAAATTCGCCCATGTGCCTGTTACCACTCGTCATTTCAGTCAGTTATATAGAGGAATAACTCGTGTTTTCCTTTTGCGTTCGTCATTTCCGATTGTTGAAGCATTGATTACGCGTCTATCGTAGCAATGATCTCTGTGATAAAATGATATTTGGAACGTGTTTAACCAGTTCTATGACATGTATGATAATGACTGGCACCAATATTGTCCTTTAATGTTCAGTAAAATATGCTGAAAGTAATTAATATTTAATAACTGTATGAAAGAATCAAAATTTCAACAATAGTTATAATCTCCCGGTTTTGGATCTAGTCAGGGAGCCACGGTGGCTAAGTGAGTAAGATGCTGGCTCGCTAGCCTGGAGGTCGCAGGTTCGATCCCTGTATTGGCCCGAGAAAGTTCATTGGGATTTTCCGGCGTGGTTTCCCCTTGTCAGTGATGCAGGACAGAGGGCCTGGCAAGGACAGCTGTCTAGTTGTTGGAAAGGGTCCTGTGTGCACGTAAAAGATCCCTTGGCAGTTGGAATTAGATATAAGAGTAGGCCGTAGTGCCGCTTCCTGGGCAAAATTTCCTTTATACCACACTGTATGGTGTATTCCCATCTTAGCCCAGTCGGAGCAGAACAGTAGAATGTTAAAACCCATTTCATTTGGATCTGGTCAGATTCGAAAGAGGACTATGGAAAGATGTCGACTCTATGTATATCACATGCTGATTGTTACATGAATAGAATTGACTTGTGTGCGCAAACAAATTATTGAGAGAGAGAAAGAAATGGGGTTTAACGTCCACTGGACACAAACTAGATTATTTTGGGACTAACATATGTTTCAATTTTATTTCAATAATTCGCTTTCTTTAGCAGTGGGAGGAAACCGGAGGACCAGGCGAAAACCCACAAGGTTAGACAGGCGACTCTACTCCTTGTCACGTACAACCGGGGAATCGAAACCACGGCAATTAACCAGGGCTGTCGGTAATTTTTCACGGTTGATTAGCAGCACTGCTAATCAAAAAGTCCAATTTTGCCAAATTTGATTAGCAAATTTAAAAATTGATTAGCAGTTTTTCAGTTTCAACATAAAACACCTAAATAACAAGATATTACTTTAGTTCATAACAAATATGATTAGATTCCATTCTTACTAATCTTAGATTTTTTTAGGACTGCCACAAGTACTTGTGACAGTTTGTGAATGTGATGTAGACATTTAGTTAGGTCTTATGTCTGAAGCCAATTCTAAACAGTGACTTCCGAAGCCCCAATCATTTTAATTGTTATTTTTTGTACGTTAGAAATCTTCGTTAGAAAACAATTTCGTCTGCTTTTTATCGTGTATTGCCTTTCTTGTTCAATCGGGCGCACCTCGATTGACTAGACACACGTGATATTTTACGGGAATTTTTACTTTGATTTATCATTTTACAATACGTTAACATTTATTTTTTTATATTTTATTTACAATACGTAGAGGATACACTGGATTTATTTCTTTCAAAATATCATATAATTACTTGATGTCTCGCAACGTGAGTGGTACTACTTGATTCCCTGTTTCCGGTTTAATAGTCCCTATTCATAGAGTTATGTCCCTGTATTATATAGTACCGTATAATGAATTGTGTCTGGGTAGTTCGAGAAGAAAATGTCACACGGAGAATTCAGTTTTGTTTATAAAATTTTATTCAACATTTTATACTCGTTGAAATTGTTGAGAAAGCTTTCTAGTCTTCAAATGTGGATTATCCTTGTGTCAATATCCAAAATGACAGGCATATTAATGATTCGCAGTTACTGCGAATCAAAAACTTTAGATTTTAATTTTTGATTAGCAACGGACAAAATATGTATCGCAAATTGCGCTGCGATACTGGTTGTCGGCAGCCCTGCAATTAACTAAGAGACAGACCTTGTGATACAACGCGCATGTGCTAACTATTCGGAAATCTCCCCCCCCCCCCACTAGGATGCTAGACTCCATTTTATTTATTCATTCTCTTCTTGTTTTATTACAGACAAAGAAACCATGGTCCAGGAATTATCTGAGTTTCCTTGAAAAGACTGGACTGTCGGTGTCTATCTGTCAGTGTCGATGGTATTCAAACTTCTTCAATCGGACATTTCTCCGTATCGGCCAATGGAAACCCAATATTTTACGACTATGGTTTACGGTTGGTGCATTCTTTGGTCTGGTAGCCATGTTGATGTCGGTGGCTATCTTGACGTTATTGATTGTGAACACATTTCGTCAGCAGCCCGTAGAACAACAAGTTTTAACACCAGTGGTAGGTAAACCAGGGCTAGAGTTATCTACCCTTGACAATAATTTGTTTTAACACCAGTGGTAGGTTAACCAGGGCTAGAGTTATCTACCCTTGACAATAATTTGTTTTAACACCAGTGGTAGGAAAACCAGGGCTAGAGTTATCTACCCTTGACAATAAACTGTTTTAACACCAGTTGTTGGTAAACCAGGGCTAGAGTTATCTACCCTTGACAATATACTGTGGGGGGTGCTCGATTGTCAGTCCCTAACACTACAAATTGATGGAATTGTAATCGAGTGACGCGGAATTCAGACCGGCCACAGTTCTGTCAGTCCCAACTACGGAAGCGGTGTGAGTAGAATCGTGACGTAATTAAATAAACTGTTTTGGCCGCATGGTTGGTTGAGACTTTTTCTCATGCAGTCAGCGCATGCGTTCTAGCCCAAAATCCTATTTTCACTCGATTGTCGCTATTTTTGGGTTTGACAGAATTCAATTTTGTAACGTTCAATCGATCATCCCCTGTTTTAGCACCAGTGGTAGGAACACAACATATTTGTTTAACCTTTTTGGGGGAGTCACAGTGGCTAAGTGGGTAAGACGCTGGCTCGCTAGTCTGAAGGTCACATATTCATTCCATGCACTGACTGAGAAAGTTCATCCAGATTTTCTGACGTGGTTTTCCCTTGTCAGTGGTGCAGGACGGAAGGGCCTGACAAGGACAGCTGTCTAGTCGTTTGCATGGGATGAAAAACTGAGGTCCAATGTATACATTAGCGTGTGCGTAAAAGATCCCTTGGCATTTGGAACTCAATATAAGAGTAGGCCAAAGTGCCGCTGCCCAGGCAAAATTGCCCTCATAGCCCAGTCAGAACTGAACAGTAGGATGTAAAACCCCATTTCATTTCATTTATCCTTTTGGGGGGACAATGTATAGTCCTTCGGATGGGAAAGAAAACAAAGATCCTGTGTACACATTGGCATGCATGTAAAAGATCCCTTGGCAGTTGGAATTTGATATAGATATACATGTAAGAGTAGGCTGTATAGTGTATACCTGTCTTCATTATCCCAGTCAGAGCAGAACAGTAGGGCGTTATACCTCATTTCATTTATCCTTTTAAATATTTACTATACAGGTGGAAAATTAAAAAATTTAGGTCGAGAGCCCTTGTTTTAAGATTTAGTAAAGAAATATTGTAAATTAAACATACATTATGCAAGTTAAATCTGCCTATTGCAGGTCTTTCTTTAGGCCTGAAATGTTATCTAACTTATTAATTAGACATTAATTAACTTATCCAGATCATAATCAACTCTTGATGCCATTGCTAGCCTGCGATGTTTATTGGATTAGTTTCCGATTGGCTGTTCGACTTCCATCCATGATTAAATCAAAAAATGGATAATCAAGACTATGTTTTTTATCCTACCGACTTTAGTAATGATGATCGAGGCTATCCCCAATATTCAATCATTAAAATCTTGGTTCAGAGTGGATCAATTTGACTGAAATTTTCAGCAAATTGCCTTTACATTATGTAGTTTTCAACTATTATAGTGAGAACTGCCAGCTCTTTATCAAATCTCCCATAATGTTTAGCTGTGTTATATTTTATAGATGCCTGGTATTAACCTACCAACTAGCCAGATATGGTATTATTTATTAACCTTACTAGTTTGTGGTATATTACATGAAGTTGGTCATGCTATAGCTGCCGTTAGGTATTTATTTCTAATCTTTATATACAATATACATGTATATAACAATGTAAAAAAGGGGTTGGGGTGCCCAGGTTTAGATTTGTCGTTGATTCCATAATGTAGTAAGGTTTTTGATTGTTTAATACTGTTTAATTCAACATGGCGCCCAAGTGGTTTAATATATTTAGGTACGGGTTAGTACTAAATGACCGTCATGATATGGACTGAACTACCTTGGATAATATCTATAGTTGACATGCACATTGAATCATAAGGTCTGTCATTAAGTCAAGTGGCGTGGTTTCGTTCCCTGCTTATACATGACAAGGAGTAAGGTCGTCTGATCAACCTCGTAGGTCTTTTCTGGGTCCTCCAGTTTCCTCCGGCTTCCTCCCACTGCCAAAAGACCCCTATGTGCAAGCGAATTACTGAAAATAAATTTAACCATGTTCCGAAATGATCTAGTTTTGTCGAGTGGGGGTTAAACCTCCCCCCTCTCTCTCTCTCTCTCTCTCTCTTGAAATTCATATAAGGAAGTGGAAGAGTTCTACCCATGCAGGACCGGGGGGGGGGGGGGGGTAATCATGACCATTGGGCCTGGATATCAGAATCCAAATGCAACTCTACCTGTCTTTTAACCCACCTTTCTATTCACTTGATCTGATATATACGTTTGTTGTTTCTGGTGTCCATGGGTTTGGGGGTTTGGATGGCTGAATGGTTAGCGTGCGCGCTGTATCATAAAGTCTGTCATTGAGTCGACTGGCGTGGTTTCGAATCCCTGGTTGTACGTGACAAGGAGTAGGGTCGCCTGTCCAACATCGTGGGTTTTCTCCGGGTCCTCCGGTTTCCTCCCACTGCTAAAGACCCCTATGTGCAAGCGAATTATTGAAATAAAATTAGGGGGGTTGGATGGCTGAATGGTAGCGTGCGCGCGCTGTATCATGAAGTCTGTCATTGAGTCGACTGGCGTGGTTTCAAATCCCTGGTTGTACGTGGCAAGGAGTAGGGTCGCCTGTCCAACCTCGTGGGTTTTCTCCGGGGCCTCCGGTTTCCTCCCACTGCTAAAGACCGCTACGCGCAAGTGAATTATATAAATAAAATTAAACCATATGTTAGTCCCGAAATGACCTAGTTTGTGTCGAGTGGACGTTAAACCCCATTTCTCTCTCTCTCTCTCTCTGAAATAAAATTAAACCATATGTTAGTCCCAAAATGGCCCAGTTTGTGTCGAGTGGACGTTAAACCCCATTTCTCTCTCTCTGTCCATGGGTTTGTCTTGTGTAATTGATTGCATGTTGTGCAGTCCTCCTGCACTTATTATTTAACAACAATGTAACAAAGTTTTTGTATATTTTTATTTTTTTTTGTAGAGAACAAGTAAAAGTGAATGGTTTTGGATTATTTCTGTTTGTTTTATATCCCGGAGCTTACGTCGATCTGTCGTCCGAACATTTAAATGCGGTTTCTCCGCTACGGCAACTTCGTATATACTGCGCTGGTGTTTGGCATAATTTTATCATTGTGATTGGTGCTATTATAATGTTGTTATTTTTGCCGTTTATTTTAATGCCTTTTTATTCGACGGGACAAGCCGTCGTTATCACTAGTGTGTTGGAGGTGAGTAGTTTGTTTTAACATGAATATTCATTAGCTTTGTAGATATATGAATATTCATGACCTTTGTATATATGAATATTCATGACCTTTGTATATATGAATATTCATGACCTTTGTATATATGAATATTTATGACCTTTGTATATATGAATATTCATGACTTTTGTATATATATGAATTATGAATATTAATGAGGGGCGTGTGCCCAAAGTCATGGACTGATCATTGGCCGAGAAAGTTCATCTAGATTTTCCGGCATGGTTCCCCCTTGTCAGTAATGCAGGATGGAGGGCCTGACAAGGACAGATGTCTAGTCGTTCGGATGGGACGAAAAAATCGAGGTCCTGTGTATACATTGGTATGTACGTAAAAGATCACTTGACAGTTGGAATTCGATATAAGAGTAGGCCGTAGTGCTGCTGTCCTGGCAAAATTTCCCTCATAGCACACTGTATGGCGTCTGCCCCTCTTCATTAGCCCAGTTTGGAGCAGAACAGTAGGACGTTAAACCCCATTTCATTTCATTTTACAGTCATCTTCTGTTAATCTGGTGAGTTGGATTACCGAATGGTTAGCACATGCGCGTTGTATCATAAGGCCTGTCATTGAGTCAACTGGTGTGGTTTCGAATCCCCGGTTGTACATGACAAGGAGTAGGGTTGCCTGTTCAACCTCGTGGGTTTTCTCTGTGTCCTCCGGTTTCCTCCCTCTGCTAAAGACCCCTAGGTGCAAGCAAATTTTTGAAATAAAATTAAACCCTATGTTAGTCCCGAAATGATCTAGTTTGAGTCGAGTGGACAGTAAACCCTCTCTCTATCTATCTCTCTCTCTCTCTCTCTCTCTCTCTCTCTCTCTCTCTTTTAGTATGGTGTTAATTCACCACAGTTTCAATATACATTTTAAAACATAATAAAGTTAGAAAATTCATAAATTAAAATTCCTCAATTATTTATTAAAGATACAAAATGGGAGATTAGATAATGAGCGGACAGTTCTCACTATAATAGTTAGAAACTCGATAACGTAAAGGCAATTTGCTGAATATTTCTGTCAAATTAATAATTTATATAACATTTCAGGCCTGAAGAAAGACCTACAATAGGCAGATTTAGCTCTTGCATAATGTATGTTTAACCTATGTATTATATATAGGGATCACCTGTATCCGGACCACGGGGACTAGCAGTTGGTGAACCATTGACTAGTATAAGTGGTTGCTCGGTGACTAATCAAGATGAATGGTTTGGTTGTATTTCATACAGTATAAAAGAGAGGTCACTGGGTCACTGTATGCCAACTGGTCTCATCCATCAATTAAATACAAACCCCATAAAGACAAGTAAGCTTTAAAAGATATCAAAACTCTTTGGTTTTAATGGTCTAAGGTGTCGCGCTTCAAGTTAAAAGATCGCAAATGGGCTAAAGTGTTGGACTTCAAGCTCTAGCTCGAAGGACACCTCTGGCATGCGGTCGCGGTTTCGATGCCTGGTGTAAGCGTATGTGGTTTGAAAATAGGGGCACCTTCTCAACCTAGTTTCCTCCCACGGAAAAGACCCCTGCATGTGCGCTAAGATAGGGGCACCTTCTCAAGCTACTCAGGTTTCCTCCCACAGAAAAGACAACTGCGTGGTTGCTAAGATAACAACTTGTCTACAATATCACCATTAAACACCACGAACAATAACAGTTTCGAATAAAACAATTTCCATCATCAACATCAACACAATGGGTGATTAATCTTTTGCCGATTAGATTAATGTTTTGCCCTGAATGGTTTGGGCTGAATGGTTTGATGCGTTGTGCTAGATGGTAAGGTCTGTAATTGAGTCAGCTGGCATGGTTTCATTCAATTTTCCAGTTGTATGTGACAAAGAGTAGGGTCACCTGTACAACCTTGTGGGTTTTCTCCAGGTCCTCCAATTGCCTCCAACGGTTTATTGAAATAAAATTGAACTATATCTCTCTCTCTCTCAAAATATTTCTATAAACTGTGTATTTCAGATTTAACAGAGAATAAAAATTTAATAGATTGTTGTAACGTCACCAGTGATACACATCTTTGTTTCTCATATAATACAAAATCATCACCAAATACAGTAAGTAATAGTGTCATTCATCAGATCTTACATATATCATCACCATGGTTACATTCATCACCATGGTTACAGTTATCACCATGGTTACAGTTATCACCAAATACATTAAAGGGACAATAACACTCTTGCTGGCTTGACAGCTACAGAAAATAAATAATAGCCTTATTCTAAGTATTAGATGTTAAAGTGTCCTATCTGTTGTGTAAATTACCCATTAAATCCTATTTTACTTGTCCAGAAAATATTTTTAAATCCAAGTCACATTTGAAAAGGTTTACGTTAGGCTTTTCAAATCATTTAGTTGAATTTTTCTAATTTTTTAAATTAAGTGTGTTAAGATGAAATTTGTATCATCAATTAATTGGAATATTGTAAAACAGTACAATTTGTTGACCAGAATAAAGATTGGGACATATTATTCAGTTACAACAAGTGTGGTATTGAGCCTTTAAGTTTCATTCATCATAGGGGGGTTGGATGGCCGAATTGGTTAGCACATGCATGCTGTATCATAAGGCCTGTCATTGAGTCAACTGGCGTGGTTTCGAATCCCCAGTTGTACGTGACAAGGAGTAGAGTCGCCAGTCCAACCTCGTGGGTTTTCTCCGGGTCCTACAGTTTACACCGGTTTCCTCCCACTGCTAAAGACCCCTACGCACAAGCAAATTATTGAAATAAAATTAAACCATATGTTAGTCCCAAAATGACCTAGTTTGTGTCGAGTGGACCTTAAACCTCTCTCTCTCTCTCTCTCTCTCTCATTCTCATTCATCATATTTTGCATAATCATCACTATGGTTACATTCATCACCAAATACAGTAAGTAATGGTTTCATTTATCATATCATTAAAAATACTGAATGGAATTCAACCATATTTGGATTCCTTATGTCGTCTGCAGAGGATACTGAATTAGGAAATATTTAATTCAACATATCTTTGCATATATTGAACAGAACTGAACCATTTTTGGATTGATATTCTATTTAGAGATGCAACTTTCAAAACAATATTGTAGTTTGTAAAGGATTCTTTAATTCCTCAAATAATAATCAGTGGTTTAGAACAGGTGTTGAAATTAAGAAATTCTAAATTTAGATTATGACTTATACACTGTAAACCGGGTATCATTTAATCTTGTGTATCTAGCACTAATTTCTTTCAAATCCTTGTTTAAACATACATTATGCAAGAGCTAAATCTGTCTATTGCAGGTCTTTCTTTAGGCCTGAAATGTTTTCTAAATTATTAATTAGACAGTAATTAACTGATCCAGGCCATAATAAACTCTCGATGGCATCGGATTTCTCCGATATTAAATAGATTAGAAAGGTTCGGCAAGATTTTGATTTAATCTAAAAATGGAGGAGCGAGACTTAGTTTCAAACAACCAGTGAGGTGGTTGAAATTATTGCACACGCCTTGTCAAAGGCTAATATCTTGGCTAGCAATAGAGTAATTTGAAGGAAATTTTCAAATTATTCATTTTACATTATCTATTTTCGAAGTATTATAACAAGAATGGCTAGCTCTTTATCTAAATCATACATCATAATGTATCTTAAAAAATTTGTAAAAATCTTTTCATTTTTCTATCACTGTTAGAAAATAAACAACCAAATTGATTATTGATATAAAAATGATTAATTTTTGAACAGTTGTCAGGAAATTAATTACTTGTAAATTGGACTCTCATTATCAGTCAGCTTTAAACTGGACACAAGTACAAATTAGATGATTTTGGGTTATTTTAAACAGTTTTTACAAATTTTTAAACAAAGATTTGATATTGAATGAATGTGAAAGAAATTAGTGCTAGATACACAAGATTAAATGATGCTCGGATTATAGAAGCTAAAGTACAGTAATATCCCCCATCTAATAAACAAAGCCAGCATCATATCATATTTATTTGTGTCTGTATATGTTTTTTTGTTTATATTTAAGAATTACTATGAATACAATAAGGTAATGTTGTCATGGTAACCATGGGGATTGTTATATACATGTAGCTATGGAGAATAATCTAGTTTATAAATAGAATTTATTTTTTAAGTTTTTATTTTCTTGTAGTTTCTATTACACATATTGTATTTCTGTTAGACAGGAAATTTATGTTCCATGAAATTAAACATACATTATGCAAGAGGTAAATCTGCCTATTGCAGGTCTTTCTTTAGGTCTAAAATGTTATCTAAATTATTAATTAGACATTAATTAACTTATCCAGACCATAATCAACTCTAGATGGTATCGCTAGCCTGCGATCTTAAGTGGATTGTGATCCGATTTACTGCATAACTTTCCTTCTCGATTAAACAATTAAATAAATAATCGAGACTATGCTGTTTAACGTACTGACTTTAGTAATGATGACCGAGGCTAGGCAGAAATTTCATTCTCTTCGTTCACGGTTCATAGTGGATCAATTTGAATGAAATTTTCAGCAAATTGCCTTTACATTATCTAGTTTTTAACTATTATAGTGAGAACTGCCAACTCGTTATCGAAGCTCCCATAATGTATCTTTAATGCAACTAGGATGGGAGACAGTATAAATCTGTATTGAAATTAAAGATGCATTATGTAAGAGCTAAATCTGCCTATCGCAGGTCTTTCTTTAGGCCTGAAATGTTATATAAACTATTAATTAGACATTCATTAACTTATTCAAACAATAATCAACTCTTGATGCCATCTTAATTGTCAGATTTTCACTGGATTTGAATCCAATCTGCTGTTGAGCGCTCATTGATGTTTAAATCCCAAAATGGATAATTGAGACTATGTTTTTTTATTGTACCGACCTTAGTAATGATGATCAAGGCTAGGCTTAAAATTCAAAAGCTAATATCTTGGTTCAGAGCGGAGCAATTTGACTGAAATTTTCAGCATATTTCCTTTACATTATCTATTGCTTACCTATTATGGGTGAGAAGAGTCAACTCTTTATCTAATCTCCCATAATGTATCTTTAAGTATTATTTAAATATTTATTAACATGACAAGCTCATAATCAACTCACTTGGTCATCAGATGTAGATTAGAGCACCGCGGCCATTTAAGAGTTTAACAATAACATAGATAATCAAAGCCTAGTTTCAATTATCAAGTACTGTTGCTACAATAAAAGGGGGTCACAGTGGCTAAGTGGGTAAGATGCTGGCTCACTAGCCTGGAGGTCGGGTGTTCGATCCCTGCATTGGCCAAAAAGTCCATCCAGATTTTCCAGCGTGGTTTCCCCCTTGTCAGTGATGCAAGACGGAATGCCTGACAAGAACAGCTGTCCAGTCGTTCTGATGGGACGAAAAACCGAGGTCAAATGTACACATCGGCGTGCACATAAAAGATACCTTGACAGTTGGAATTCGATATAAGAGTAGGCCGCAGTGCTCCTGTCCAGGCAAAATTCCTTATAGCACACTGTATGGCGTATGCCCGTCTTCATTAGCCCAGTTTGGAGCAAAACAGTAGGACGTTAAACCCCATTTCATTTCTGCTACAATAATAAACAATATGCTCAACAATATGCGCTTCATTTTGTCAAAATTTCAAACACTCATAACTTGGCACAGAAAAAAGTAGGGGGGTTGGATGGTTGAATGGTTAGTGTGCATGCGCTGTATCAAAAGGACTGTCATTGAGTCAACTGGAGTGGTTTCGAATCCCCGGTTGTATCTGACAAGGAGTAGGGTCGCCTGTCCAACCTCATGGATTTTCTCCGGGTCCTCCGGTTTCCTCCCACTGCTAAAGACCCCTATGTGCAAGCGAATTATTGAAATAAAATTAAACCATATGTTAGTCTCGAAATGACCTAGTTTGTGTCGAATGAACGTTAAACCCCATTTCTCTCTCTCTCTCTTTCAGAATAGAGTAATTTGACTGAAGTTTTCAATATATTCATTTTGTATTATCTATTTTTGAATTATTATAGCAGGAACTGCCAGCTCATTATTTGATTCTTACATAATGCATCTTTAATGCCTTTGTATCAAATGGGTGACTTTAACAAATAAGTAAGAGACTGCATCTCACACATCTAATTTTAACCATTTTTTTTTTTACTCTGATTAAAATACAAATTAATATTTCGATGGCCTACACTATATGAAGATCTGACAAGTTGTAGCGATAGGTCGTGTCAGTGGTCGTCGGGGCACCTTTTGACCCCTTTGACGTCAGACATTTGATTAACAAACATGCCTAAAGCTCGCCGTAACAGACCGTTTCATTGGCTTATCCCTCATACCATTCAGAACACGTCATTGATAACAACTCTTCCAGATCATAGTGTAGTAAAGACAAGTAAAACAAAATTTTGAACTATAAAAACAAAATGAAATAGGATCTGTGTTTTAATCAGATTGGGTTTATTTTATTTTAAACAGTTGTCTTAATTCAACCAGATTGCTTTTACCACCCCACCCCCACCCCACTCTCTCTAAAGTCATCTTCAACAACTACAGAAGAATTAAGCTGTGGAAGATTGAATTGAAATGAAAAGGGGTTTAACGTCCTACTGTTCTGCTCGGAACTGGGCTAATGAATTCCAACTGTCAAGGGATCTTTTACGTGCATGCCAATGTGTACATGGGACCTCGGTTTTCCTTCCCATCCGAACGACAAGATAACTGTCCTTGTCAGGCCCTCCCATCCTGCATCACTGACAAGGAGGAACCACACCAGAAAATCTGATGAACTTTCTCAGCCAATGCAGGGATTGAAGCTTGTGGGTTTTCTCCGGGTCCTCCAATATCCTTCCCCTGCTAAAGACCCCTACACACAATCATTTTATTATAATAAAATTGAACCATATGTTAGTCCCAAAATGACTTAGTTTGTGTTGAGTAGACTTTAAAGCCCATTTCTATCTCTCTCTCTAATGTTGGATCTGGAACATGTTGTTTTGGGGCTCTCCATGGACTTTTTGGGGGTGTTGGATTGCCGGTTGCCGGTTGTACATGACAAGGAGTAGGGTTGCTTGTCAAACCTGTGGGTTTTCCCCGGTCCTCCGGATTCCTCCCACTGCCAAACACCCTTACCCAACCTCGTGTGTTTTCTCCAGTTTCCTCCCACTGCTAAAGACCCTTACGCTCAAGCGAATTATTGAACTAAAATTTAACCATGTGTTAGTCTCGAAATGACCTATTTAGTATCGAGTGGACCTTAAACCCCATTCTCTCTCTTCGAATTTTGATATGATGTGACAATTCCAAGATGGCAGGTATGACGTCATGCTGTGTTCATTGTTAAAATTTGACAGTATGCTTTATGAAGTTTTTATTCTTTCAAGGAGCAGCATATAATTGTTCGGATGTGATGAAAAGTCAAGGGCCCATGTACACATTGGAGTACATGTAAAAGAATCCTTGGCAGTTGGGATTCGATATAAATGTAGGCCTTAGGGACGCTGTCCTGGCAAATCTCCCTCATAGCTTATTGCATGGTGTCTTCATTAGCCCATCTGTGGAGAACAGTAGGACCTTAAATCTCTTTTTTTTTTTCATTTCTTGAAGTTGTTTTTATTCTTTCAGAAATTTGCGTGTTTACCAGCGAGAACAACCACCGATAGACCAGTATGTAAATTACAGTCAGATTGCTATGCACCAAAACTTGAGCTGGTGTGCGCCTACCCATTGGTGGATAATCAAACCAAATTACTACGCATAAACCACGGTCGTAAACCACCATTATTGTTTTTAGGACATCCACTAGACTTACATTATTCTGGTAAATATCCTTTATCTCGTCATTTATTTCATGGATCTCCATTTCTCTTAATAGATCACATTTATCAATAATATTACCTTGCCCATCGATAACTTTGTCTAATATCACCTTGTCCATGGATAACATTTATCAATAATATTACCTTGCCCATAGATAACATTGTCCAATATCACCTTGTCCATGGATAACATTTATCAATATCAACTTCCCGGTAGATAACATTTATCAATAATATTACCTTGCCGGTCGATAACATTTCATTTATCAATACAAACTTGTAGATAGATAAAATTTGTCAACACAGGTTTTCCAATACCAGCCTGCCAGTAAATAACATTATCCCAATATCGAATTGCCAGTATATAACATGATCCCAATAACAGCTTGCCAGTATATAACATGATCCCAATAACAGCTTGCCGGTAAATAACATTTTTCCAATACCAGCCTGACTTTGATTAAGAGAAATTGGAAAACTTGTGTTGACAAATTTTATCTATCTGCAAGTTAATATTATTGATAAATTTTATCTACCAGAGCTGATATTGATAAATGTTATCTACCGAGGAGTTGATATTGATAAATGTTATCTATGCTAGTAAATTCAAATATTTAAATATTTAAAGAGGTCTTACCAGCTAGAACCATAAAACCAGCAGTTCTGGCCTTCGGATATTTTGGACTCTATAGTGCTGACTATGATTTAATATTTCTGACAGAAAGTGAGCCACCATTGTGGCATGTATTTCATGCATGAGATAGCAAGTATTTCATAAAATAGCAAGTATTTCTTATGATGTACCTATTTATACTCTTACCCTGTTTTTCAGTGATGGTTAGCAATTACGTACCAAATAATTCATATGTTCCTATTCATCTTCCTTATATGGTCGAAACATTTTGTAAGTATCCTTTATAAAAAAATGAGTGAAAAATTAAGGCGAGTACAAAAAACCAAGATCCTGTGTACATGTGAACGAAGCCTTGACAGTTGAAATTTGATGAAAAGTAGGTGGAAACACGGCTGTCGTGTGCCCCTCTTCATTAGCGGGGTTTATCCACAAAAGAAGGATGTTAAACCCCATTTCATTACTTTTCATGTTACCCTCCTCCCCTGGCCGGGTGTGTGTCCGAATGGTTAGCACATGCGCGCTGTATCATAAAGTCTGTCATTGAGTCACCGGTTGTACGTGACAAGGAGTAGGGTCGCCCGTCCAACCTCGTGGGTTTTCTCCGGGTCCTCCAGTTTCCTCTCACTGCTAAAGACCGCCCCGCGAAATATTGAAGTAAAATTAAACCATGTGTTTATCCCGAAATGACCTAGTATGTGTCAAGTGGACGTTAAACCTTCTCTCTCTTACCTTGATGCCTTAGAGCATGTGCTTGAATTGCTTATTGGAAGAACGATCCCTCACAGCAGTTGAACGTTATAGAATAGGAGGGAGGAACAGTGCTGCCTAGGAAAATATCCCATGTAACTAATGAAAAAAAAATGAAAGTTTGTTTCGGATAGAATTCATGTCAGCCAATTTCATTTCTATTTACAATAAAATTGACCTTAACTTGACCTCTAGATATTTGATATCATTATCGGGAGCTTTAGTTATTTTAAACGTGGTTCCTTGTTACGCTTTAGACGGACAGTTTATCTGCCACGCCTTTATAGAACTTATGTTTAAAAGTACTGTGCCTGATCGTGAAATGCGGGGTCTCATTTTTACGTTAATAATACTCTATGGAACGTGTTTATTGGGGTTAAATGTCGTTATGGCCATGTGGACGTTATTTTTCGCTTGAATTCATTGGATGTCAGAAGTGGATTAATTTGCATAATCAATTTGTGTGCGTTGTAAAAAATAATGCTGATCGTGAGAATTTAGGATGGTGTGAAAGATTGGATGGCTGTGGGAATTTATTTAAGATGGACGGCTAATAGCCCTCAGATGTCAAAAGCAGGGTTCTGAATCCATTTTGAAAGGAACCAACCAGATTACCGAGTTCTTTTGTTAGTGAACTGAAAGCAATATTCCAGTAGCTTATTCAGCAGGAAAAGGTCAGATATTAAGTTGGGACGCTAAGTGACAGAATGGTATCAAATCCTCAAAATGGTATCAAACTCTCAAAATGATATCAAACCCTCAAAATGGTATCATGCCTCCAAATGGTATCATTCCTCCAAATGGTATCATGCCTCTAAAAAAGGTATCAAACCTCCAAAATGGTATGAAACCCCCAAAATGATATCACTAATCCAAAACAGTATCACATCTCCAGAATGGTGTCAAACCCCAGAAATGGTATCAAACCCTCAAAATGGTATCAAACCCCAAAATTGTATCAAACCCCCAAAATGATACCACTCATCCAAAACAGTATCGCATCTCCAAAATGGTGTCAAACCCCTGAAATGGTATCAAACCCCAGAAATGGTACCAAACCCAAAAATGATATCAAACCTCAATGGTATCAGGTGGTTGGAAGCAGAGATATTAATTGGCTGAAGCACCTCCTGCTTGTTGGACCTCTCAACATGTTGTTAAACCTCCATGGAAAGAATTTATTGTGGGATTATAGTAACAGAATTTAAATATTTGGATGGTGGAAAGATAATAGATTAATCTCGGCCATTTCGAACAAATCTGTGTACAGACTTAGATTGAGTATCAGTTTCTAGTGAATGCTGGATGTGAATAAATTAATTAACACCTTTCTACTCACCTGATAGAGAGGTTTAAACATGGGATGTGAAAAAATTAACACCTGTCTACTCACCTAATAGAGAGGTTTAAACTGGGATGTGAATAAATTAATTAACACCTGTATACTCACCTGGTAGAGAGGTTTAAACGTGGGATTGAATAAATTAACACCCATCTATTCACCTGATAGAGAGGTTTAAACCTGGGATGTGAGTACATTAATCAACACCTGTCTACTCACCTGATAGAGAGGTTTAAGCATGGGATGTGAAAAAATTAGCACCTATCTACTCACCTGGTAGAGAGGTTTAAACGTGGGATTGAATAAATTAACACCTGTCTATTCACCTGATAGAGAGGTTTAAACCTGGGATGCAAATAAATTAATTAACACCTGTCTACTCACCTGATAGAGAAGTCTTAGTCGGGAGTTCAGGGCGGAGCTTAGTCAGGAGGTGGGTGCGAGGGCGTAGCTCTTAGTTAGTCGTCTGCTGAGTGTAGAGCTTAGTCACCAGGTGAAGTTGGAGTGCCGAGCTCAGTTATGCAATAATTTAGTATCAGCAATGTTAAGAAAGAGTTTTTGTAAAATTTGTATGTTTTAATTAAAGTCACCACACCACAAGGCAGATTCAATATGTGAATTTGTTAATATTCTGGGATATAGTAAAACTTTAATTTTATAGATACTTGGTAGAAAGTTTAGTTTTGCCCGGTTTTCATTAAATCTGATTGGTGCAAAAAGTAGGACGACGTTAAATCCCATTAAATCCCACCCATTTCGTTAAATTAGTTTTGTTACCGATTTTAGTATTTTTTAGGAGTGGCTTCGTAGAACAATTTCACATTTACCGCTTTTTTTCTCTAAAAATAGAACACACTACACTACACTGTAATCCGGGTATCATTTAATCTTGTGTATTTAGTATAAATTTCTTTCACATTCATTTAATGTTAGATCTTTGTTTAAAAATATTCATAAAAATCATTTAAAATGAGATCTTCTTTGATTGGCACTCAGTAATTGAACATATTAACACAAGGTACAATTTTATAGATACACAATTACTGAGTTTAATACTAAGCGACGAAAAAGGCGATAAAGACGAGACTATCCTCGTCGAAACGACGCTTAGTATTAAACTCAGTAATTGTGTATCCATAAAATTGTACCTTGTGTTACAAATGAGATGATTTTTGGTGATTTTAAACAATTTTTATGAATTTTTAAACAAAGATTTGACATTGAATGAATGTAATAGAAATTAATGATAACTACACACGATTAAATGATACAGAAGAGTATTTATCGGGTGGTTATTTCCAATAAAAGTAGGAGCGTTGGATGGCCGAATTGTTAGCTCGCGCACACTGTATAATACGGTCTGTCATTGAGTCAACTGGCAGGGTTTCGAATCCCCGGTTGTACGTGACAAGGAGTAGGGTCACCTGTCTAACCTCGTGGGTTTTCTCCGGGTCCTTCGGTTTCCTCCCACTGCAAATTATTGAAATAAAATTGAACCATTTGTTAGTCTCAAAATGACCTAGTTTGTGTCGAGTGGACGTTAAACCACATTTCTCTCTCTCTCCAATAAAAGTATGGCAATTTTTGTATGAATGGAAAGTAGAAACATCCAATCTTACTAGAAAAATACTGGATTCCATGATTAACACCCATGGAGTGCATACAGGGCAAAAATGTCAGGGTTTCCCTAGCAGCGGCAACCCAACGATTAGTGATGTTTGCTCGAGTAACGTCAGAGGTAGCACACTAAGGTTGTCTAATCACCCAGCATTAGTGAGCGCTTGATGTATATGTTGATAAAGTTAAAAACTATGGGAAAAGAAACATGTATATGCAGTGAATTCTCGTCCAACATCGCCGCCGTTGCTATAGGTACCGTCAAACGGGGTGAAGTTGGCCATTTTTTTTAGTTTTTCAAATATATTCTGATTATTGCTCATACCAGTCTGGAAATAATTACCTGTAAGCTTATAGACTGATTAGTTAATGGAATGTAACAGTTACTTATAAGACTGTTATATTCCAAATTTTCAGAATATGGAAAAATGTATGTGGCCAAGTTGACCCCACACCATGGGGTGAACTTGGCCGGACTCTAACCCTGCAGTTTTTGATGAAGGTTATGTGGGCGTGCATGAAAGAAATTGTAAAGTCCACTTGATACAAACCATGTTATTTGGGGACTAACAAATGGCAACCCTGGACTTACTTATTTTCATGTACCAGCTCGAGTTAGTTAGAATACGTGCCAATCGATTCAATGACCGACCTTGTTATCTATATTTCCGGATTTGAATACAAAAGAAAACTGTTTCAATAACTTTTAATAAAATTAAACATTTTTCATAAACAAAAAAATAAATTTGTTACATATTATTTCATTTTTGGCACTTTGGTATTTAAAAAATAATGTTGATAAAATCTGAATAAAAATTGAATTGTTACATATTTCATTGTTAGCACTTTGGTAGATTAAAATTAATATATTATTATATAATTTAAATGTAAAATGACTGTAACAGTGCGATTAAAACAAGTAAAACGTCTTCATTGTAAATTATATCCATCAAAATTAACTTGAAATTTATGGTGATTTCTTTTTGATATGGTTGGGAATGGCAACACTTTAAGGATATCAGCCCACTTAATAGTATCAATGTCTTCTTTTATTGGTGGCACAAAGGTATTCGCAACTCTCTTTGACTTTCGCAGGAAGCTTATAACATAAAACAGAATTTCATTTTCTCTGGATTCGTCATCATCTGATAAAGTGGTATCAATAATACGACCAATGTAATGGATACATCGGGATTTAACAAGATATCGAACGATGACCCATTTGCCAACAGCGACCTCAAAATTATCATCAGGAGCGACAGAATCATTTGACGATAGACTAGAACAAGATGATTCGTCATCAGAGGATTCAAGATTACTGGATGCAGGTTCTTCTAAAACATCCTTTGTTTTCTTACATTTGCTTGATGATGGACCACCAGTTTCCAGATCATCAGCCGATATACTCTTTCCAGGTTCAACGGATACACGTTTTCGGCGAATAGTAGGTGTTTCTTGGCTGTAACGAAGATTATCTAATGAATTAAGGAATACATCAGAAAAAATATCAACACGAACAGTATTATTGGTTGTATTTGGTAGTCTGTCAATTACTTCTTCTCTGTTAAGTGGGAAGATGCCAGTTTTTTTGAATCCACTAATGATATTGGATGACATGGTAGTGTTTCTGTCAACTAGTTTCTTTAGAAGTCTGGGAAAAACGTCTTTTGTTATACATGCAGCCTTACGTCCAGGCCCTTCCTTCCATTCAGTGAGAATTGACCTCCATGCAACCTTGACAGATGAAAAGACACTCACATCTAGTGGCTGACACAGGTGAGTACTATTAGCTGGGAAACAAATGAACTCAATGTTATGTTCTTTACAAAGTTTTAAAACTTCAACTGAAAAATGGGATGACAAATTATCCCCAAGAACAACTTTTTTCCCTGGAAGATCCTGTGCCCATGGCAGGACAACACTTTTAAACCAATCTGTAAAACAGACATTATCAAACCATCCAGACTTGGACCGGTTATATCTGGCATTTTTTGGACCTGATTCTGTCCAAGTGTTCATCAGATGCTTGGATCTATAAACAACATATAGTGGAAGTAATCTACCAGAGGCAGTGGCAGTAAACATAAGTGACGTCGAGGATTTTGTTGAATTCATAATCCTTTCAGGATATTTGGATCCTCTACGAAATATACATTTTTTTTTTCCAGGGTCATCTGTCAGATTCGTTTCATCATAATTCAGAATATTACTACTTGGAACATCAGCTAAACTAGCCTCAAGATTGTCGAAATATTGATTTAATGACTCTGCCGACACCTCTGCTCGCTTAACTTTTATATTTTGGCAAAATCGAGAAGTAAGCCTGCCTTTGTGACGTTTCACAAAGCAATTCACCCAGTCACTGCTCGGCAAGTTGTTCTTAAACCTCTTCTCAGTTCTCTTACATTTATCAAGATATGACTTTACAATGCAACGGAAATCAAATGCATCTAAGGGGAATCCCCATGTGGACAACAAAGTTAGATATTCAGCAAATATTAGTTCTTCTTCGGAGTCGAAGACAGTCTGTCCACCATGTTGCTTATTGAACCTACCAGCAAGTCGATTCTGAAGTGTGCCTCTTGGTATTCCGAATTGCTCACAAGCCTTTCTCTGGCTGAGAATCCCCCTCTCACAGGCTACAATTGCTGTTTGAAGGCTCTCGGCGGAATATTGGCAGAGCTTCCGACTTTCTGGTTTTGGGGTATATCGTCGGGGCATTTCTGAAAAGAAAAAAAATGGAGATTACACATGTACAGCACACATGAGAGAAATCTGATATAAGAAAACTCAAAATTTATACATAAATTATGTATTGGGGTGAAGTTGGCCAGGTCGCCAAGGGTGGCCAACTTCACCCCAATTTGTGGCCAACTTCACCCTGTTGCACTAAATGACCCACGTGTCCTTGACCTTGGCCTAGTCAGTCACAACATAACTCTTGTTTGTTCAGGCATTGGACCCATGATACAAACTGTGCATTCAAGCTAAAGCACTGGCTTTTATTATTATCCCTAGGTCTAATTATAATCTGTCCACATAAATCCACTTTTTTAAATCATTTTCTTAACTAAACATAAATCTTACCCAAATTGTAGAATAAATTTCAAAATTGGTACACAGCAAACTTCCACTGTAATCTTGTACTAAATAACCTTGAGTAGATTAAAATTCTGGATTGGCGAGAAAAAAAAGAACCGAAAAGAAATATACCGAAAATGGCCAACTTCACCCCGTAGGCCAACTTCACCCCGTTTGACGGTACGGAGAAAGGTAAGTCACATGACACAAACATGACCCCTTTTGATTGATTTTTATAGCAGGGTATTCCTTGGGAATTACAATGTTTTTAGAAGGATTTGAAGCAAAATTATAATGAATTAATTAGTTTGAATATGTTTTTAGTCCAAATATATCATCAAATTACCCAGTTTGTACGCAGGAATGTATCTTTAACTGATACCCGGGTTACAGTCCAACAGCTAGTGAATATTAAACTTATTGCTACAATTATTGATTCCTAGTCAAATTAAAATCAAACAAACATTCCAGGGTTTTTTTTCTGTTTGTTTACTCCACTTTATTTTTATCAAATGACATTTTTTATGCAAAGATACAGATCTGCCTGTTTTTGCTATAAATAGATTGAAGTTCTGAGTGTTTGAGGCTTTGACAATATAGGTTTGATTTTCATGTAACATTGTTATGAGAATACAAAAAAGTTTGACTTATCATTTTAACCTTAAATTATTAAATGGCGAATATTTTCTAATCCATTTGATATCATGGTGGGACTGTCATGTGAATAGGCGGGACTGTCATGTGAATAAATGCCTGATTAATAGTTTATAGCCCCAAAATAGACCTGCAATATGCAGATTTGGGAGTAAGACACTGGCTCGCTAGTCTGGAGGTCACGGGTTCGATCCCAGTGTTGACAGAGTGGTTTCTCCTTGCAATATGCAGATTTAGGGAGCCACGGTGGCTAAGTGAGTAAGACCCTGGCTCGCTAATCAAGAGGTCGCAGGTTCGATTCCGGTGTTGGCAGAGAAATTTCATCAGGATTTACCATCGTGGTTTCTCCTTGTCAGTGGTGCAAAATGGAGGGCCTAACAACGACAGCTGTCTATTCTTTCACAGAGGTCCCATGTAAAATTTCCTTTACAGTTGGAATTTGATATAAGAGTAGGCCGTAGAAAAATGTCCGAACAAAATTTCCCCCAAAGAACACTGTATGGGATATGCCCGTCTTTATTAGTATAGTAGGAGTCGGACGCTATACATAATTCATCTTTAAACATATATTTTGCACGATCTAAATCTGCCTATTGCAGGCCCGAAATGTTATATAGATTATTAATAAGATATTAATTAACTTATCCAGACAATAATCAACTCTCAATGTAATCGCTAGTCTGCGATGTCTATTGGATTACGTTCCGATTTGCTGTTCGACTTTCATTCATAATTAAATCAAAAAATGAATAATCAAGACTGTGTTTTTTATCCTACCGACTTTAGTAATGATGATCGAGGCTAGCCCCAATATTTAGTCGCTAAAATCTTGGTTCAGAGTGGATCTATCTTACTGAAATTTTCAGCAAATTGCCTTTACATTATCTAGTTTTGAACTATTAAAGTGAGAACTGACAGCTCTTTAACAAATCTCCCATAATGTATCTTTAAGTGACACAACATTATCTGAGAAACTAGAATGTTTTTATATATGTGACCTTCAGTTGATTCAACAAATTCATGCTTTGTTTTAGAGAATATATAAAATGATTTACATGTTTTTAATTCCTGAATAATTAATAAAGAACCATTTCTCAATAGTTGCTCCTATTAAATCCAGTATTGTAGTCTGTACAAGTTGTTTGTTTTATTTAAATTGACCAATAATTAAATCCTGTAGTAACTATTTGTTATTTTTATTTTGTAAATGTTATTGTTTGTTTTATACACTGCAATCTAATTAAAATATAGATCTATATTTCGTTCGTTTTTTATACTTTTGATGGCCTACACTACATGTAGATCTAACAAGTTATAGTGGGAGTTCACGTTCTATGACGTCAGGTACCAAGCAAGCGACATTTGACCCGATTACGTCAGTCATTCGATTAACCAATTAGCAACCGCCATGTATTTTTTATCTACTTTTGCTTTGTTTTGATTTCTATTGCCGCTAATGTCTACCCACAGTTCCGCGCTAAAAAGGCCAAACGCCAGATTCGACAGACCATTTGATTGGCTGACCCCTCATTTCAAGCAGAACACAAGTTAAATAACAACGCTTCCAGATCCAAGTGTAGTAAAGACAAGTAAAATCGAAATTTTGAACTATGAAAACGAAACAAAATTGGATCTGTGTTTTAATCAGATTGTATACACTGCAACTTGGGTATCATTTAGATGTGTTGTTTCAGCAGCTGTTGCTGTATTTAATGTTCCGTTTCAAACCAGTGTTGGGTTTATAACTATTTAGTTTCTAGAGCAGTGTTGAGTAATTAATCCGCCTGTTAATTACTCAACACCTTTTAAGAAACTAAATAGTTATAAACCCAACACTCTTTATATAATATAGACAGATCCTTTAAATTACACAATAGTAGAAACCCAATGGTTTTCTATGATTCTCAACAGATTTGAACAGTTTTCCAACATTGGTTTGAAAATAAACATTTACTACAAAAATTCCTGCTAGAATAAAACAACTAAATGATACTCAAGTTGTAGTGTAAATCTTATGTCTTATATCGCCATAGCCAAAATTATCTCCATTTCATCTGTGTTAAATATTGTTCTGGACAAACAAACATCATTTGTATCCATGGTTACTGGAAGACTGGCAATACAGGTATATAGTTCTTATGTTGTCTTCGTCTTCCAGTGGCTCAGTGAGTAAGGCGCTGGCTCACAAACCATCAGGAAATCCTGGGTTCGATCTCGGTGTCGACTGAGAACGTACCTCAGGTTATTCTCTATAGATTTCCTCCCTTGTCAGAGCTGCAGGAGGGGTGTAAAAAATGTCAGGTCATTTGCATCGAACGAAAAACCAAGGCCCTGTGTATGAGACTTGCAGGTGGTAACAGGTCTCCAGATAGTTGAAAAATGAAAATAAGAGTAGGTGCTGTCGGGGCAAAATGTCCCTTGTAGCAAACTGCATGGCAATTGGCCATATTCATTAGCCCAGTTGGTGCAGAAAAGTTAAACCCCATTTCATTTCATTCAGGGGATTGGGGGTCTTGTGGGTTTAACGCATGCACATGAAATGATGAGATCTGTCACTGAATCAAGTAGTGGTTTCGATTCCCCGCTTGTACGTGACAAGGAGTAGAGTCGCCTGTCCAATCTTGTGTGTTTTCTCTGGGTCTTCCTGTTTCCTCCCCAAGATAAAGACCCTACGGGCATGCAAATTATTGAAATAATAATTGAACCCCATTTCTCTCTCAATTCATTGTCCAGATCACTATTCATTGCAGTCAAAAAGAAGACAAATTTGGACTGGAACGATAAAGACTAGATTGATAAAGACTACTGTTTTTAGGGACCATTATTATTGTATGATTGAATGAATTTTGTTTAATATTTTGTACAAATTATTTTATGTATAAATGTGGTGATACATACATTCTGTTGGACTTTTTACTGATAAACAGGTGGGGGGGGGGGGCATTGGAGTTTTGATAGAAAAATGTTTGAACAAATAACCCCGGTCCCTTGTACACATTGTCATGTACTTGGCAGTTGAAATTCTATATGGGGCCACAGTGGGTAAGTCGCTAGCTCATTAGCCTGGTGGTCCTGTGTTGAATCCCTACATTGGCCGAGAAAGTGGTTTCCCCTTGTCAGTGGCTACCCTTTAAACTTATCTCTGAGAGCCGAGATTGATTAAGAATATGAGTACAATTATATTTCCTACTCCCAGCATTGCACATATAATTATCTTTTCTAGGATTGCACACAAATGTCTTAAAATGACATAGTTAGCATGTGCGTGCTGTATCATATAGCCTGTCATTGAGTCAACTGGCGTGGTTTCGAATCCCCGGTCGTACGTGGCAAGGAGTAGGGTCGCCTGTCCAAAATCGTGGGTTTTTCTCCGGGTCCTCCGGTTTCCTCCCACTGCTAAAAACCTGTATGCGCAAGTGAATTATTGAAATAAAATTGAACCATGTGTTAGTCCCGAAATGACCTAGTTTGTGTTGAGTGGCCGCTAAACCCCATTTATCTCTCTTTCTCTTATAATTAAAACTGGCCGCGTTATATAGGGAGTGACCGTTTATTAAATATATTATGACCACATACAAGGAGATGTTGCTAAATAGGAGTGGGTGCCCGGAGTTCACAAAGCAATTCTCAGACTTAAGTTAAGAATTTACTCAGGAGGGTTGGATGGCCGAATGTTTAGCATGTGCGCGCGGTATCATAAGGTCTGTCATTGAGTCAATTGGCGTGGTTTCGAATCCCCGGTTGTGCGTGACAAGGAGTAGGGTCGCCTGTCCAAACTCGTGGGTTTTCTCCGGGTCCTCCGGTTTCCTCCCACTGCTAAAGACCTGTATGCGCAAGTGAATTATTGAAATAAAATTGAACCATATGTTAGTCCCGAAATGACCTAGTTTGTGTCGAATCTCTCTCTCTCTCTCTCCCCCTCTCCTACTTTGTGAACTGAGGAACCGATTCTACTGTATAGCTTTACCACTTCCCATTGAACAATTTCTGCCAAGAAACTTTACCAGGTACAATGTAATATCCCTGGAGGTCGGGTGTTCGATCCCTGCATTAGCCTGGAGGTCGGGTGTTCGATCCCTGCATTGGCCGAGAAAGTTCATCCTGATTTTCCGACGTGGTTTCCCCTTGTCAGTGGTGCAGAACGAGGGCCTGACAAGGACAGCTGTTTAGTCCTTCAGATGATACGAAAAACCGAGGTCCCGTGCGTCTTCATTAGCCCAGTATAGGAGGAGAACAGTAGGACGTTAAACCCATTTCATTTCATTTCATTTCCCTAGACAGAGTTGTAGGAAGTTATGATACTTATTACACATTTAAAGATGACAATATGTAAAGTATATGATATTTATTAGTATACCGACTAATAATTAAAACAGTTATTGCACACTGGTATGTGAGATATTGTTTTAAACAACTTATATACATTAGATAAAAGAAAATCCATTGTTTTAAGAAAATATGAAATTATAAAAGTATTTAAAAGCAAGATATAACTAGCAAATAACAATTGAAGAGTCAGGGGGAAGAACGATCTACCTCGCATTTTTGTCTTTTTGGATGAAAGGCAAAACAGACTTTTTGACGAAAATGCTTGACACGAACAGAATAACAAGTGGGTTTACTTACAACTTCAAAATGATTTTTAGTATGAATCATAATTACCAGTACAACAACTGACTTCCACTTTTCAGCCAAATTGAGGTCAAATAAAGGGTACGATGGACGTATTTGTCCAGGAGGCCATTTCAGAAGGGCCTTGGTTCGATGTGACTCTGATCGTTTTTTACCTGAAACAGACTTTTTGACGAAAATGCTTGACACGAACAGAATAACAAGTGGGTTTACTTACAACTTCAAAATGATTTTTAATATGAATCATAATTACCAGTACAACAACTGACTTCCACTTTTCAGCCAAATTGAGGTCAAATAAAGGGTACGATGGACGTATTTGTCCAGGAGGCCATTTCAGAAGGGCCTTGGTTCGATGTGACTCTGATCGTTTTTTACCTGAAATTGATTGTTCCACAGAAAGCTTATACAATTTGCTACCAGATGGCGCTGTTAACTGGGTTTCGTTTAAAAAGTGACTTAGATCGTTCTTCCCCGGGACTTTTCATATAATAAGGCACACATTTCAGACAATTTCTATTAAAAAAACTAACTATGTACAAAATAGAAAATTTATTAATGGTATCAAAACAAACAATTAACCTAAGACAAATTTTTGTTTCTTACGTGTGATTTTGAATTGATGGGGGGAGGGGTGTGTGTTGTCTAATGCATGCACTTTAGATCATAAAGTCTGCCATTGAGAGGGGGTGGGGTGTGTGGCTGGCTGGTCTATAATGCATGTGTTTTGGATCATAAGGTCTGCCATTGAGAGTTGGTGGGGTGTGTGGCTGACTGGTTCATACATAACGCATGTGTTTTGGATCATAAGGTCTGTCAGTGAGAGGGGCGGGGGTGGGTGGGCCGACTGATTTATAACGCATGTGTTTTAGATCATAAAGTCTGTCATTTAATCAAGTGGCATGGTTTTGATTGTAAGAGATAAATAAAATTGTTAGTCCCAAAATGACCTAGTTTGTGTCGAGTGGATGTTAAACCTCATTTCTCTCTCTCTCTCTCTAGAAAGAGAAAGAACAACTTCCATGGTTAGAGAACCATAAGACCATATCCTATGGCGTCACCGTTTGACATGACTTGTGGAATATGTCTAGCCTCATTCTTCGAGCCCCTTGTTACAAATGGCACTGGAACGCATTATGGTACACGAATGGTAAAACGTTTATTTTGTCTTAAATATTGGATATCAGAAGCCCATCTTTTCCCGGTAAGATCACAGCATTAATGTTGATATAAATTGCCAAATAATTTGTGTTTTCGATGTCGAAGACTTTGGATGATATTGAGTTAGAGACTTACATGTAGCTACTTTAACAGCAAGTCACAACTTACATAGATTAGTGTGGGGCCTCCGGGCAATTTCCCAGTTTGCCCATGCATTAAGACGGGCCTGGAAGACATCACTATCTGGATCAATTCATTCAGTCTCCTGCCTCAACCCCAACAATCCACGGTTCTGGATCTTTGGTCCACTTTAAAATATAATTATTATTTTCCTTTAATGTAGGACACAGGCTTAAAATATTCTCTACAACTTCTTTGGATAATACACAATAAACCAACAAACTCCGTAACTTCTGGCATCTCGTAGCGATGTTAATCAATGCCTCTTCAAGTTCTTTTGATCCTCGGGTCTGTAAAACTAAGCGTTCAAGCGTATGCTTGTAATACGAAGCCGCCATGTTAATTTCGTCGAAAAGCATCGTAAAAGTTTCCAACCGAAGCTCACTAACGGGTATCTCTGGACATAAAATGGACGAAACTTTTTGAAGAAGACAGTTGTGATCGAATATCAAGGTTACTTTCAGATTCGGGGATTTTTTTACTAGTCCGGTCCATGCGTCAGGAGATAAAGTTTTAACATACTTCTCCTGGCGCCTGCACTTGATAGATAAATGTTGGATAGGTTTTCTTGATTCGTCGCTTAACGCGTCGAGAACCTCGTCAGACAGACTACAATAGAATAAACTGAGATGTGTTAAGTTGGTACATCGTCCCACCAATCTTACCAAACAATCGGGATGAATTTTACAAATTAAACTACGATTCTGTATATTGAGAGTCTGGAGATTTGGATGATTACTCGATAAAACATCTAAAAGTTCTTGAGTTAAATCAACCCATAATCCACCCAAATCTACCGTAGTTAATAATCCAGCATTCGTAGCATCAGAGTTAAAAAATGTTTTTAAACTTTGAATAAATTCCAAACCACCATAAAATAAAGGATTTTCACCGTTAAACTCGACTGACAAGGAAGACACTTTCTGATTTTCTGTTTTCGTAAGAATTTCCAAAACTTGACAGGCATTCTCTCGATTCACCTTCTCGTGTTGATCCAAGATAATTTTCACTGCTCTCATGTGATGTCCGTGTTGTTTTAATAAATTGAGGTAGCGTTTGTCAATTTCCGTATAAAATTGAAAAGTGAAAGTTTTCCAGAGAAAGGGTTGATTGAAACACTCTAGCCAACTTCTACAAACTTGAGCACATTTACATCGTTGGTGAAACGGAAGATATGAAAAAATATGTACCACTATATGTTCTGGAAGATTGATCCACATCTCTTCTGTGACGGAAGCCATCTTTTATTGTTCTGAAATGGGGTTTTACTCTGCTCCTTTTATTGTTCTGAAATGCAGTTTAACATCTTGTTTTATTGTTCTGATATGCGGTTTAACATCTTACTGTTCTGCTCTGTTTTATTGTTCTGAAATGCGGTTTAACATCTTATTGGTCTGCTCTGTTTTATTGTTCTGAAACGCAGTTTAACATCTTATTGTTCTACCCCGTTTTATTGTTCTGAAATGGAGTTTCTGGTCTGTTTTATTGCTTTTTTTAAGTGGACCACGCTAATGTTTACACTGGGCCTCAGTCTTTCCTAGAAAAGATTATCCTGTACTGTGGTGGATACTGTTTCCGGTAAACAATATTCTAGCTATATGTTGTATAGCAAAAGGTCTTCACCTATGTCATCTTTATAATCACCCAATCAAAAGCTCTGTTAGATGTAACAACCATTATTAATACTGAAATAAAAACAAAAGAATATGATTATTATGTACAGTATATACCGGTATTCCCATTAAAAAAATCTGACTAGTACCATATTTTTCAAATTCTGTTTTAGAATGAGCTCTGCCGATTCACTTCGTATATATGGTTTTCAAATGGTGAATTCCACAACATAGAGGAACCATATTAGCTCGGTGAATTTATAACACTTCCTCGCTGACCAGATCCCTAGTTTTGCAGATGGGATAAAAAAAAAAGAGATCCTGCATTGGCAGCATCTTAACGTTGCCTTGACAGCAATAATAGTAGGATGTTAAACAATGGTCCAGGCAAAATTTCACTCAAAACCTCTGTGGATTATGCCCGTCTTCATTAGTCCAGTTGCCTTGGTTTTCTCATGGTCCTCTGGTTTACTCTCACTTCTAAAGACCCCTACACGCAAGCAAATTATTGAAATAAAATTGAACCATATGTTAGTCCCGAAATGACCTAGTTAGTGTTGAGTGGATGTTACATGCCTTTTCTCTCTCTTTCCTTAGCCCTGTTGTCGCTGATAAGCAAGATGTTAATCCTAACTAGGTCTTTCAGCTGATCTCAATTTTGTCACAATTTCTTGACCCCACCCCCACCTCCATGCAGAACCAACATATTACATACAATCCAAGAGAGAATTTGCGGTCCAGACTCATGGTTGAAACTGATTTGTAAGTGTAGTTCCTTTAGATTGAGCAGTGTCGACTCTGAGATCGTTTCTAAGGGAACTAGGTTGACTCGACTTCCATTTATTTAAGATTATTGATAGGATCTTAGAAATGGGAGTCATATCTACCATGCATGCCAAATTTACTCCAAATCAACTAAGTTATTACACTAAATAACGCGAAGATTATGCTTTTAATCTACTTTCGATTTGTTTACAGGTTTCAACTAACCTTGACCTTCTCCATTAACCAGCTTCATAACAAGTGAAGTTGAGGCTTTTGTCAGTCCACTTTCCTAAACATTAAGATTGTGATCTTACCAATCAGTTGTGAAGATTTCACTCAATTCTGTGTACGATCAAAGGTTAGTTGCGGATGCCTGTGGAACTTTTCACTAAATACTTTAATTCATATCATCATCGTACGGCTGAAGCATAGTCTCACCTTTCTCCCAGAAGACGAAGTGACCCACTGAAGCTAACGGGAACAAGTGAAGTTAGTTCGTTATTCGATATATTTTTTTTTTATCCGTCTTAAATAAATTAATATTGGTTATGTGTCAATACAGATACAATAATTTAACGTTATTTATAACAAATTGAATTAATTAAAGTTAACTTTACGATTGTCAAGATTCATATTCCGTACCTTTCGTCACAGTTCAGTTTTTAATATATATACGAGTATCGAATAGCTAACTCATAAAATGTTCAGATGGACTAACTTCGGTAACGCCCACAATAACCATATACGGCTCTAAGTTATAAATAACTTCATGATTCAAAGTACAGCGTGATTAACTATATATTTGCCCATGTATAACCATTATTTAACAAGAATTATGATGTGGCTATAATATACGTATTTAATGTCAAATGTAGAAGGCACAAAAATTGCGTGTAGATGGATCGATTGACTTTTAATTTGCACATTGCACTGAGGCCCTACGTAGGCTACATCGCTACAATAAATGAATACCGGTTGTCTACGAAAAATGAAATGAGAGAGAGAGAGAGAGAGAGATGGAGTCTAACGCCCACTCGACACAAACTAGTTTATTTCGGGACTAACACATGGTTCAATTTTATTTCAATGAAATTCACTCTTGCGCGTAGCTAGGGTTCTTTATAGTTTGAGGAAACCGGAGGACCCGGGGAAAACCTCACGAGGTTTGATGGACACGCGACCCTAGCTACTCCTTTACTTATCACGAACAACCGGGAAATCGAAATCATACGCCAATTGGGGACAATTTTGCCCTGGCCATGCTAGCGCGCCGTATTATAGGCCTACCTAAGGCCTATACATTTCGAATTCTAACTATCACGGGTTCTTTTACGTGCAGCCAATGTGTAGGCCTATGGGACCTGTTTTTTTTTTTACGTCATCCGAACGAAATGGCATCGCCTGTAAGGGGGAAACTCCATGGGCTTGAAAAATCCGAGTAACTTTCTCTGCCAACAGCGGAATTTCTATACTCACAACAGTCCTTCTGGTTAGCGATATCACATAATAACAGATGTCGAGGCGGCACGTTATGGTGCCATCTTGAAACATGAAAGCGGAACCGATTTTAATATGTCTGCTATCGACACCCGGATGTTGTCCAGCTGGCACTCATTATAGTCATTATCATAATATAAACCTATTGGTGGCCTGTAAAGCAATCTGTACTGAACGTTTAATCTGGTATGGTGTAATATAGCCAGTTGCATAATCTCTTTGATGATCGTTTCTCTAGAAAGGGATTTTAAGCGAGAGCGTCTGAGTTAAGACCGGACAGGGGTCATGTAAGTTAATTAGTTTGGGGTTGGCACCCAAGGGTGTCAAGTAAGTTAGGACCATGGCTCCGTCAACACAAGTTAATTACGGAGTCTTTAAGTTTTGTACATGATACGTTTAAAGAACAATAACAACATTATACGAAGTTTAAATCAGTGTTGTCATCAAGAACTCTTGACTTAAAGAACGAAAAGTGTAACAGCGAGCCAGCGTCATACTCACTGAGTCACCCCGGCTCCCTCCGGTAGTAGGCCTATATTAGCTGAGTCGAATTAATTTAAATTTGAAAGGCTGATTTTGTTGGCGTCTAATATAAAATCGTCGATTTGATTATATATGACAACCCTTCTTCATTTAATTTAAGAATGACCAATTAGATTTTTTCCGTGGTTACCTGTAACATGACTCTACGTTAATTCAGTCATAGATTCCATATTAAGACGGATCGCGTCTGTCCTTATATATAGCGCGTCTCTAATTTATACCATACATGGTATTGTTTAAACATTGTATCTTAATTAAAGGTCCATCTCTAAATTATACCATATATGGTATTGTTTAAACATGTATCTGTATTAAAGGTGATGACCCATAATCATGTTTCTATATTAAATTTCCCACTAAAGATACATAATAACAGCTACCTTTAAGAGAAGACATTGTTAGTGACGTCATCCATCTCACCAGACATTTCAATATCAATATCATTATTATTAAAACACATTTTATAGCGCGCAATACCCCATAAATATGAGAACGAAGGGCCTGTCAAGGACAACTGTCTAGTCCTTCGGATGAGACGGAAAACCGAGGTCCCGTGTATACATTGGAATGCACGTAAAAGATCCCTTGACTGTTGGAATTCGATATAAGAGTAGGCGATAGTGCCGCTGCCTGGGCAAAATTTCCTTCATAGCACACTGTAAGGCATATATGCCTGTCTTTATTAGCCCAGTGTAGGAGCAGAACAGTAGGACGTTAAACCCCATTTCATTTCACATAAATATGCTCATTTGGGCTTTATAAAGACATATTATAGAGCAAGACAATATTACATTGACATAATAAAAAGAGATAACAACATACTTGATAAATAAATATATAAATAAAATTACATGTAATTAGAATTTGAAATAAGAGGAGACGCACTACCATATGAACAGGTCACCATTCTATATATGGAATAAAATTACTGCTTATTACCGAACGACCGGTTGTACGTGACAAGGAGTAGGGTCGCCTGTCCAACTTCGTGGGTTTTCCCCGGGTTCTCCGGTTTCCATCCACTGCTAAACACCCCTACGCGCAAGCGAATTATTGAAATATTTCCGAAATGACCTAGTTTGTTGATTCCGACATCATTCCATTGCATTAAGACTGTACGATTCGACCTTCTCCATTAATGATTGATCCACAAAGATTACATCGATATGTAACATTACCTTATATGGACTATACTATATTTATATATTACAAAATACGCCAACTATTTTATTATTTAAACAGGTTATTCAGTGCTTGTCGACGGGAAATTTTAGGACAATAGACCGATACTAGCTGTGTGTATGAAATATCGCCAAGGTCAGTCAATACGACGATTTGCTATCTTCATATCGTTTAGGCTATACGTTTATCCGTATATAGTAGTTTTTACACATGACCTTTTTAGGTTGGTATAAGTTTTTGTCAGTAAATATAAAATGACCCCTAGATCGGTCGATACACCAGTGACAGAGTTGTATTTCGTTTGATTACATAGGCAGGTCAATCGACGCGCAGATATATTACATATATACTGCAAGGCTGATTTGTGCATAGTAAAGGTAAGTCATGGTTTTTAATACTGCTGTCGTTACATTGTTGAAATTGCAAATAAGCCGGTTACTCGGCCCACACGTGGCAATAAGTTTACTAAGGTCGTGTAAAATTGATACCTTGTTTCTTCTCCCCGGGGGCTTGGATGGCGGAATGGTTAGCACGTGTGCGCTGTATCATAAGGTATGTCACTAAGTCAACTGGCGTGGTTTCGATTCCCCGGTTGTACGTGGGTTTTCTCCGGGTTTCCTCCAACTGCTAAAGACCCCTACGCGCAAGCGAATTATTGAAATAAAATTGAACCATGTGTTAGTCCCGAAATGACCTAGTTTGTGTCAAGTGGACGTTAAATCCCATTTCTATCTATCTATCTTTCTTCTCCCCTTGCTCTGTAGTGTGCGGTAAACACAACGCAAACTGTAAGTTTCAATACAAATTAAGTCTTTACACCGTGAATTTGGTATGCTTTCTCGTGTTCCTCCCACTGCTAAAGACCCCTATGCGCAAGCGAATTATTGAAATAAAATTAAACCATATGTTAGTCCCGAAATGACCTACTTTGTGTCGAGTGGACGTTAAACCACATCTCTCTCTCTCTCGCTCTCTCTCTCTCTCTCTCTCTCTTACCGCGCGACGTTTAGACCCGACTATCAAACAATGAAATGAAATGGGGTTTGACGCTCTACTGTTCTGCTCTGAACTAGGCTATAATGAAGACGGGCATCCGCCATACAGTGTGTTATGGGGAAACGTTTGCCCGGGCAGCGGCACATATAACATATGTCGTTAAATATATTAACAAATGTTATTTAGCTTGCAACTAATTTAAGAATTGTGAGATTTTTAGGAAACAGTAAGCGTGTAAATATTTCACGTGTTTACACTGGAGATATTGGACATGCATGGAAGCCTATTGCGGTCACTTTATAATTTCAACGACTGCGCATACCATACGGTGATAAGTTAAAACTGATAGATGTACAGACTGCGCGGACAACGACACTACTAGTCCAATTCTGCTTTCCTGGCCACCAGTAGCAATTTGAGACGTAGTCCTGCCTCCATTAGCCTAATCGGGACAGAATAGTAGGACGTTAATCCCCATTTCATTTCATTTCTTGCTAAGGTAAAAACCTCTTTCAAAAATAACATAAAAGAGAAGTAGGCGGTATCAGACGAGTTATTTGCCCCTGAATTGGGTTATCTCCCTTACATAAATCTACTAGACCAAAGGCATAATAATTGGCTTCAGGTAAATGTTATTTTTGAAAGAGATTTTCCATTTGAGAAGCGCCTGCGCTTTTAGACATATTCCAACCCGTTACAGTTAAAAGAGTAGGGTCTGTTTTGTGAGATCCAGAAACCTCCAGAAGAGTCCGTGGCTGTATATTTCTTGTGCCTGCATGCTTACTATATATCATTTCCGTTCACTTTTTTTACAGATGGACAATTCTGGGATGCAAATCGATGTCGAATCCTTGGAAACATTCATCTGCAAATTTTATACAAAAGCTGATGAACGCTACCTCAATTTATTAAAACAACACGGACATCACATAAGAGCAGTGAAAATTATCTTGGATCAACACGAGAAAGTGAATCGAGAAAATGCCTGTCAAGTTTTAGAAATTCTTTCGAAAACAGAAAATCAGAAAGTGTCTTCCTTGACAGTCGAGTTTAACGGTGAAAATCCGTTATTTTACGGTGGTCTGGAATTTATTCAAAGTTTAAAAACATTTTTTAACTCTGACGCTACGAATGCTGGATTATTAACTACGGTAGATTTGGGTGGATTATGGGTTGATTTAACTCAAGAACTTCTAGATGTTTTATCGAGTAATCATCCAAATCTCCAGACTCTCAATATACAGAATCGTAGTTTAATTTGTAAAATTCATCCCGATTGTTTGGTAAGATTGGTGGGACGATGTACCAACTTAACACATCTCCGTTTATTCTATTGTAGTCTGTCTGACGAGGTTCTCCAGGCGTTAAGCGACGAATCAAGAAAACCTATCCAACATTTATCCATCAAGTGCAGACGCCAGGAGAATTACATCAAAATTATTTCCCCTGAATCCTGGAAATCGCTGGTTCAAAAATCTCCCAATCTAAAAGTAACGATGATTTTTGATCATGACTGCTTTCAGGAGAAGGTGTCGGCCATTTTGAATCCCGTCATTCCAGTTTACGACCTTAGGTTAGAAACAATGGCGCCAGTGCACGACAGTATCAATATGGCTGCGAACTCTTTTGCCGGAAGTCTAGAGCATGTGATATTAAGAACTCGAAGTTCGCGGGAATTAGAAGAAGCCTTAATCAACCTGGTTACAACTTGTCGTAAGCTGACGAGTCTGGATGTGTACTGTGCTGTAACTGACGATATAATAGAACAAATTTTATCTCTTTGCCCAACTTTGAAAGAGAACGGGAAATACGTTTTAAAATCTACCATAACAGTAGCAGAAGACGGCATCGAAAGTTAAACGTACATTATGCAAGAGCTAAATCTGCCTATTGCAGGTCTTTCCTTAGTCATGAAATGTTATCTAAATTATTAATTAGACATTAGTTAACTTATCCAGACCATAATCAACTTTCGATATCATCGATAGCCTTTGATATTCACTTGATTTGAATCCGATCTGCTGCTCAACGCTCATTGATGATTTAATCCAAAAGTGGATAATCGAGGCTGTGTTTTGTTATCGTACGGACTTACATTATCTAGTTTTTCACTATAATAGTGAGAACTGCCAGCTCTTTATCTAATCTCCCATAATGTATCTTTAATATGGTGTTTCATTCAAACCAGTATAATCTTTTGAATTAATTAATTTTACCATTACAGCTTTTCATCACAAATATAAATAAAATGGGGTTTGACGTCATACTTGTCCACACCCACTGGGTTAATGAAGACAGGCATACGATATGCTATGAGGGAATTTTGCCCGAATAGCGGTGTGTTCGCTTATATTTCAGGGGGATCACGTGGCTAAGTGGGTAAGACGCTGGCTCGCTAGCCTGGAGTTCGGGTGTTCGATCCCTGCATTGACCGTGAAAGTTCATCCAGATTTTCCGGCGTGGTTTCCCCTTTTCAGTGATGCAGGACGGAGGGCCTGACAAGGACAGCTGTCTAGTCGTTCGGATGGGACGAAAAACCGAGGTCCCGTGTACATATTGGCATACACGTAAAAGATCCCTTGGCAGTTGGAATTCGATATATAAGAGTAGGCCGTAGCGCCGCTGCCCGGGCAAAATTTTCCTCATAGCACACTGTATGGCGTATGCCCGTCTTCATTAGCCCAGGTTAGGAGCAGAACAGTAGGACGTTAAACCCCATTTCATGTCATTTCATATAAATAAAATGGGGTTTGGCGTCATACTTTTCTACACCCACTGGGTTAATGAAGACAGGCATACGATATGCTATGAGGGAATTTTGCCCGAACAGCGGTGTGTTCGCTTATATTTCATGGAATTTCAAGTGTTATGGGTTGTTTTACTTGCAATTTAACGTGCATCCCAAACTTAGGCTGCCTGTCTACAGCTAGCTCCGCCTAAGAACAGGCCCTAGGCTAATTAACCGACATTTTAATTCCTACATCGACGATTTTAGTCGAAAACACTGAATATGCTTTTAGAAATTTTTAGATATATTTATTTCTCTTCTATTTTCATATTGAATGCAATTAAATATGATTATTTAGCCGTTATGTGTATGAAAGATGTCAAACTAATCAAAGCGGAATCACAAAATAGTCCACTAATTATTCAATATGGCGGCGTCCATGAAAGATAATTTCACATAAGCGGTTTTGTTTGCGAAGACACATTTAGGAGTATCTAACCTTGTTTTGAAAGATAAACAGATTGAAATTGTAAAGACAGTTTACTATGGTAAAGACTGTATTGCAATATTACTCACTAGCACATATTATATATCGCTTTTACCGGAGTGGCAAAAGTCGACATTTTCGCTAACTTGACATTTGTTTACATAAACCATGTGCTTCGGGTGTACAAAGCAGTAGGCTAGTCGATAAGTCCCGCCCCAAAATAATCACGTGAGCGTTTTAAATGGACGGCATTTAGGGCAGTGATGTTATTCTCGAAGTATGACGTAGATGGATCACTGCGTGCATTATGGCTAACGTGACTAGACGCGGTTTCTGATTGTTTTCAAATTTGAGTGAAGTCTGTGTCACTACCATGTTCCTGAATCAACGACTGCGAGTCTCACAACCACCGACAAGTGGAGAGACCACGCTGACAATACCGCCTGCATTACCCAGTTGCTGAGCAAAATTTCCCTCATAACACACTGTATGTCGTATGCCCGTCTTCATTATCCGAGTCTGAGCAGAACAGTAGGACGTTAAACTCCATTTCATTTCATCTAAGGACCCAATTAACCCTGGCGATTGCTAAACAAATAATAAATTAATAAGGAAACTAATTTTATTACATCTTACAAAATTATAATATTATATAAAATATGATACCAAAGGATAAATAAAATGGATATTTATATTTACATATTTACAAAGTGTTTATTAAGTTAAAACACCACAAAGTAAAATATATTCTTGGTAAACAGAGAACAACGCTCAATTTCCTTTCACATGTCGTTCGTTTGTAGGGGGTGGGGGTCTTAATCCCCGCTTGTACGTGACAAGGAGTAGGGTCACTTATCCAAACACGTGGGTTTTCTCCGGTCAAGAAACGGAATCGATTAGGTCTCTAAATCGCTCAACCATATCAAACTTGTGTGAGATGAGCCACTTGTCTGCGATATCATCTTAGGTGGATGCGGACGTTTAAGCTCCAAGAGAACAAAGAACCCACTATGACGTCATCGCACCTGGTCCAAATATTCTTGTAGTAACGGACAAAGCGCGATCATTGAGATACCGGCACATGTGTGATCATGTTTGGACCTCACTCTGGCAGTTTTGTCTTTTCAAAAAGAGACAACGTAGCCAGGATTTCCAGTCACCCAGCTGGAAGCCCAGGCGCCTGTAACGTGAAAAATATTTCAAAAATACTATTAAGCCATAACTAGGTATAATATCTAAAGTATGTTACGTTCATTGTCTACCTAACGAAAATTAGTGAGTATTGCCACTGGTTGAGCGAATCTAGAGTAGCGAACTTTGATCACAATTATTTAAACATGCATTATGCAAGAGCTAAATCTGTCTATTGCAGGTCTTTCTTTAGGCCTGAAATGGTATCTAAATTATTAATTAGACATTAATTCACTTATCCAGACCATAATCGACGCTAGCCTGCGATCTTTAGTGGATTATGAGCCGATTACTGCATAACTTACCTTCAAGATTTAACTATTAAATGGATAATCGAGACTATGCTGTTTGTCGTACTGACCTTAGTAATGATGATCGAGGCTAGGCGGAATTTCAATCGCTTAGTTCTCGGTTCATAATGGATCAATTTGAATGCAATTTTCAGCAAATTGCCTTATTTCATTATCTAGTTTTTAACTATTATAGTGAGAACTACCAACTCGTTATCGAATCTCCCATAATGTATCCACCCTTTCCTCCCCTTGGTATTATTATATCTACTGAAAGAGAATCGGTTTCCAACGAGTTATTTGCCCCGGAGTTAGAAATCGGAATCAGACCAGTTATTTAATAATTTCCCTTACGAATATGGACATAACAGACTTTAGAAATATACTTAGTCATAGCTTGATGTTATTTTTGAAATATTTTCAACATTACAGGCACCCGTGGCTGTAAGTAGGTATGTGTATGATAACGTGATATTATATATAAACAAGTCCAACAATATTTAATCTCCCAATCTTACATGCTTCATTGCATCGTAAAACATATATTCATTTCGTTTATGGAGATTGCATCACCGGATTAATGAAAATATCGAGAAATTACATTCCTTGTCACCGCGTAACACATATTTCTTTTCTTTTCTCGAGATTTCATCGACGGATTTCGGAAAATACCGGATTAGTTACATTCTTCTTCACATCGTAACGTATTCATTTCTTTTCTCGAGATTACATCGACAGATTACAATCTGATTAAAAGACAGATCCTATTTCGTTTCGTTTTTTTTTAGTTCAAATTTCGTTTTACTTGTCTTCACAACACTAGGATCTGGAAGAGTTGTTATATAACCCGCATTCTTGTTGAAGTTAGGGATTAGCCAATGACACGGTCTGTTATGGTGTGTTTTTGGCGTGAGGTGCACAGAACTGTGTGTAGAAACATCAACGCTGATTGATTAATCAAATGTCTGACGTATGATTTCTGACGCGACCTTCCACTACAACGGTCAGATCTTCATGTAGTAGAGGCAATTGAAAGTATAAAAAAACGAAACGAATTGTAGATCTGTATTTTACGAGTTCTTGGCACGGGACTATGGGTAAACCACTAGAAACATCAACGCTGATTGGTTAATCAATGTCTGGCGTCATGGGGTCAAAAGCCGCTCGCCCGACCCCTGACCCCACCTTCTACTACAACCGGTCAGATCTTCATGTAGTTTAGGCCATCGAAAGTATAAAAATACGAAGCGAAATATAGATCTGTATTTTGATCAGATTGCGACGGATTAATGGATATCTTGGGGTTATTCCGAATGACTATTCATCATTATGACTATCCGCTGCTTTATGTTTCTTTAAATGACATCGCAGGTAATTTTGATGATGAAATTTACCTGGACATCGATCACAATCAAACGTTATACCTAAATGTTTATTTACGTGAACTTCCAGACTGAAGTTATAGGCAAATGTCTTGTCACACAGGTGACATTTTACAAAAGATTTTTCATCGTGCAATTTTATATGATTTTTATAGATACCCTTAGTAAAGAAACTTCCGCCACAAGTCTGACAAACGTATGGCCGCTGTTTGTCCGTATCCAAGTGACTATTAATATGTTCAGCCAACTGATATTTTCGCTGAAACCCACGATCGCATTTTTGACACTGAAATTTTTTTATTCCTTGATGCGAAAGTAAATGTTCCTGGAGATTCCAGTTCGACGAATAACTTTTTTCACAAATTGTACACGGATATCGACGCACGTCATCATGAGTCGATTGGTGTTCTAACAAATGCGTTCTTTGGGAAAACCGTTTTTCACAGTGCTGACACTTAAAATTGGTTTTATTATGGGCCTGATGTTGCTCGTCCGAATGTCTCTTTAAATTAGTTTTGTGGGAAAATCTTTTACCACAGTCTGGACATTCGAAACGTTGTTCCTTGGTATGGGTTATCATATGGCGATCTAAATCACGGGCAGTGGAAAATAATTTCCCACATTCCGGGCAGCCACGTGTCTTCAATGGTTTTTCCGTTACTTTTCTCCTGTTTTCTGTGAATTTGTGGTCTTTTGGCTTCAAATGGACTTTTTCATTATGAATGCGATACGTTTGTTCAGAAACAAACTGTTTTTGACAAATTTTACAAGCGACGTTTTTGACTGGGTTGAGTTTGTGTTTCGGTTCAATCGTAATCTTGTGAATGTTTCTCATATGTCGACGATGTCCATGGGAAAAAGCAAAAGTCTTGGAACAGATTTGACAGAAGTTTTTAGTTTTAGGCAGGTCTTTCATTGGGTTGAGTCTTCGTTTCAGTTCCAATGTTATCTTGTGAATGTTTCTCATGTGACGACGATGTCCTTTGGGAAAAGCAAAAGTCTTGGAACATAAATGACAGAAGTTTTTAGGCAGGTCTTCAGACGGACTGCTATCATTGCTATTCATCAGTCTGGGGTTGGACTGCTGGATAGTTTTCATGGTTTCGCATTTCAATGGTTCCTCGTCATTTACGTTTGTGATCTCCACTTGTTTTAAAGCATGGCATGTTTCCTCTTGGAATTCAACAACATCGTCTTCCTCATCCATGCTGCCCTCTCCACTGTCATTACTGTCGTCAATCACGTCATCGTCATCATCATCATCATCATCATCATCATTTCGATCTCGAATGTCTTCCTTTGAGTCCATATTTACATCGTCAATCACATCATAATCATCATCATCTTTTCGAATGACTTCGTTTGAGTCCATGTATACAACGCCGTCAGCGTCATCATCACCATCATCATCATCATCAGCAGCAGCATCACCATCTATCAACACATTTTTGGAATACGAATCATCTTCAACATTATCTTGTCTATCACACGATTCTGTGAAGTCGTTGATGTTCACCTTGCTTGAACCTTGATATGGATTGTCTCCCTTCGACTTGAAAATTCTCTCCAATGATTCAAATTTAACAGAATTCGAACCGGTTCGAACTTCCACGTTGTTTCTACGATGATCATTTACTTCATATACGTCCGCCATCTTCTCTTCTAAATTGATCTCTAATGAAATGGAGATTAATTAACTCCCAATGTTTCTGCACCTACCGGAGACTAATGCAGACGAAATTTGTTCTGAAAAGAAAAATAATAATAAATGAATCCAAGTATCAGGTAAAAGAGAGAGAGGGAGAGAGAGAGGGAGAGAGAGAGGGAGAGACAGAGCGAGCGAGAGAGAGAGAGATGGGTTTAACGTCCACTTGACAAAAACTATGTCATTTCTGGAATAATATATGGTTCAATTTTATTTCAATAATTTGCTTTTGCGTTGAGGTCTTTAGCAGTGGGAGGAAACCGGAGGACCCGGAGAAAACCCACGAGGTTGGACAGGCGACCCTACTCCTTGTCACCTACAACCGGGAATTCGAAACCACGCCAGTCAACTCAATGACAGCCTTTATGATACAGCGCGCGCTAACCATTCAGCCATCCCCCCCTCCCCCCAAAGAGAGGGAGAGAGAGTTTAACGTCCACTCGACACAAACTAGGTCATTTCGGGACTAGCACATGGTTCAATTTCATTTCAATAATTCGTTTGCGCGTAGGGTTCTTTAGCAATGGGAGGAAACCGGGGGACCCGGAGAAAACCCACGAGATTGGACAGGCCGCGCGACTCTACTCCATGTCATGTACAACAGGGGAATCGAAACCACGCTAGTTGACTCAAGGACAGACTTTATGATACAGCGCGCACGTGTCAACCACCCCCCCCCCCCGATATAAAGCCAAACCTATTGAATTACGATCGCCATTTTATGAGTTACTTCAAAAATGGAGAAGGGAGCCGAGTGCCGATTTACATGTAGGCTTAATTCTATCACTATGTCACAACACGGGTTATGTCGCTCAGAATAAGGTAATTCGAATGAAATTAATTTCTCATTATCTATTTTGAACTATTATAGCGAGAACTGTCAGCTCTTGATAGAATTGAGCGGAAACGAAGATAAGTCACAAGTTAGTAATACCACGGTAAGGAGGTTTAATATTACTGGTTAAAGACATTCGATGCCATAATGCCTATGGTTGGGGTAAGCAAGAGTTCGAAAAGATAGATAACTCTCATCATATTCGCAGACCAGGATAAAGATTTCTTCAACAAAAGCATAAATTTAATGTAGGCTATTAAGTTATTTCTTGACAACCCCCTCCCACCCCACGAAAAAAAAGACTTAGATCAATGTTCTCGGCTGTTTATATAAAACATGTAACACATGCCATGGGTTGGAGTGGGTTGGGATGGCCTAGTGGTAGAGTGTCACGCTTCGACCTCTAGTTGGCCGGTCACCTCTGGCTTGCGGCTTTGGTTTCGATACCTGGTGTGAGCGTATGTGACTTGGAGACAGGGGCACTTTCTCAACCTCGTGGGTTTACTCCGGGTACTCCGGTTTCCTCCGACAGGAAAGAACCCCGTGCGTGTGCTAAGATCATTAAAATGAAAATAAAGACAACTTGTGTGCGACATCACCTTCAGTGGAAGCGAACGTTAAACACTAAGTACAACAACAACCCGGGTTGGACATCCATTTTAGGGAGGCATGCGACCAAATCATAATATTAATATCAATTTGATAGTGTTGCAAGCTATCCTATCTACTTGAATGAAAACGCCATTTCATCCGTTTTACATATTTAGAAATGTCTCCCTTTCTCACATTTATTGGTACTGGACCCTATATTTGAGTCTTGGAGGCATATGTGATTTCAGCAGACGTCTCATAATAACAATGAACCAGGTCACGTTGGGTAGCGAGCCCCACTTCAACACCGGTTCCTGGCTGTGAAGTCCATATACTGTTATCCTACTGTGCCGTCGCTTGGACATAAAGTAGTAGTGATTGGTATCATGCACGAGGCAGACTAGAAACCCGATTACATTTCTTTGTGAAGTGAACATAGCTAATAAATGAAATGAAATGAGGTTTGACGTCCTAATGTTTTTATACCAACGCTTAGCCCAGTTGGGGGAGAACAACAGGACGTCATATCCATCTCCATTTCGTATTGTTCACAATAGCGACAGCATGAAAGACACCTTACCTTATATTCTGTGTTTCGGTATTCTACAGAAGTTATGATTTTAAAAATTCGATGTATTGTCAGCTAATATAAGTTCCCCTCTCACAAACACCATAAAGGTTAGTTAAAGATTAATTCTGGAGATAAACTACTAATAATAATTTGAGGTTTAATGCCGCGTCTAGCAGTGATATATCGCAGGTATATTTTAGATTTGTCGATCGTTCCGGAGGTTTTATGTCAACTTCCAGCAAGGGTTATATCGTTGACAACTTTGTCGATCTGTTTTCCCAGCTATAAGTAATAATCCCGGTTGATTGCACAAGCCAACTGATTGGGTGAGCAGTATTTTCAATCACAGCTAGATGTGAATTTAATTCAGAACTTAGTATGAATTACACAAGACGATGGATGTGGCGATCTGTATTTAAAATGATGGATTTCAGATTTGTTTTGTCAAATGTTCGATTGTCCCGAACGATGTGTGTATAACTATAAAAATATTTCTTAATCCTTTCAAATCTCCAACTCCGTGGGTTTTCTCCGGGTCCTCCGGTTTCCTCCCACTACTAAAAGACCCCTACGCGCAAGTGAATTATTGAAATAAAATCAAACCATATGTTAGTCCGGAAATGACCTAGATTGTGTTAAGTAAACGTTAAACCCCATTTCTCTCTCTCTCTCTCTCTCTCTCTCTCTCTCTCTCTCTCTCATATATACTTCACACTCGTTGACATCAAATAAATTTTAATTAATCAAAAACGTGTTTCGATCACAAGGCCAAGCGACAAATCAAAGGTCAAGGTCAAATACAAAAGGGTAAATAAATTGACCATCGAGGGGCGTGACCTTTGATATGCCGAGGGGGGGGGGGGGGGCTGGCGCCGCTCCAATGGTTTTATATTGAAGAGATATCAGTGGTCTCTTAATTTGGTAAATCGTTTGTTGTTTATCTTGCTGTTGTTCTTAGTGATTCACGTCCACTTCCATCGAGGACTGATATCGCAGACAAGTTGTCATATTTTCAGTTTATTAGCCTGGCGCACGCAGAGGGATCTTTTCTGTAGGAGGGCACCGAAAGTACCAGGAGTAGACCCACGAGGCATACTAAACTTAGACTGTCTGTCTACAGTTAGCTCCGCCTGAGAACAGACACTAAGCTAGGTGACCGACATTTTAAGTCCTAAATCGACGATTTTAATCGAAAACACTAAGTATATTTCGAGAATTTTGTTGAGTATTTATTCTGCTCCTGTTTAATAAACTTGAAAGAAGTTTATTTAGTCTTTGTGTGTATAACAGATGAGAAACGGAGTAGGAACGCATTACAAAACTGTATGCTAATTTTTGGATATGGCGACCATTTAGGGCAGAGATCTATTCTCGAGGAATGGAGTAGATGGATCTCTGCGTGCAGAATGCCCACGAGGTTGAGAAGACACCCGCTTTCTCCACACACGCTTACACCGGAGAGAGAGAGAGAGGGGAGGGGGAGGGAGAAAGAGAGAGAGAGAGAGATGGGTTTAACGTCCACTTGACACAAACTAGGTCATTTCGGGACTAACATATGGTTCAATTTTATTTCAATAATTCGCTTGCGCGTAGGGGTCTTTAGCAGTGGGAGGAAACCGGAGGACCCGGAGAAAACCCACGCGGTTGGACAGGCGACCCTACTCCTTGTCACGTACAACCGGGATTCGAAACCACGCCAGTTGACTCAATGACAGACTTCGCTTACACCAGAGATCGAAACCACAACCGCAAGCCAGAGGTCACCGACCCGCTAGATCAGTGGGCCATATATTTCTACCCTTGTTGTTTATTCGCTTGTTCCAGGATTTGTACCTATCTGCGTTACATCACCAACCATGGAAGTGACTAGATCTATTTCACAAGACCAAATGCATATTTTCCCAAGGTCACGAGATGTAAACAGGGTTAGGTCACGTGGTTGTTGCCGAGGATTGTGGATTATGGTTCGTGTAAGGCGTAGGGCTAGGTCTTGGGTTAGGCTTAGCCCTAGCCCTGTTTACATCTTGTGACCTTGGGGAAATTATACATTTGACCTTGTCAAATAGACCTAACAAAAGGGAATGTTATTTAAAGTAGCTACGTCTCTAACTCAATATCAGCCAAAGTAATCAACAATGATGTTGTGATCATATCCAATATTTATGACAAAATAAACATTTTACCGTTGGTACACGAATAGTTTCAGCACCATTTGTAACAAGGGACTCGAAGAATGAGGCTCGACATATTCCTCGCAAGTCATGTCAAACGGTGGCACCATATTCTTATCTGGAGAGCATGCGCTATAAATACTATCGATGTAGACTGAAATAAGCAGACGCTAGAGATTTCCATTCGATGGAGACTTCTCGTTTATTCCGCCGAACATAACTTATTTGAAATTAGAGTAAAAACGGAATTGATTGAATGTAAATCAGTTGATATACATTCATATTACATTATTACAAGCGCTGATACCCATTTGTGTCAATGTCTAGGTCCCAAATATTTGCGATTAAACAAGTTAGATCCTTTAAACCACGATAAATTTGTAATAAACAGCAACAATAATAAACGCCCAAATTTAATAAATCTTAGACAAGATTTTAAGGACAATGTTGATGTCAGCCAATATGACATGTGATAGAACTGGTTAAACGCAATCCAAATATAACTATAACACAGAGATCATTGCCATGGTAGATGCCTAACGAAGATTTGAAGTAACAGGAAGTGACGCAAACAAAAGGAAGAGAGACCAATTGACTCACTAGATAAGAGATAGCGAGAAAAACAAAATAGAAATAGTCCGTGGACAACTTTGTTTTTATTAATTCTAAACTTACAGATTTTAAGCGATAAT